ATGACGGGAAACCGCATAACGTCACGAAAATAAAAACCCACGAATTCCAAAGTATGTGCAAAATGTAGAGCTCATCCAGATCTAACGTCCGTGGCAGAATCCAAGCTCGTGGGTCTTTAACTTCATGGTTAAAATCCGGTTTATATGACGGGGAACCGCATAACTTCGCGAAAATAAAAACCCACTAATTCCAAAGTATGTGCAAAATGTAGAGCTCATCCAGATCTAACGTCCGTGGAAGAATCCAAGTTCGTGGCTCAACGCCTTCATGGTTTAAATCCGGTTTAAATGACGGGGAACCGCATATCGTCGCGAAAACAAGAACCCACGAATTCCAAAAACTCGCGACGTTATGCGGTTCCCCGTCATTTAAACCAGATATTAACCATGAAGTTAAAGAGCCACGAACTTGGTTTCTTCCACGGACGTTAGATCTGGATGAGCTCTACATTTTGCACATACTTTGGAGTTCGTGGATTTTTATTTTCGCGACGTTATGCGGTTCCCCTTCATTTAAACCGGATTTTAACCATGAAGGCGTTGAGCCACGAGCTTGGATTCTTCCACGGACGTTAGATCTGGATGAGCTCTACATTTGGATATACTTTGGAATTCGTGGGTTTTTATTTTCGCGACGTTATGCGGTTCCCCGTCATTTAAACCGGATTTTAACCATGAAGTTAAAGACCCACGAGCTTGGATTCTGCCACGGACGTTAGATCTGGATGAGCTCTACATTTTGCACATACTTTGGAATTCGTGGGTTTTTATTTTCGCGACGTTATGCGGTTCCCCGTCATTTAAACCAGATATTAACCATGAAGTTAAAGAGCCACGAACTTGGATTCATCCACGGACGTTAGATCTCGATGAGCTCTACATTTTGCACATACTTTGGAATTCGTGGGTTTTTATTTTCGCGACGTTATGCGGTTCCCCGTCATTTAAACCAGATATTAACCATGAATTTAAAGAGCCACGAACTTGGATTCTTCCACGGACGTTAGATCTGGACGAGCTCTACATTTTGCACATACTTTGGAATTCGTGGGTTTTTATTTTCTCGACGTTATGCGGTTCCCCGTCATTTAAGCCGGATTTTAACCATTAAGTTAAAGAGCCACGAGCTTGGATTCTGCCACGGACGTTAGATCTGGATGAGCTCTACATTTTGCACATACTTTGGAATTCGTGGGTTTTTATTTTCGCGATGTTATGCGGTTCCCCGTCATTTAAACCGGATTTTAACCATGAAGGCGTTGAGCCACGAGCTTGGATTCTTCCACGGACGTTAGATCTGGATGAGCTCTACATTTTGCATATACTTTGGAATTCGTGGGTTTTTATTTTCGCGACGTTATGCGGTTCCCCGTCATTTAAACCAGATATTAACCATGAAGTTAAAGAGCCACGAACTTGGTTTCTTCCACGGACGTTAGATCTGGATGAGCTCTACATTTTGCGCATACTTTGGAATTCGTGGGTTTTTATTTTCGCGACGTTATGCGGTTCCCCGTCATTTAAACCAGATATTAACCATGAAGTTAAAGAGCCACGAACTTGGATTATTCCACGGACGTTAGATCTGGATGAGCTCTACATTTTGCACATACTTTGGAATTCGTGGGTTTTTATTTTCGCGACGTTATGCGGTTCCCCGTCATTTAAACCGGATTTTAACCATGAAGTTAAAGACCCACGAGCTTGGATTCTGCCACGGACGTTAGACCTGGATGAGCTCGACATTTTGCACATACTTTGGAATTTGTGGGTTTTTATTTTCGCGACGTTATGCGGTTCCCCGTCATTTAAACCGGATTTTGACCATGAAGTTAAAGAGCCACGAGCTTGGATTCTGCCACGGACGTTAGATCTGGTTGAGCTCTACATTTTACACATACTTTGGAATTCGTGGGTTTTTCTTTTCGCGACGTTATGCGGTTCCCCGTCATTTAAACCGGATTTTAACCATGAAGGCGTTGAGCCACGAACTTGGATTCTTCCACGGACGTTAGATCTCGATGAGCTCTACATTTTGCACATACTTTGGAATTCGTGGGTTTTTATTTTCGCGACGTTATGCGGTTCCCCGTCATTTAAACCGGATTTTAACCATGAAGGCGTTGAGCCACGAGCTTGGATTCTTCCACGGACGTTAGATCTGGATGAGCTCTACATTTTGCACATACTTTGGAATTCGTGGGTTTTTATTTTCGCGACGTTATGCGGTTCCCCGTCATTTAAACCAGATATTAACCATGAAGTTAAAGAGCCACGAACTTGGATTCTTCCACGGACGTTAGATCTGGATGAGCTCTACATTTTGCACATACTTTGAAATTCGTGGGTTTTTGTTTTCAAGACGTTATGCGGTTCCCCGTCATTTAAACCGGATTTTAACCATGAAGTTAAAGAGCCACGAGCTTGGATTCTGCCACGGACGTTAGATCTGGATGAGCTCTACATTTTGCACATACTTTGGAATTCGTGGGTTTTTATTTTCGCGACGTTATGCGGTTCCCCGTCATTTAAACCGGATTTTAACCATGAAGGCGATGAGCCACGAGCTTGGATTCTTCCACGGACGTTAGATCTGGATGAGCTTTACATTTTGCATATACTTTGGAATTCGTGGGTTTTTATTTTCGTGACGTTATGCGGTTCCCCGTCATTTAAACCAGATATTAACCATGAAGTTAAAGAGCCACAAACTTGGTTTCTTCCACGGACGTTAGATCTGGATGAGCTGTACATTTTGCTTATACTTTGGAATTCGTGGGTTTTTATTTTCGCGACGTTATGCGGTTCCCCGTCATTTAAACCAGATATTAACCATGAAGTTAAAGAGCCACGAACTTCGATTATTCCACGGACGTTAGATCTGGATGAGCTCTACATTTTGCACATACTTTGGAATTCGTTGGATTTTATTTTCGCGACGTTATGCGGTTCCCCGTCATTTAAACCGGATTTTAACCATGAAGTTAAAGAGCCACGAGCTTGGATTCTGCCACGGACGTTAGATCTGGATGAGCTCTACATTTTGAACATACCTTGGAATTCGTGGGTTTTTATTTTCGCGACGTTATGCGGTTCCCCGTCATTTAAACCGGATTTTAACCATGAAGTTAAAGAGCCACGAGCTTGGATTCTTCCACGGACGTTAGATCTGAATTAGCTCTACATTTTGCACATACTTTGGAATTCGTGGGTTTTTATTTTCGCGACGTTATGCGGTTCCCCGTCATTTAAACCGGATTTTAACCATGAAGTTAAAGAGCCACGAGCTTGGATTCTGCCACGGACGTTAGATCTGGATGAGCTCTACATTTTGCACATACTTTGGAATTCGTGGGTTTTTATTTTCGCGACGTTATGCGGTTCCCCGTCATTTAAATCGGATTTTAACCATGAAGTTAAAGAGCTACGAGCTTAGATTCTGCCACGGACGTTAGATCTGAATGAGTTCTACATTTTGCACATACTTTGGAATTCGTGGGTTTTTGTTTTCGCGACGTTATGCGGTTCCCCGTCATTTAAACCGGATTTTAACCATGAAGTTAAAGAGCCACGAGCTTGGATTCTGCCACGGACGTTAGATCTGGATAAGCTCTACATTTTGCACATACTTTGGAATTCGTGGGTTTTTATTTTCGCGACGTTATGCGGTTCCCCGTCATTTAAACCGGATTTTAACCATGAAGTTAAAGAGCCACGAGCTTGGATTCTGCCACGGACGTTAGATGTGAATGAGCTCTACATTTTGCACATACTTTGGAATTCGTGGGTTTTTATTTTCGCGACGTTATGCGGTTCCCCGTCATTTAAACCGGATTTTAACCATGAAGGCGTTGAGCCACGAGCTTGGATTCTTCCACGGACGTTAGATCTGGATGAGCTCTACATTTTGCATATACTTTGGAATTCGTGGGTTTTTATTTTCGCGACGTTATGCGGTTCCCCGTCATTTAAACCGGATTTTAACCATGAAGTTAAAGAGCCAAGAACTTGGTTTCTTCCACGGACGTTAGATCTGGATGAGCTCTACATTTTGCGCATACTTTGGAATTCGTGGGTTTTTATTTTCGCGACGTTATGCGGTTCCCCGTCATTTCAACCAGATATTAACCATGAAGTTAAAGAGCCACGAACTTGGATTCTTCCACGGACGTTAGATCTGGATGAGCTCTACATTTTGCACATACTTTGGAATTCGTGGGTTTTTATTTTCGCGACGTTATGCGGTTCCCCGTCATTTAAACCGGATTTTAACCATGAAGTTAAAGAGCCACGAGCTTGGATTCTGCCACGGACGTTAGATCTGGATGAGCTCTACATTTTGCACATACTTTGGAATTCGTGGGTTTTTATTTTCGCGACGTTATGCGGTTCCCCGTCATTTAAACCGGATTTTAACCATGAAGTTAAAGAGCTACGAGCTTAGATTCTGCCACGGACGTTAGATCTGAATGAGTTCTACATTTTGCACATACTTTGGAATTCGTGGGTTTTTGTTTTCGCGACGTTATGCGGTTCCCCGTCATTTAAACCGGATTTTAACCATGAAGTTAAAGAGCCACGAGCTTGGATTCTTCCACGGACGTTAGATCTGAATTAGCTCTACATTTTGGATATATTTTGGAATTCGTGGGTTTTTATTTTCGCGACGTTATGCGGTTCCCCGTCATTTAAACCGGATTTTAACCATGAAGATTAGCTCAAAAGTTAAAATAAATGTCATATTCGTGTTCAGCATGGTCAACTTAACCCATGCCATGAATCTGAAGTGATTTGGAATTCGTCGCTGAATACGTATACGTATACGTCGCTAAGTTCACGGACATGGCGGCTACGTGCTTTGTCGTGTACTGTGTGGATTAGGAGTCTAGCGCTGCCAAGCTAATCGTGGATTATTAGTTCTGGACCCATGTAAGTTACGTGTCAAATAATTGTAAATTTGCCTCTGGTGTTACTAATAAGAGACATCTCTTTCTTCGCAGGTGATCAACATTCAGCGGCGACGTTAACGGGTTGAAATTTTAAAATTGGAAAATTCTGATCAAGTCATGGACCACTCAAATCACGGCATGGACCACTCAAATCACGCTATGGACCACTCGGGTCACAAAATGGACCACACGGACCACAATACGAACCACTCGGGCCACATGATGGACCACTCGGCGCACGCGGACCACGGTCTGGGCGCGGCCGGCGCCGCCCAGCAGGTGCTGAACGCCACGCTGTCGGCGGCGGCCACGGCGGCCAGCGAGGTGCTCACCACCGTGCAGCAGCACGTGCACGGTGCAGGTGAGTGTCCCCGACAGATAGCTGCAGCGTGATACCGCGGCGGCACGCCGAGCCGACTATCGGCGCCGCTCCCCGTGCGTGTCTGGCCGCGGGGAGGACGGGGATGGTGGGCTCGATGGGGTCCGGTGGTCCCAGATTTGTATAGGAATGTGCTGTCGGCGGTCGCGACTCATGACTCCTGGGTGTTCTGTCGGTGGTCCTTGATCCGCGCCATCGGTCCTTGGTCGTCTAACGGCGGTCCCTCACCTCCAGTCAGTCGTACCTGATCCATCCAACAGCTGATCAGTTTTCCTATCTTTGCCATTCATTACCACTCCCGTGTACCGATGTTTATAACTGCAGGGCATTGTTTATGTTGTCACTGTCGTTCGCCTGTTTGTCCCGATGTTTTGTTATATGAATGCCGGGCGTGCGTGATATCTGTATGAGTTTTCTTTGTGCCCTTTTTACATGATAAGTTTGTATTGGACAGACGCTTTTTGCCTCTTGAGTAGGGTAAACAATCTTCGTTTGGCGTCTGTTTTCGTCGGGTAGTTTACCGAACCAGAGTGCATGTCTGATACACGGTACTTCAGTCCCTTGTGTGTCTCTCACAAGATTGGTTGCTCCGCTGTGTGTCACCCATTATCAAGTTAGAGACCCAACTCTCTGTTTATTTTTACTCCCTGTTCAGTGTTTACTCCCTGTTTATTATCACGACGCTGTCTGCACCCTGTGGACCTCCTTTGACCCCTCCCCGCACCTTCCCGCGATTCTCGTCATCAGGAGACCACGATCACGCCGCCATGGGCCACGATCACGCCGCCATGGGCCACGACCACGCGGCAATGGGCCACGACCACAGTCAGCACATGGCAGCCACCGGCACGGCGGCGAGCCACGAGATGGCCGGGCACAGCATGGCCGGACACGGGATGGCGGTGAGTGGGATCACCCTGTGTGACTGTGACCTATAGCGTCCAGCGTACCCTGTGTGACCTGTAACACCTAGTGTGCGGTGTGAGCTGTTTTCTGACTGTCCCGCGTGTTGTGACTTGTGACCTATAACATCGATTTGTGCTGTGCGTAGCCCTGTTCCCGACTGGTTGCATACTGTATAGTGTATACCAAGAACGTGGGACTTGATGTTGGCGTGGCATATCGTCTTATGAGTATACCTCATTTCTTCAAGGTCTTCCTACTGACCTGAATATCTGACCTGACCTGACCTGACCTAACCCGACCTCCGCCGTCCGCCGCAGATGACATTCCATTTCGGCGTGAACGAGTTCGTGCTGTTTGACGCGTGGCACGTCACCACCGCCGGCGGCATGGTGGCCTCGTGCATAGGCCTCTTCATCCTGGCGCTGCTCTACGAGGGACTCAAATACAAACGGTACGTCCACACTGCTACGGACTCGGCAGACGGGTTTTATTGATTGTTTCATGTGCTTACAAAATTATGCACCACTTAATGTGAATAATTTCTGTGATAACTCTGCTGCTCCCGATGATCCGATCTATTCATCATCACAAGACAGGCAGTACCACCTGGCGGCACCGACATCCCTTTGTTCGCTCACCTTACAAGTGTCATTCACGAACCGTTGCATGGGTGGCAGTGTCTCGCTCATAAAACACCAATCCAACGTGACATGCCCACACAGCAGTCTGATGGAATTTTAGCACCTGTTGGCCCGTACCTGCTCTGGTAAAGTCTCCCCCCCCTCCCCCGAGGCGGAGCGGTGCCGCCCGTTTCCGGCGGCAGCTGCGGACGGTGTTGACAAGTGGCGGTTCAGGTCGGCGCTCCCTGGTTCGCGGATAGACCGACACCTGAGTGGCGGACGGCACCGCGGGGACGTGTTTTCCCAGTGGTCTGATAAGGCAGCGGTGGCTGCGAACTGCAGCTGTGTAAACCGTACTGCTGTACCAACGTACCACCACCGGTCTGCCGGAGACCGGCACAGCCCGTCCCGGGTCTAGTCGGCCTCCTCCCATCCCCCGGCTGGCCCCGGAGTCCGCTTCGCCGACCTATCCCCAGCGCCATGAAGCCTGGGTCCAGTTATGTCTGATCGACTCCAATACGGACCCGACTGGACCGGGACTCCGCTGATGGGTCAACCCAAGCCCGGCCCGGGTCTAATCAGCTTCATCCGCTCCCCCATCCAACCATGGCGGTGGTCGGATCTTGTAGATCAATTCAGTGCTCGGATAGCATCTGACAGAGGCCATGACACACCGGGACTAAACCCGTCCCTGGCGTGTGTCAGTTTCAGTCTGTCGCCTCGGTAATCTTGTGGAAGGCAGTAACTGTAGGGACGGATCACAGGAGGGATGTTCATTGGTAACGACATTACCGCCATTCCTGCGGTGGCTTTTGGGCGGTGTCCTGTCCACCGGCCGAGGACATTAACTGCGGTATCTTTGCCACATGTTGCCAGTGTTTATGACATTACGCTTAGACCGTTTAGGGCTACATGTGGCATCTGGCCCGCACTACAATGTTATAAGAAGTGCTTGAATCTTTCATGTCATCATTTATGGTCGGTTTACCCGGAGTTCAAATAAACAATGTTGCACATTGAAAAAAAATGTGATAGCAATGTGTTAGTGTGGCTGCATGAATTTGTTTATTCTCTCGCTATGCCCTCACTTCGTCTTATAATTCGTGCTCGTTTTTCTGTGTGCGCTCAGGGAGGATCTGCTGCGTAAGAACGCCACGCGGAGCCAGTTCGACACGATCCGGGTACCGACCGACGGCGGCGTCGCTGAGGTCACCACCGTCTCCAACGCGTGAGTTCACCAACGGGTCACGGGCCGCCCTCTGGCGCAGCACTGACATTAGTCCGCGACCCAGCGACCCTCACCAGCGACGCCGAGTCCACGCGCTGCTTGCGCCTGGGGCGAGCGTCTGGCCAGAGCGACGGTAACGTTTTCCCCCAACACCTCCGTCGAGTCTCCGACCCTGACACGGAGCAGTTCTCTCATCTCTTTAATTATCAATTGAACTGAAATCAAGTGTGAAGGGAACCCCCTGCTCCACCGAGCCTGGTTGGTCTTCTCCATGCCATCAGTCCCAAGTGTCACACGGACAGACCCACTATGAAATTTCTATATCAGGTGGAAGGTAGGCGCTATTGCCGCAGTGGAGCCTGGCTTATATTCAATGTTGTCTGTAAGTGTCATTGTCTGTTGGTCTGTCTGTTCCTGTCTGTCTGTCTAACTGTGAGCTGGCCTGTCGGTCTAGTGACTAGTCTGCCGGCTTTTCCGTCGATCTATGTTTCGGTCCGTTGGTCCGTCTGTTTCTCGTGGCTGCCTCTCGTGTCTGGGCTGGTCTGGTCAGGTCCAGTCTCGTCCGGTCTATCATGACTGACGGCTCCACCCCCGGAGCTATGTGTGCCGCGCCGGGCCGGGTAACCCGATACCGCGCCTGTTGCTGGTGGTGGGTGGACGGACTGCGTGTCATTCCAATCCGCCGACGACCGACGCATGAGCCCTGCCTGCGGCCTGTCCTCTGACCAGCTGCTTCTGTTTGATTTATCTGACGTCCTAACCACTTAGGTCCTCTGGTCTTAAAGCGAGACGCACGCATGCTTTTCAAAGCTACACTCACACCAACTGGACTTTTTTTGTTAAATGATCCTTACTGTACTTGCCTATGTATATCACACTGTTCTTTTCACTCTTCATCTTTGCATTTGTTGGTCTATTTCTTTTTTTTTTGCTTATCTTTGCATTTGTTGGTCTATTTCTTTTTTTTTTGCTCATATTCATGAAAGGAGAGGAGAAAAAAATACGGTTTACGAAACTTAACCAAAAAATATAAACAAGGAAGTGACCTATTTTCCCATTATAATTTCAAATATAATAACTTACGCTTGATCGATCAGTTTTTTTTTTGTCACGAATATTGTTGTGGCAAAGGATGACATAAAATGCGCATCGACTCATTTTCATATTTATTCATTCTCTACTTCTTTCTTCTCTTGTGACTTGTATAATTCAATTAAGCCGAAAATTGGCTGCTTATTTTTCCATCTGTTGCCATCTTCGTTTGTATAATCCTCTCATGGTTTTGCTCGCTACCTGGCTGCTATTAACTTCTGTGTGCATTTATGTCTGTCTGCTTGCTCGTTGTCCTGGCCTGTTCTGTCTTCAACTTCAACTCACGCATACCACTCGGCAGAGTGTCCTGTTCACTTTAGAAGTTTAGCACGACGGGTCTGCTCTCCTAAATTTCATTTTGGTTAGAAGGTTATAAAGGATAACACATTGATATCGTAAATTGCATTCGTATTAAAATATTGTTTTTGCGTTTTGCAAGTCCATAGAGGTGTTCGCGTTATACGATGATTCTACGTTTATATTTCCTTTATTTGATCCACTCAGGTCATATCAGTTGAAAAGGCAATACTAAGCGTGAACAGTTCATTTGTCGGTCTCTTTTCTCCTCCATGGTTCGGATCTGCTCTCGCACCTGTCGGTTTGAGTGAATGCCTTCCTGGCTGTGAGTGTGTCCGGGTGCCTGCCGGGTGGTGACTGCGGTGTTGGGCGGCTGTGTGGGCGCACTGTCTCTCCACTCCCTGACCTGGTGTGGCCGCCCGCCGGCCAGGCGGCCCTCGGGCGCCGGCGGCGGCGAGCAGCCCGGCTCGGAGGCTGCCAGCGACGTCACGGCTTCGGAGGGGGAGCCGATCACCGCCGCCGGCCGCCGCCGCCAGGCCAGGTAACGTGCTGCCCCGCCCGCCTCCAGGGCAGGTAATCTGCTGCCCCCGCCCGCGGCCAGGACAGGTAACCCCGTGCTGTGCTATCCCCGCCCGCTGTAAGATGCCTGTCCCACCCCCGTCGCCAGGCCAGGTAACATAACCTCTGCGTGCCAGACCAGCTAACATGCTCTCCGCCGGATCAGGCAACACGTCTTCCCCCGCTAGAGCAGCTCTCATGATGTCCCCGTCACGCTACGCGCTTGTGCCGAGTCTAAGCATTGTCCGTGTAGAACTTGTTACGCCACACGGAGAACTGTTGTGAAAAACGCCAAAACATTTCTCAACCGATCTATGTTTTGGCGATTGACAGCTTTCCATGCCGGATAATGCCGTGTCAATGCGTCAGAGGCAATCAGTGGTCCTTGCGAAGTCTGTTCGTATAAGATCCTACAACAATACCAGCCCATTGCAGTAATCCCAACAATGTCCATCTCGCAGTAGTCTGACAGTGGTCTCAGTCAGTCCAGTTTCCGTATGTTGAAAGGAAGTCTCTGTACGTCTACTGTCCAGTTGGTTCGTACAAAGGTGCTGTTGCGGTGTCCGTTACAGCAGTCTTGACATGTGCAATGAACCGTTCGTACAACGCAGTGTTGGTTGCTCGTTCATGCTGTTAAGCGTTCTCAGTTGCGCCGACGTGGGGCGCGTTTCTGACCGACTGACCTCTTTGACAGTCCGTACATGTTCGTGCCGAATGGGTAAGCCACGGAGCGCAGTCAGTAGCGCCGAACCTACCCCCCCCCCCACACACACACACCCGGGAGCACCTCACTGGGTGGACTGGGCGGGACTCTGAATGTGTCGAGCCTGTTTTTGAATAGCTACCTTCACATCAGTGCCCGACAGGCAGTCCCTCGCTGCGTGTTTGAGTTGGTTTGTGTTTGCGTTCGTCGTGCCCTGGCTGTGTGGGTGAGCAATACGGTCAGTGGAATTACGAATGGCCGCTTTGTGCTGCTTCCACCTGTCTCTTTGTTTGCTCGTCTCCACTGTTGTTCTTGTCTTTCGGAGCCTAGCCGCGCCGCGGTGTACCTTGAGCATGTCTGCATAATTTTGAAGCTGATGGTTGGTTGTGCTTAGCATCACTTCGCCATTCTTTGGTGAAATAACTAAGGCTACTGAAACTAAGATTTGATTATCTATAAGTATCTTTGCTGGTCGCCACTTCAAATGCCTTTGGGATAAATTTGTCAAAACCGACGTTTCATCTAGGTATTGTATCAGCCGTCCCTTTTCGCTCAGTAGATGGGCACAGTTGCTTGTTAACCCAGTGTGAACATCTTTAGTGTCACAGTGTCACATTCTGTGCGCAGTGTCAAAACATTTTTTTCTTTTTCAGACAACGTATGCTCAGCAAGCATCATGTTCTACAGACTTTCCTGCACGCAGTTCAGGTAAGCATCTCTATTTAGGCCGAAGCGCACGGGCTGTCAGGGGACAATCATTTTCCACTCGGAATGATGCTATTCGATAGCGACTGAGCTGACTGACTGAGATAAATGGGATGATTCCGGTGCCAGACAAAAGAGCACAGCACTGGTAATGACTTGGGCTCTCAGTCTCAACGCCACCTGCCGGCTGACGCAATACTAAGTTCCTTCAAAGCGTCACTTTTGTTAAATAGCTAGCCCAGGTGCTCGGCATGACGTTGGACCGATCGGTATTCTTATCACGGCCATGTCGTGTTGCCGAGGCGGCCGCGCTCTGTTTCCAGGCGGCGTTACCCCAAAGTTTGGTCATGACTGGGATGAACATTATGCCCTGTGACCGTGCCTCCCCGAACGCTGTGTTGGCTCAGACATCATTTGTGCGCTGGCACGTCCAGCAGGTGTAACCATGTCCGCCCGCCGCCCTCACTTTGTCCTTTCGTAGGCTATCAGCGGACCTCACATCTGCCACTCCGTCTCTCTGTGTCATCCTGACATGTCTTACGTGTGACATAAAATATTGACGTGTCAGGCTGACCGTGTCCCTCCGTCACAGGTGGTCGTCGGCTACTTCCTCATGCTGGCATTCATGACGTACAACGTGTGGCTCGGCATCGCCATCACTCTCGGCGCCGCCGCCGGGTACTTCATCTTCGGCTCGAAGAAGTTCGTCGTGGTCGACGTGACGGAACACTGTCACTGACGGCGTCCGTCGGATAGTGTCGGCGCCGGCCGTACATACGGGCGCCGGAGACAGCCCGTCGGATAGTGTCGATTTCGGCCCACGGACGCCGGAGCAGCGCGGTCGCTGCCACCGCTGCCCTGCCCGCGCTGCACCGCTGCGCGGGCAGCGCGGGCCGACGTTTTACGTAGGCGACAGCTCCCGGTGTTTGTGCCGCGCCCCGCCAGCGCCGCCGGCCTCAGCACCCCGACGGTGCGGACAGGCCGGGCGGCGCCGAGCGGCAGCGGCCCACACAGTCACCTCCCGTGGTCACAAGTCACTCCGGCCGTGCCGTGGGTGGCCAGCGCGAGCGGCTGGGTCCCACAGTCGCCGCCTCGCGTTTTGTGTCAGGTATACCTGTGTTTGGGTGCGCGTATGAGCAGAGTGCGTCTCGCTGAGACCCCGTAGTCTAGTGGGAGTCGGGCGGCATCGCCCTCCCCGGCCCTGCCGCCGGGTCAGTGCGGGGCGGTGTCGGGCGGTGTCGCCCCTCCCCGGCCCTGCCTTTGGGTCAGTGCGGGGTGGTAGTGGGGCGGTGTCGCCCCTCCCCGGCCCTGCGACCAGGTCAGTGCGGGGCGGTGTCGCCCCTCCCCGGCCCTGCCACCGGGTCAGTGCGGGGCGGTGTCGCCCCTCGCCGGCCCTGCCTCTGGGTCAGTGCGGGGCGGTGTCGGGCGGTGTCGCCCCACCCCGGCCCTGCCACCGGGTCAGTGCGGGGCGGTGTCGCCCCTCGCCGGCCCTGCCTCTGGGTCAGTGCGGGGCGGTGTCGGGCGGTGTCGCCCCTCCCCGGCCCTGCCACCGGGTCAGTGCGGGGCGGTGTCGCCCCTCGCCGGCCCTGCCTCTGGGTCAGTGCGGGGCGGTGTCGCGCCTTTCCCCGGCCCTGCCACCGGGTCAGTGCGGGGCGGTGTCGCCCCTCCCCGGCCCTGTGCGGTGGCCGGACGGCGCGGTGTCTTTCAGCCTGGCCTACGGAAGGCGGCGAGTCTCAGTCACTGCGATGACCGCGGCGCCTCTGTTGTGATGCCATTATGGTTGTGGTCAGAGTTGAATGTTTTCCCGTGCGTAGCATGGACTGCATACAAGTATACTGTTATTGAATCTACTGTATGTATACTGTGTCCAGTATTGTTTTCAGTCTGGGCAGGGACCAAATCGCCCTACGGTCCCAGTGCGCAAGTCAAATAAACTGAATGTGAACAAGCCTCTCTGTCGCAACGCCGCACACCGAGGTTGCAGCACGTATATTAAAATAAGGTCGCTATATCTCAGAACAAGTACGATGGCGTGTAAGCATTATGAACAATGAGCAGCCTGGCTATGCGTAGAGATCACCAGAGTACTCCTGGTGGAAAGACACTACAATTTAACCGGCGTGTTAGTCGCTCCCACCCGCCCCTTGATCCCGGTCCACACACTCTCTGTGCGATTTCTCTCCCCTGGCTCCCTCCCCTCTGTCGCTCCGGTCTCGCTGCCAGCCGCGGCGCTGTTCCGCGGCTGGCCGCTCGTTCGCTGTGTGTCGTGGCGCCGCCGACGGTCTGCCAGCGCGGCCCTCGGTCTGTCCCGTCCCGTCCCCCGCCGCGGGTCGGCAGTGTCACTGCGGCGCGACGGCCGTCTCCGCACCCGCGCCCGGCGGCGCTAGGTTATTTTTGGCGCGCCGCAGGATGTCGTGCGTCTTGCTGAGCTGGCGGAAGATGGCGCGCTCGACCCTGGCCTTGCGCTGGTCGGCGCGACTGAGCTTGTCGAGCGCCTGCTGGAGCGCGGCGCGCGTGGCCGTCAGCTTGGAATGCATCATGTCTCGCTCCTGGCGCAGCCGCTCGGCCTCCGAGCCGTCCGCCGGCGTCGGCTCTGTCGGAGACGCAGCACCGTCAGGGAGGATGGCCAGGGGTCAGGCGCAGGGGGATTTCGGATGAGCCAAGGGCCAGGCATCCCAGCATGAGATAAAGGATAACCCCGAAAAAAGAGACTAACTATAAATGCGGTAAACAAATTGACAATTCGTTCAGCGACTTCCCCCATCCGCGGGCGCACATCCCACAACCCACGTCATAGGGAGTGGACTGTGCCGACTATATCCCAGTAAACCACAAAGAGCCACGTTAATCATCACACAGACGGAGCCGGTGCCGTGCGGAGGGGCACTCCTACCTGTTTCGCCGGCGGCCGTCTCCGCCAGCTGCTGCTGCTGCCGGCCGGGCCGGGAGGCGGTGCGCAGCTGCGGGCCGCGGTAGCAGTCCGACTCGATCCCCAGGTCGGGTGATGAGTACGCCGACGTGCGGTCACTGTCGGTCAGATACGATGGGCGACGGGTCAGCAGCGGTCACAAATGGGCCAGTCAACGGCAGACTCAAGCTTTCCCAATCATAATACATTTAGAATGTACTAAATGATTCGGATATTTTTGGTTCCCCACTGACTGATTTCAGCGTTCACGCATCAGCCCATGCTCCTATACGGTCGTGCTTTCCTTTCTGCCCGTACCTCTCCTGATGCACGTCGGGGCCGTCCGACTCAGATGTGCTCCGGCGCACCGCCGGCTCCGGCTCCGGATCCTTCTCGGCAGGCTCCGGCTCCGGCTCCGGCGGCAAGCAGACCCGTGCTGACTCCGCTGGGCTGCCGTCTGTGGACAACGGATACCAATCACGACACGAAAACCAATTTAACGGCACAAGGCTGAGACAAAGCCGTGCGGTATACCGAACAGCGACAATTATACTAGATAGCCGCAAGCCAATTAACTACATGTAGTACCTAGAGGCCGACGGTCTGTTCGGGGTACAATCAGTGAACTGCAGTGAGCTGCTGGAAAGTGCAGCCATGGCTATCGCAGCTGTGAAGCTGTCTTTATGAGTGTAGCTGGTCAGAACTCACCGTCGAGCTCGTTCAGTTTGCTGCGCATGGCCTCCATCTCGGCGTTGACCTCCTCCAGCTGGGCGCTGACCTCCTGGAGGCGGCGCTTGTCCGTCTGCATGGCGCGGCTGAGCTCGGCCAGCCGGCGCTGGCACTGTCCGTGCTCCTCCGCCAGCCGCGCGCGCTCGGCCTCGGCCAGCAGCCGGCGGGCCGCCTCCGCCTCGGCGGCCGCCAGCCGCTCCGTCAGCGCGCTGATCTCCTGCTGGAGCTGCTGGCGCTCCAGCGCCCAGCCGGCCCACTTGGCCGCCTCCAGCCGGCGCTGGGCAGCCACCTCGCGCGCCTCGCCCTCCAGCAGGCAGCTCTCGGAGCGCAGCAGCCGGCCGCGACTCGCCAGCTGCGCCCGCTCGCCCAGCAGCCGCAGCTTCTCGCGGTTGATCTCGAGTAGCTGCGACTCGCTGCAGCTGCCGGTGGTGGCTGCGGGCGGCGGCCGCTGCAGCAGCTGCTGGCGCAGCTCCTCCGACAGCTGCTCCTGGCGCTGGAGGGCGGCCTGGGCCGTCTCCAGCTGCCTCTCCAGTCGGCGCACCAGGTCAGCGGACGGACTGCGCGGCCGGCGCCGGCGAGACTCCTCCGAGGTCCGCTCCCGGTCCGTCTCCATCTGTGGGCCGGAGTGGCGTCAGCGAAACGGTGGGGCGGGTCAAAGGGCAAAGACGTGAACAAGTCACTGGTGACTTAGCTGCGGGAATGGAACTTTGAGTCTAGCCACGCTTACTAGACAAGAGTTCTGACATCGAGGAGTTTCGTCAAGTAATGACAAAAGGATAAAAGAATGCGAAAACCACTCATTTACGCATTAACCAGCGAATCAACCAATGCATGTGTAGGGGAGTTTCGTTCATGAAATTTTGACTCGCTGACAGCCTACAGCTGCAATAGTCAACAGTCAACACTTAACAGCGTCTCCGTTCACCAGGACGTGCGGGCGGCCGGCTTACTTACCTGAGTGAACCGCTCTCGCAGGCGCACCATGTCGTCCGAGACTCGCACAAACTTGTCCTTGAACTCCTCGGCGTTCAGCTGGGCCAGTCGCAGGTTGTCCTTTGCGCGGGAGAGTTTGGCGCGCAGCTCGTCACAGCGCGCGCGGCTGGCCGTCAGCTGATCGGTGGACTCGGCCAGACGCTGCTCCGTCACCTGCGGGGTAGACGGCGGCGTCAGTGGCGACGGTCGGTGCAATCGCTACACGGAAATAATCGTTAAATGACCACTAAATGCCCTACGAAAGCGGGTGTCTTCATGTCCAGGAAATCGATATCCTTTCAGCTAGCTAGTCACCAATCAGCATTTAACAAACCCATTCGAGCCTCACTGGCGGCCCAGGAATCTCAGTGCCCTATCGTAGCCGGGTGTAGCAGCGGCACTGACCTCCAGTTTCCTGGCCAGCTCTGAGGCGGCAGACGGCGACGGCGGCAGCTCCCGCTCCAGCTGGCGTCGGATCCTCTCGTTGGCGACAATGGCTCGCTCCAGTTGCTGCTGCAGACTGTGGATCTCCGTGAGCACCTCCCGCGGCACCAGCACGCCCGACTGCAGGGGGTAGTAAGACGGACAGTCAAATAGAGTACGAGGGTACGCATTTGCTTCAGCTTACCACTGCTTCACCCTCTCATCCGCTGACCGTTCGCTCGACACTGCCCCCTCCTGACCATCGGTCCGCTACTGCTCTTCCAGCCTGAACCCTGAAGCTGTTCCCTGAACGACTGCCCGCCACTGCCTCCTCCCTCACTCCTGGCCGTCCGCTTCCGCTACCTCTTCCTCCTGACCGTCGATCCGACCACGCAGCAACCACTGCGCACTTTCTCCGTAACCGTTCACCGTCCGCCCGTCCGCGAGGGGCACTCACCGGCTCCGTCTGTGCGTCGGCGTGCCTGGGGCGCTGCCCGCCGGCCGGCACCACCTTCCTGTAGATGTCCACCTCTGCACGCAGCGCGTCTTTCACCTGGTGCAGGCTCTCGATGTGTGCCTCCAGCTCTTGGGCCTGCTGCGAGCCGGCACCGCCCCGCGGCCGGCGACGGCCTGCCGCACACAGATACAGACGTTGTTACTTGCTATGGTATACGCATTACGCGCCCACGTTACCATGCAAATCAATCATATCTGTTGGGCTTGGACCAATTTTAGTACAACACGTCTATGAGACTTATATGCACTCTTACGAACACTCAAGTCAGTCTCAAATCAATATGAGGCACATGGTCGCTAATATGAAGAGACTCGCTAATTACTAGTCCCATGAGTCCTGTCGTTCACCGGTGCGTCGGGGACCCGGGCACTGCGACCCACTGGCGCTCACCAAACCCCGCCGGCCGTACTCACCGCGCTTGGCGTCTGAGTCGGACTGCTGCGCCAGCCACGACTCTGTGCGCGTGCCCAGCGAGCTCTGGTCGAGTCCGATGCGCGCCAGGCTGACGTCCCGGTCCGGCTCGGACCACGCCTCCGACTCACTCCAGTCGGCCGGCGCCGGCGGCGGCGGCGGCTCTGGAATGACGGGCGAGACGGTCAGAGCTGTCTCATTGGATCGGATAGGAATGGCACGGGACGGGCGCTAGCGAACAGTGAACACGACAGGCATTCTGGAAAATAAGGACGGATTTTCACACGGAGCTAATTAGTGACGGAAATAGTCACAGTGTAATGTCTTCAAAAGCGGTCATCGGCTCTTCATTAACTTCACATTTAAATTTAAGTATCCCACTGCCTAAGAGTATAATCTTCTAGCCCATACAGTGAACTCACCTTGAGATTTAGGGTGGCTGCCGTGGCTCTCGCGACTCTCAGAGGCGACAGCTGCCACGGCCGCAGCCGCTGAAGCTGAGACAGGGACATCCTTCTCGGGCACCGGCGCCGGGCCGGTCGTGTCAGCTGCAGAGGCGTCTGCCGGGGCCGGCGTCTGCTCGGCCACCGGAGTCGGGGCCGGATCCACGGCCGCCGTCGGCAGCTGGCCGGCGCTGCGGGTCGGCCCGGCTGCAGGCGGCTGTGACCTGCCGTCGAGCGCCATCAGCTCGGCAGACTGGGCGCGCGCCAGGCTGAGCAGCGGGCTGAGCGCGCGCTCCACAGCGGTACCCGCGCCGGTGGTGTCTGTGCTGCTGGCGCGGTCCGTGGTGCGCTGCCGCTGCACCAGCGAGCGGAACCGGTCGCGCACGTCGCCCGGCAGTCGAGCCGTCAGCTGGCCGCCGGCCCGCTCGTCACCGCCGCCGCCCAGCTCGGTCCGCGGCGACAGCGGCTGCGGCAGCTGCCGCTCCAGCTGGCGGCGCAGCTCGGCCACCAGCTGCGTCTGCTGCAGCAGCTGGGCGTCTCGGCCGGCCAGCTGGGCGGCCAGCGCCTCCAGCCGGTCCGCCTCTCCGGCCGGCCGGACCGTCACCTCCGCCGTCTGCACGGTCCGCTCCGCAGTGGCGACCTCCCGCTCAGCCGTCTGCACCGTCTGAGACGCGGTCTTGGCACGCTCCTGGGCGGTTTGCGAGGTCTGGGAAGCGGTCTTGGCACGTTCCTGAGCAGTTTGCGCGGTTTGTGAGGCGGTCTTGGTGCGCTCTTGGGCGGTTTGCGAGGTCTGCGAGGCGGTCTTGGTGCGCTCTTGGGCGGTTTGCGAGGTCTGTGAGGTGGTCTTGGCGCGTTTTGCGCTGGTCTGGGAGGTCTGTTCTGTGGTCCGAACGCGGGCTGCCGCCTGGGTGCCTTGTTCCGCGGTATTCGGCGCAGATCCTGCCTGTACCTCCGCGTCAGACGTCTCCACCTCCTGAGCGGGCGGCCGTTCGGACCTCTGTTCGGCCGCGCTCTGCTGACTCTCAGCAGCGCCGACAGGAGACACCCGGAGCGAGCCCGGCGCCTTCCCGCCTACCGAGCTCTGCCGCTGCGCCTTCCCGATGTCCCTGGGCGCCGGGGTGGGCACGGCCGGGCCCTGGTCGCGCACCGGCTCCAGTTCCGGGACGTGCAGCGACGACTGTTCGGCGAGCGGCAAAGCAGCCGAGCCGTTCAGAGACCACTCGCAGCCGTCCCCACCGAGCAGCAGGGACTGGCTCAGCGACTGCGAGAGCTCGCGGCTCTGCAGCAGCGAGCGCTGCAGCTCGGCCATGTGCTGGGCCGTCAGGCAGCTCAGGTCCAGCACGCCGCGTTCCTCCAAGTTGAGCAGCATCTCCAGGAAGTCTGCCAGCTGCTCGAGCCGGCGCTGCAGCAGCTCGGCCGCCGACTGCGTGTCGGCTAGGCGGCGGCGCAGCTGGGCCTGCTCGCGGACGTGGTTCGCCTCCGTCTCGTGGTACTGCTGCCACGTCGGCGCCGCGACCGTCTGCTCGATACGCTCGCGCAGCGCGCGCGCCTCGCACTCGTGCTGGCGCCGCTGCTGGTCCAGGTGGCGCAGCAGGGCCGCCTTCTCCTGGTCGCGTTCGGCCAGCAGCTGGCGGGTCTGCAGCAGCTCGCGCCGGTGCTCGCCGCTGGCCGCCAGCTGCTGGTCGCGCGTCTCCAGCTGGTCGCGCAGCTCAGCGATCTCGTTGAGCTGTCCCTCTGCCAGTGTCAGCTCACGCTCTCGGCTGGCCAGCGTGTCTCGCAGCTCATCCATCTCCTGCAGCTGAGCGCCAGCGGAGGCCAGCTGGCGCTCGGTGGCTCTCAGCCGGTCCGCGGCGCCGGCCAGCTCCGCCAGCTGCCGCTCCCGCTCGTCCAGCGCCTGCCGCAGCCGCTCGGCGTCCGCAGCACTCTCCTCGCGCTCCGCCAGCTGCCGGTCCTTCACCAGCAGCTGGTCGCGCAGGTCAGCCAGTTGGGCGCGCAGTCCAGCCGCCTTCTCTGAGCCAAACTCGCTGGGGTCTGACGGCGCGGCCGCCGACTGAGCCGAGTCGGCACCCAGCTCCCCGGCGCCGCCCAGCTCGACGGCTGTCGGCGCGCCGGGCCGCGGCGCCGCCAGCTCGGCGCACAGCTCTCCCAGCTCGCGGCTGAGCCGCTGGCGCAGCTGCGGCGCCGGCAGCGGCTCGTCCAGCAGCCGGCGCTGCTGCAGCAGCCGCTCGCGCAGCCGGCCGATCTCCGAGTCTCGCTCGCCCACCAGCAGAGTGGCGTGCGCCAGCTGGGAGCGCAGCGCTACCACCTGTCCGCAGATAAGTCAGACAGTCAGCCAGTGGATGACATGGTTCGAAATCGGTGGATAAACCAGCGAGAAAACGGTGTACCGTGTCACAATACGTTGCTAGAAGGTTTGTGAGATATGTGGATCATCGAGTAAAGGGAACGACCCAGATTACTAATTGTTTGCTCAGCTCACCTTTTTTATTTGGGCCAATCGGTATTTATATTCCAATAAAAAGCGCCACGGGGTTCAGGGTATCGATTCTGGGCTACTACATAGCATACTACATAGCTAAAGGTTTTCCGTACCTGGCTATTGACTTCCTGCAGTGAGCTATCCGTGGCGGCGCGGTGTGGTGAGCCCGCCTTCGGATGAGGCGAGGAGCCGCCGTCGGCCGCGCCGGCGCCGCGCTCCTTCAGCTGCGCCAGGAGACGCTGTGGATATACAATCGACAATTAATAGCTATATAGACCACGCTGTTGGACAACATGGGTTTTAAGTCGGTAATGCGAAAGACCCGTGGCCATAATGCTCAGTCACCCCTTTGTTGTTCTATTCCGGAACCATCCGTCTCACAGAGTAGCTGACCTGTATCTGTCGCTCCTTCTCCAGCACCAGTTCCATCTTCTCGTCCTGCAGCTCGCGGATCAGCTTCTTGTTCTCCTCCAGCTCCGTCCACAGCCGCTGTCAGAGCCGGGCATCAACAGGTCAGACGGGCGTCACGTAAGGCCTCAGCAGCGCCACCTAGCAGCAGTACTGGCAGAATCGCACAGCAGAGGACAGCCGCGACCGCTTCCAAAGTTAACATGGCGCCGTTCACAACATAAATATTTACGTTAAAGTAAAGAAACACTCTGGTAAAAGGTGTAGCTAAAATTGATTGTGCTGAGCTGGTTGCAGATAACACATAGCTGCTCATGCGTCACAAAACAATTGGTCAGGGAGCGCAGTCCGTAGGGCAGGTTAGCGAGAGCAGGTAAGTTCGACGGGAGAGAGAGAGGGGTGAAAAGAGAAGATCGGAGGGGAGAGGACTACCTCGTTCTCCTCCTCTGCCAGCTCCTTGACCTCCCAGCGGTACTTGACCAGCAGATCGTTCATCTGTTTCATCTCGGCCACCATGGTGCGAATCTTGCGGTCCTTGCGCTGGGTCTCGGTCCGCAGAAGGTACACCTGTACCTCGTGCGGAGTTAGAGGAGGCGCCGGCGCCGCGCCGCCGCCACACAGAGACGGTACGCACTGGGGGAGACAGGGATGGGCAGAGGATGAGGAACAGGGAGGAGAGGAGGAAATGGGAGAGGAGATGAGAGGAGAGCGGGGAGAGGAGAGGACCTGCAGCAGCGGACACCGGATAGGCCGCCTGGCCACTTACCGTGGAATGGCCCGGACGGGCCGCGCGCCTCCGCCGGGCTGGCGACAACGCACCACGATAACCGCCACCACCCGTCAGGCAGCGGCAGCAGTGGGCGGTCTCAACGGTCAGAGCGGAGTCCAGTGTATTTCTTACAAAAGACACACATAAGCACCCATGCACCTATTCACTCGACAGCCGCGGCACCAGCACACGCATCACATGAAAACAACACACCACAATCCCATGCAACGCCAGACATTCATAACACATGCGCATGCAATGACACAGAAACACGCTCAAGGATGGTAACGAGCATGTGGCACCTATGAGGCACGCTATTGATCACCGTGAACCCAGTTGTTACCCCGTGGAAACCCCGCAGATGAGCGTTATGCCAGTGATGAAAAATAATAGCAACTCATGACAAAAGGTTCATGCAACAATCAAAAGTGACAGAAGAAATTGACGTTGAACAGCTCACGAGCAAAAGCCATTCCAGCAGCACTCGCGAGGCGCACGCACATTTACAGCGGAGATGGCGGCGGCCTCATTAGGCCGCCGACTGCCGGCACGTGGCGCAGCCGCGCCGCGCAGGTCGCACAGGGGCACCTACCGCCGTCTCGGCGCTGGGGGCCGCCACCGCCGTCTGGGCGGGGGCGGGGGCGGGGGCGGCGTCCGCCGGCGCGCCCTCGGTGCCGCCGCCGTCACCCGTGGCCAGGTACTGTTTCATGGTGTCGTGCAGTTTACGCTGCTCCTCGATCAGCGACTTGACGTGCGCCTCGCTGCGGCGCTGGGCCTTTTTGGCGGCGGCCAGCTCTGCCTTTCGTTCGACCAGCTGGGCGCCGACCGACTGCAGCGCGGCGGTCAGCGTGGCCTCGTTGGTGGCCGCCGCTGCCGGACAGGTAACCGGTCAGATGGGATACACGAGGTCATACGATGATACCTCGTCATACGATACACATACGATACCTCGCCAGATGGGATACACGAGGTATACGATACGTCGATACCTCGTCATACGATACGTATACGATACCTCGTCAGATAGGATACACGAGGTCACACACGGACAGCCGCGGTTAGATGGCACGTCAGACGGCACGGACATGTTGTCATACACTGACTTACGAATACACGGATGCATTGAAACAGACACTATCAGACGTAAGGATGGGGAACACAACAACGATCTATTGCAATAAAATCCCTCAATCCGATTTTTACTGCATCAGTCATATTCACTGCAGCGTTCCTCAAAACACATCAGCACACAATCCCACCTGCTAGTCTCGCCACCGGCCGGTTAATCCGTTGAGGTAACTGACCGGTATTTACCCCGATGGTCTGTTTCCCACGCCGCTCAATCTGTCCCAGCCGACTGTCTCGACTGACCTTTGAGCCGATCGGTGGCGCGCTGCAGGGCCTCCTCCATCTCCACGAGACGAGCGCCGTCGGCAGCTCGGCCGGCCGTCAGCCGGTCACAGGTGCGCTGCAGCTCCTCTGCCGCTGGTGGTCTCTGCTCCGCCTGCAGGGCAGGTTAGGGGCGGTCAGAGAGGTCACAGGTGCGCTGCAGCTCCTCTGCTGCTGGTGGTCTCTGCTCCGCCTGCAGGGCAGGTCAGGGGCGGTCAGAGAGGTCACAGGTGCGCTGCAGCTCCTCTGCCGCTGGTGGTCTCTGCTCCGCCTGCAGGGCAGGTCAGGGGCGGTCAGAGAGGTCACAGGTGCGCTGCAGCTCCTCTGCCGCTGGTGGTCTCTGCTCCGCCTGCAGGGCAGGTCAGGGGCGGTCAGAGAGGTCACAGGTGCGCTGCAGCTCCTCTGCCGCTGCTGGTCTCTGCTCCGCCTGCAGGGCAGGCCAGGGGCGGTCAGAGAGGTCACAGGTGCGCTGCAGCTCCTCTGCCGCTGGTGGTCTCTGCTCCGCCTGCAGGGCAGGTCAGGGGCGGTCAGAGAGGTCACAGGTGCGCTGCAGCTCCTCTGCCGCTGGTGGTCTCTGCTCCGCCTGCAGGGCAGGTCAGGGGCGGTCAGAGAGGTCACAGGTGCGCTGCAGCTCCTCTGCCGCTGGTGGTCTCTGCTCCGCCTGCAGGGCAGGTCAGGGGCGGTCAGAGAGGTCACAGGTGCGCTGCAGCTCCTCTGCCGCTGGTGGTCTCTGCTCCGCCTGCAGGGCAGGTCAGGGGCGGTCAGAGAGGTCACAGGTGCGCTGCAGCTCCTCTGCCGCTGGTGGTCTCTGCTCCGCCTGCAGGGCAGGTCAGGTCAGATCGGGTTAGGGTGGGTCAGGCTAGGTCAGACGGCCACGAGTGCGCTGCAACTTCTCAACCAACAGCGGCCTGTGCTCCGCCTGCCATGTCAGGTCCAATCAGATCAGCAGTGACGTCAGGCGTAAGCCGGTCTAAGGTCCGCTATCACGTAAGTGTTCCGACGTCTAGAAATGGTGAGCAGTACTTAACTCTTCTTGAATTTTCCCCTCAATCCTTTTACATGGAGTTGAGCTGGCTGATACCGTCGTCACTGCTTAGGAAAAAAAACGTTTCACTTTTCTTTAATTTCAATTTCAAATTATCATGTGCATTAACGTAGGGCGTCATTCCACCCATATCTCGTTAGCCCTAAAAGCACTAGGCTAGGCCACAGTTATAAAGGACAAATTATGGGCAGGACTGTACACCGATTGTGCGCGCGACTAATTGCCCGTGTTAGCCCGAAGAAACGGTCGTGCTCGTAACAAGAGTTCGTGTATCGCCGCTCAGGTAACACTAGCTGAACAAAATTAAACAGCGGACAGACAACCCTGACAAAAAGGTAAGGCAGGCTGAAGTCTATTAACCGAGCCTTGTTGTTTGACTGTTTCGGCGCCCGAACAATAAGATCAAAGGGTGTTGTCTGGCAGATGGGGCGTGTGAGAGGCGGCACGAGTCCAAACTCCGGTCAGAGAGGTGAGACAAATGGCGTCTGGTTCCGGCCGGACCTGGCACGCCACCAAACAACAGAACGGGGCGCCACTTCACCACGCAAAACAGACCAAAATAGCGCGCTTACTGCGCCGAACTATAAAGTGATTGGGGCCAGACGGAGAGCGCTTCTGTTTCCCGGTATCGGGGCTCGGATGGATTCTGTAACCCCTTCCCTGTTTACCAGTGGAGAACATCAGCGATAATATACGAGGCACCACGAGACCGACCTGTAGCAGCTGCTTCCTGAGCCGGGTCAGCTCGGCGCCGGTGCTCTCCTGTTCGGTCTCCAGCTGTTTGAGCTGCTGGGTCAGCCGCTCGACCTCTGCGCCGCTGCGCTCGCGCTCGGCTCGCAGCCGCGCCGTGTCGGCGGCCGCGCGCTCCTGCTGCTCGCGCAGCTGGCGCAGCTCGTCGGCCAGCTGGTGGCAGCGGCGTTCCTGCTCCGGCAGCCGGTCGGCGGCGGCGCGGGCCTCGGTCAGCTGCCGGCGCAGCAGCTCAGACTCCTGGTCCCGCTCCTCAGCCGTCTGCGGGAGAGGGAAGGCGAAACATTCAGTGAGCGCAGGTGATACCGCTCCGAACACTAATTGGTACCTATATGCAGATGACACTTAAGGCCGCCGTCCACTGTGCGGAACGCGTGCGGTCCGTACGGAATTTAACACAGAACCCTATGGGCGCATCCGGTCCGTACGGAAATCGTGAGCGCGCTCCGTCCGGACCGCATCCGAACGGCAATCAGCTGTTGATTTTCCGTCAGCTCTCCGCATGCGTTTCGGATGCGGTTGCTACGGAGACGGAAGAGTGATGTCCGACGCGTTGAACTTTTCTGCGGAAAACGCATCCGGAACGTCCGGAATAGACGTGGTTTGGGGCCGTATCGGAGTCGAACATTGTGAATTGTACGAAGAATTGGAACTCGATCATCATGAAGTAAGTAAAAATTATTTCCTTAGAATGGCAAGCGTATTCGCTGCTGGTTCCTTGCAATATTATATTTGGTAATAAGTGATAGGAAACATTTATTAGCTCTCCGCATCCGGACCGCATCCGGACCGGATGCGGCCAGCGTGCGGCGACATTCCGGACGGACTCCGGACGGAATTCCGTCGCAGTGGACGGCGGCCTTTACTCCCTGCCGTCCGGAGATAACGCCCGTTCAGTCAACCAAAGTTACAGACTACAGGGCTGACAGGCCGGAGAGCCAGCAACAACAGCCAGCACCATCGAGCCACAGCACATCCTAATGATGCGGCTCGGCTTACCAATTATGCTCACCAGTACCATCGCCACAGACCAGCTCGGCTCGCTCTGGTATATAACGCTATGTTTCATCTTTCCTAGCTCCGTCACCCACCTGTTTCATCTGCCCGAGCGCGTCCTGCAGCTCGGCCATCTTGGCCTCCAGCTGGCCGAGCTCGTGCTGGCTGTGGCACGCCGCGTGGTCCACCGACAGAGGCTCGAAAGCCCTCAGGTAGGGCTGCTCGATGGCCGACCGCTCCGCCAGCGCGGCACGTTCCTGGTTGGCACGCTCCTGGGCGTAGTGAGCGGGGATGGTCACCGGTGACAGCGACACACACAACTTCAGACATACACGCCGTCCAGGCACCGAGAACGGTAAGCACAAACAACGGTCGTCAGTCCGGCGACAATTTACCAGCAGGGCAGGCGGCAATAATCAATTAGGAGATTCCGCCACCGACACACTGACCGGCAAACGCTAACCAGCGCGGTAGTATTCAGCGGCCACTCTGGAGACCAATCCACTCAGCTCATAAACTGTACACACTCAACAGCAAAGCGGTAAGCCCATCGAAGGCCCATCGCCCATCGAAGATCACCCCCCTGGATCCACCAATCACAGCACACAGCCCCCACTGACCAGCGCGTTCTGCAGCTCCTCCAGTCGCCGCTCCAGCTGGAGCCGCTCGTCCTCGGCGCGCTGCTTCTGCCGCTCCAGCTCGGCACCGTACTGGTGTTCCAGACTCTCCAGGGCGTCCGAGGCGTGCCGCAGCAGCTCCTTCTTCTGGGCCAGCTCATCACGCAGCGTGGCCAGCTGCACCTGTGCGAGAAACCGGAAACGTCACATAATGCCGACAGTAATGTGATACCGACGGCCACCGGATATCGACGGCCGTCCGGATATCAGTGGGCATAGATTCGCATTACACAGACGCCTACAATGTCCGACGTCCACAACTGCATCGATCTCAGAGAAAAGACAAGGGAAAAACGCAAAAAGCCTGCTAGTAAGGATCAACTGCATCGCAATAATATTGTCGGCTAGTATCGTGAAGCGGAAAGCAGCAGACATTCAGTTTCGGTAGGGCACGAGGCTCGAGCCTCACCCTACCTTGAGGTCGACGATTGTATTTGTGTCGTTGTCGGGCGCGCCGCCGCCCGGCAGTCGTTCCTCCAGCATGTAGATGCGCAGCTTCAGCTGGAAGTTCTCCTGCTCCAGGTTCCTCTGCTGCTGCTCGTATTCCTTCATTGTCTTGCGGCCCGGGGAGGCAGCGCCCCCACTCACTGTCCGCACGGAAAATGCACGTCAAAAAAGGCATAGCCAGACATACAGCATTATTTGAGTCGAGTAAATACGGAAGCCGAACAACATTTGAATAATACAAAATGTTCTCACGTTGATCGATGCAAAAATATAGCGAACATCCCGACAACATTATGATGAAGCACGACACCTAGATTAGGCAAGGTAGTAGGAACACCTGCTACAGTGCACAACTCTGTACTAGTTCATCTCATTCGCTACTGAACCAAGGCATCCCGGATCAATTTTACGTTCCTGTTTCGTTCAGCCACCAGCGCAGACGCTCGATTGTTAAGCAGTTAGCGTGACTCCTCCCTGTTCCTGTCAGCGGCCCCGCTCCTCTAATCCCTGTCCTGATCCAGTTGACACGTATCCCGACATACTACCGCGGTTCAGCAACAGGCGACACGTGCTGCTGTTACCGTGAGCCGTGCAAACAACACGGCCTACATTCGGCGGCAAAAACCGCGGCCGGCCCGGGTCCGCGCGTTGGCGGGTCTCCCGTCGGCCGGGCTGCCGGGGAGGGACGGTCCGCTGGCAGCATACCACGCCGACGCCGACAGCGCTCAGAAAACAACCGGAACGGAACGCACTAGCCTTCTGGCTCAAAGGTCAGCGCAGCGTGCCCAGAACCCAAGCGGCATTATATGGACTCCGAGCTCAAGCGGCACCGGCCAGACTCGGGGAAATCTCAGTAGTCCTTCGGTAGCTTGATGGCTCAAGCATAGGATATCCTTTTTTTATTTTGACAGCAAAGAGCCTTTGTTCAAAATGTTGGCAGTGATGAAAACGGTAAGTACTGAATACTGATCTTACAAAAGTCGTCATGTATTTTCTGATTACAAAGGAGCATTGCAAGTGTGGAACCTACGACCTCACTTCTGCGTCAGACTTCATTGCGGTAAATATAGTGGATTACACTGAGGGCGAGCAATGCCCTCTTCTCCATCGGCTCGGTGGAAGATAACAACGCAGTAGGTACGTAGTATACGGCGAGTTGGCTGCCGGAGCGGCGCCGACGGGGTGACGGTAGCGGCCAACTGCGTCACCGGGGGGCGCCCAGTCGGTCAGGGTCGGCAGCGCCGCGGGCCGTCCCCCACACCCCATCAGCCCGCCGGCTGTGACCGCGCCAGTGGCCAGACAGATCGTCCCGCAGACAGGTCAGGGACGACGCAGACCGCGTCCCCAACAGCGAGACCAATAAACAGGGCCCGTTTCTCGAAGGCGTGCAGTCAGACCGACTGACCCTATCGCTGACAGAGTGGCTTCAATTGGCCGCCCACGACCGGCAGTTCTGCGGGCTGAAGATGGACGAGAGGTCGCGGAGGCGTCAGCGACCCGTGCCGCCAGTCCGTCTCGTTTGAAAGGGTCGGGACGCCGCTGTTGCCCGTATCGCCTTTGAGACTATCATGCTTCTCAACACATTATTCAGACACAATTTCATCCAAACGAAAGCTGAGTGAACGAAACGAAAGCACATCCGCGTTTTCGGCCAGGAAGTACCGCAAAACGTTACATTACAAGGCGCCCTCGTACACGCTGGTGTTGGGGCAAGGGAATCGAACACCATTTCGGCGGAATGCCCCGGTCTCACATTGAGCCAAGGCGACCCTACCCATCTGCGGAGCCTCCGTAGCCCCGTCCATCACTGACGGTTCCAAACAGCTCGACACACGACCCGCCCCCGAACTGCTCCATAAACCACCCACAGACGCGGATGGGCGCAGCTGGGCGGCTTCCGAACGGCATGCAGCTGGCTGGCAGACGAAACTGCGAGCCGACCGAGGCGACCAGGCTTCCTCCTGATGTCTGGACAAGTGGCTGGTTTGGGAAATAGCTGCGACAAACAGCCGGGTCACCTTTTGCTGCTTAGGCCAGTGATAGACTTGCGAGCAGCTGCCACCGTCGACTTTAAACAAATTTATTGACTTCAAACGTCAACTTCACTGGACTTCAAAATGTTGCTATTTGAAAGCTGAATCTTCTGCGGACCCGTTTCGGCTCCCACTCTGTGTCGATCTCCGCCCGAGCGATGTCGGACGCCGAGGGGAAGCGATGAGTGATTGCTCGGCGGCGGCCCGGTTTGGTCAGCAAACAGCGCCTCCCTGTACGCGGCGTGTGGCTGTCCCAGACGGCGGGGCGCCGCGCCGGCTCGCCTAAACACACCGCAGACGGACGGACGGAAGCGGTAAGGCCGGGCAGACGGTCCGCGGCAGCAAACCCCGACGGTGAACAGACATCTCTGGCACACGCCGGGGGCGTGGATCAGGCGACTATATCATTCATCCGAGACCAGACAGCAGCAGCACCAACAGAGAATGGCAGGCGACTTGACAAAGCCGCTTGGACGGACGTCTTTCCCGGATAGGCGGTAGTTATCGCCGCTTAGCGTGCGGTTAAACCGTGCGTTCGGTCAGGATTCAGGAAGCCCGTACTACTCATCGTCCAGACTATCCAGTCAGGTGCTCGCCGTTCGCCGTTCGTTCAGTTCGTTCGTTCACTCTTACCACTTAGGGCGGTGGCCCCTCTACCCACTCAGTCAGGTGGCCCGTCCTTCTGCGCCCGCCGGCTGCCGCTCGTCACACGGTGACCCGTCGCGGAAGTGGCTGTCGCACCGGCCGCTCAGTGACCCACCTCTGATGGGTACCGGGTCGACGACAGCGAAAGTGCGCCGCCGGTGCCAACCCAAGCGACGCTAGCGAACGACGGGGCTGGCCACCTGCCTCCACAAACAACCGGTCTTCGGTCGGTCCTCCGCGGTACGCAGCCACAAACACTGATGCGGGCGCAGGTCGGGAACTCCGCACAGCGCACGGGAACGCTCCCGAGTCCAGTCTCCACGTCCTGAACGTCACACGGCCCGAGTCGGCAGTCCAGCCACAAAGGGCTCTCGTGATGGTATTGCGGTGCGCACAGCTTACAGCGACCCTTCGTCCATAAACCACCTCCACTACGCCCTGCAGTTGTTTGGTCACTATTGACTGTTGATCATAGGAGCAATTAATCACTTATCCTAAAGCAGGCAAGTGCTAAGAAAACATGAAGATCATCAAGGATGCCGTAGCTAGGCCAAGCAGCGGGTGCTGAGTACTTACGGAGACTGGCCGCGGAGTTGGCGTGCAGGTCCATCCTCGTTATCTCCGGTAGATGGGCCGGGTTGGTGCTGAAACAGACACAGGGTGGTCGGTCAGCTCAACAGTCTCGACACAGTCAACACGCTGGTCTTCGCGTGCGGTCAGTCAGCTCAGCAGTGTAGTACAGACAACACACTAGTCTCTGCTCAGTCAGCTCGACATCCAGGCGCATTGTACAGAATCGTCTATGGTCAGTCAGCTCAGCAGTCTGGCAAAGTCTACAGATTTTATCACGGACTGTGTAAAATAAGCAGAGGTGACGTGCTTAGGTATCAGAATCACTCAAGTAATTGTGTGCACTTCTAAAAGAATAAGAATCGTGAGAAAAAAAGAGCAATTGAAAACGAGGCTCTTCATCCCGAAGCAAAGTGTGAAAGAACCGTCCGTTAGGAACCCGTAGTAAATCATCATTCACCCTCCTCTCGTTGCCTAACGAGTTTTGGGGAGGGAGAGGGAGATACCGCGGCAAGTGCAGTGTGGCTGAGACCTGGCAGCGCTCGGTCCCATCGGTGGATCACTTCCTGTCCGGGACGCCAATGGCTGCTGGCAGCCGGCCACCAGTACCTGCCACTCAGGCCTCCCTCACGCACGCACTCATAGCACCACCACACAGACACCGGTAACCGCTCCGGAGGGACCGGGAAGTCGCCACCCACTCCTCAGCCTCTGCTGTATTTAAAACTCAGCCGTGCCGCTTCGAAAGACAACCAAACTAGTTGCACCGGTGATCTGAGTGGATCGAGTCTCCGAGCTGACCAAGACGACCTACCACAATGGGTGACAAAAATAAGTCACAATTTCATGAAGTCACGACGTACGAACGGATGATCGAACCAAACGAACTGAAACAAAAGTGGAGCATCCACGATAATGCTGCATCTCCATATGCTCCTGCTTCGTAAGAACTTTTTGTGATTTTTTTCTTTTTCACTATTCTCTTGCTGATAAATTTGTCGGTTCATTTTGCGACCTGTGTGTTACCATCCCGTGACCCAATTGTTGGGGACCGATTCCCCCGCTGATGATCTTCCTTCATCACTTTGGGTCGTATCAGATAATTGAGGCATATATTCAAATAAGAGAAGGAAGGTAAGAAGCGACCGAAAGGCTTACAATAATGCATCACTGCGCACTGAAAATGCATTCCCGTTGAATCGACATTGCTCAGTTGATCCCACGGACATGGCCGCCAGCCGCCAAGCTGGCGGCGGGCGCCAGAGGCCGCAGCGAGCCGAGTTCTGAGCAGAGAGCAGGCCGGCTCATCAGCCGACATTGATCGGCGCGGCGCGGCGCGGCTACCGGAGCCGGCGGGAGCCGCTCTCCGCGGATCGCGCGCGCGGCGAAATGGCGCGCCGGTGGCGATCGATCTGACCCGGCCTGACCTCGAACAGAGGGGATGGTGGCGGGGCGGAAAGAGGGGGAGAAAACGGGGGAGCTGGGATAGGGGCTGGGCTGTGAGGTGGAGGGGTGAAAGAGATGGCATGGAAGGGGAACGAGGGCGGAATGCGAAAGAATGAAGTGGGGAGAGAAGAAGAGGGAGGAGTGAAAGTAAGAGTAGGAGTAGGAGTAGGAGTATAGCAGCGAGAGCGATAGCGAGAGCGAGAGCGAGAGAGAGAGAGAGAGAGAGAGAGAGAGAGAGAGAGAGAGAGAGAGAGAGAGAGAGAGAGAGAGAGAAGAGAGAGAGAGAGAAGAGAGAGAGAGAGAGAGAGAGAGAGAGAGAGAGAAGAGAGAGAAAGGGGGGAGAGAGCGAGAGAGAGAGAGAAGGGGGAGAGAGCGAGAGAGGGAGAGAGGGGTGGATAACATGATGGAGAAATAACAGACTTCCCCAACCTGACCCAGCAACAAGGTATATACCCGGGAGATCGACATCAGACACAAAATCTTGATTAGCGTGCACGGAGCGGCAGAACAGATCGGTAAACGGTCGGAACTCCAAAAGGTCAGCGCACTTCGCTGAAGCACCATCCGGCCATCTTCCCCGCAAACATTTGTCATTGTTGAAAATTATACTGAAACCGTGATCTTTCAATCAAGTGAGGAATGAGACCCGCCGGCAAATATATGTATTTACTTTTTCATCTAACGATGAATTAACGAAACGCAGCCCTCTTTTAGCGAGTTGCGTTAAACTCTTCCTTCAGAAAAAAAAATGTTTAGACTGTCACATAACTTCAAAGCTTACCTAAAAACAGCACTTTGATTTAGCCACCCGCTTCTCGCAGTTGATGGAAGTCGCCAACGCACATACGGAACGCTCCCCATTTGCTCGTCGTGAAAGTACAAACAAGTTAAAATATCACCACTTAGCACTTGCACAAAAATATACGCAACCACTACAACATCTTACAGATTGGCTTGGCACAGTCTTTGGCACAACGTCGACACACTGAAATCACGGCCGGGCCGTCGCCCTCGGGAGCTGTCCCATCACGTCTCTCCTCTCCGAGCGCCGGTCACTGCTGGGGACCAGTGATCCGAGTCCCGCGCCATCGCGTGGCCTCTCCAGTGGACCCGTGGCGCGTCCCGTCCGACAGGGCGTCACCCGCCGAGCCGAGCCCGGCCGCCGCACTGCCGCGCCGCTGCCGACACCAGCAGCGGCCGTCCGGCCCGGCCCGGCGCGCCGCCGACGGCACCGTCCGACGACAGGCGCGTGTCGCTCGCCCCGCGCCGTGTCGGATATTTATAGAAACGCGTGGAGGACCCGAGAGATTTCCGAAGGCACCGTCCCTTATGGCCAAAACTCGTAGATATGAGGCATTCCATAGTTGCTCAAATGACACAGGACCGAAGTTACCGAAATTTAGTGAAAAAGCAAGCTATAAGGCAGAAACGGAAGAAAGGCGATGGTGTAATAGCATGTCGACGTAGGTACATATATGTAAACCCACGCACCATAAAAAAGATCCCGCCATCAATACACGGGTTTCTACTCTGTCACTCCCTCCTAAGAAAAAAAAACTATGAACGTTAACGTTTCGTTTTAAGAATTCATACAAGTTCAAAGCCTTTACAAGAACTATCAGGTTACCAAGCAAAATGTTACCTTTCGATGACTGATGACAGCGACTATCCGGTCAAATAGAAGACTCGAAATACAATTCTAAAATCACGGAAAACATTGATTACCTATTCAAAATAGTCCACTTTGCTAAACGCCAACCATATTAACGTGAGTTACGCGTATGAGGTCGCACCTCACGACAAACCACGTCCACAATGCTGTAATACTTTCACACTCTTTGTACATACATACTGAATAACGCGAACAGGTGGTAGCGGTGGGAACGTTTCGACCTCCCATTGAGAATCGATAATAACATGTTAGCGTGTAAACAACATTGGCATTCTTTTTGAACTATTTATAAAAAGACATTCCAACATGTGACCAGTTCCCAGGATGCTAAAGAGCCAACATATGATTAACCCGCGCCGGGCCGGGGAGGTGTTTGAACACCCCCCCCCCTGCGGTTTTTCGCGGTTATCTCAAAAACGGCCGTTTTTGGCACACCTGTTCTGCATCTTTTCCACACATGTTGTGAAAATTTTAGACCCAGGGCTCTCAAGGTCAGGTCACCAGGTCAGGTCAAGTGACCTCACCTCAGAAAAAGTTTCAATCCACGTCATAGCTACACCTACTTAACGATCACCTTGAAACTTTCAGCGATTGATAAGATTAACAGCATGTACAAAATGTATATCTGGGAATTTCGATATCGGTGACCTAAGGTCAGGTCAATTTTGCGACCTCTCCATTATAAGTCAATGAGAGAAAATTGAAATGCGCCTCTTTTGGACGAATTATGTTCAAAACCCTCATAAACATCAGTTCATAGGTAAACATGACACACTGAATCGAAAAAATGCACCTGTGACTCCTCTGTGTGCCCCTAAGGTCATTTCAGGTCATAAACGGTCACCGGCAGTTTTTTGGCTATAACTTTTGACTAAGACGTGCTAGAGCGATGAAAACACGTCAGCTGTATTCAGCTCGACGACACGGATCGACTGATATGCAACATGACCCTTTCCGGTCAGGTCATGACCTTGACCTGAGGTCAAATTTTCAAAATGACCTTTCAAGGTCAACAAATAGTTCATTCGACGCGTCTCGACGAAAGGAACACGATACTACCAAACGTAATGTCGTGGCTCTCTTGAGTCAAAAGTTATTGGCGAAAAACCATTTTCGTGAAAACTGCTATTTACAGTCATTAAGAGTTTTTGCCCTCTGGAGGCTAAACCGTTGACCTGAGGTCAAATCTGAGAACATAACCCAGAAAGGTCTGTGAACGGGCTATCGAATGCGCTTTTCCGCGGCGCTGAAGCTCTACTGGTTCCCGAGTTAGCCGTTGGCAGTTTCCAAAATTGTTGAAATGGACTACACTTGACCTTTGATGACCTCTGGCGACCTGACCTTTGAGCTGACCCAAAAATGACCGAAGTGTTTTCGTCCTTATTTTTGACGCTCTTTCGAATGCTGGTTACCGCGCGTCGCTACGTGGCGACGTCTAACTCGCCCCGTCCCGGCGCGGGTTAAGAACTGGTGGCACCTATTCCACAGCTAAAATCACAGGTGAAATCATTCACTGTTGCATTTGGTATTCATTTCATGTCTAATGACTGTTGTGTTTATACCCTAACCCTAGTGGGTACTCAACTGGCACAGGTACTGGCTGTGGCCATGTATCCGGCCAATTTTTTTCAGTGACTGGTTAGGTAGTCTAGTGTCAGTGTCTTGGTTCAGTGTCTTGCTTTCGATTGGCATGATCATTGATCATCTCATCTGTATCATTTGACATGTAATTAAGCATAATGGCATTTGGCAGAATTGATTTGCAGGTGGGAAAGGGTGAATGGGTCATACTAGCCTGTGTAGGCTAGAGGTTTTAAGTTTTTTCTCCCACCAGTTGTCAACATTATCAAGAATAAATCTTGTTGTTTATCATACTTATCATCCACATGCCATAAGGCCTTCCTAAATTCTGCGTATTTACTTACTTACTTAGAAAGTACGGGATTTGGATAGGCCAAAGGCCTTTAGAAACCTTTCTAGTCGAGCTCCTCGTGCGTCTGACTATTCAGCTGCGTGAGGGGTGTCGTGTGCGAGGTGTGCCCAGCAGTGGGTGTCGAGCCGGTTTTTGAACTGGTTCAGAGTGTCAGAGCCGACGACCTCTGGCGGTAGGCTGTTCCAGTCGTTGATAACGCGGATGGAAAACGCGTTGCGCCGGATCCTGGAAACTGCTCGCGGCTTGACTAGTCTCCATCGGTGTCCTCTTGTTCTGCTGGATGCCATCTCGAAGAAGCTGTGAGGGTCTATGTCGAGTCTACCGCGTAGCAGCTGATAAACCGCGATCATATCACCGCGCCTCCGTCTGTAGTACAGCGTTGGCAGCTGCAGGGCTTTCAGTCGCTCTCGGTACGGGAGGTGTCTTAGATCCGGGACGAGCTTGGTCGCCCGTCTCTGCACCCGCTCTACCAGCCGCTGGTCCGCCCGGTTGAAGGGACCCCACACAAGGTTCCCGTACGCAAGGTGGGGTCGGACAAGGGCCTTGAGGAGCAGGGGGAGGGTTGATCTGTGGAGCAGGTGGAATGACCAACGAATCAATTACTGCCTTACTGACGGCCGCAGCAGCCTCTTTCCGAAACTTGAGCTGAGCATCCATGAGGACACCAAGGTCTCTCTGAACTTCTGAGTCCGCGACAGTTTCTTCCCCATCCAGTATGTGTGGTGCTGATTGCCTCCACCGATGTGGAGCACCTTACACTTTACAGGGTTGAATGACAGCTGCCACCTGCCTGCCCAGTGAAGTGCCGCGTTCAGGTCCTCCTGTAGAGATTCGGAGTCAGACCGAGAGCAGATACGTCGGTAGAGTTTACTGTCGTCGGCGAATATCTTTATCCGGCAATGCAGTGGTTCCAGCAGGTCGTTCACGTATGGTGTGGAGAGTAATGGAGCAAGGACTGAGCCCTTAGGAACACCACTTGGTACTGGTACAGCAGCCCAGTCAGACTTGCTGCTTCCAAGGCTGACTCGCTGCTTTCGTCCATCCAGGAATGCACCAATCCATCTGAGAATCTTGCCTCCATTGCCATGAGCCTCTTCTTTCTTCAGTAGGCGTCTAGGTGGAACTGTGTTGTATATTATGAGTAAAAGTAAGAAGTATCAGTTATCAACTTCACAGGTGCTCACTTGTCTCAAAACATATTGGCGATAAGACAGTATTATTTAGAATAGTCATTCAAAGGGCCCAATTGAAAAAGGAGTGACACAAGTTGGGTGTTGATAAAAGAAGTGGCTCAAGCTGAAAAATAGAACACCTTAGACAATGCAATGCAAAAAGTAGAAAGAGATGTTCAGCTTTACATTTTAATAAATATTGAGTAAAAAGAGTAAAAGCTAACAAAAGCAAGTTAAAATGTAAGAATCCATTTAAACCCCATTCAACTTACCTTGCCTCAAGCTGCCAGTCGACTCCCGTAACATCAACATCAATTGACTCTCTAGGCAGTCCTTTGCTCAAGGAATCTAGGCCATTCTTAACTGCTGAATCATGACCTGGCATCTTAACAAAAAAAGCAGATGCAGCTTAAGTAAACTTAATAATGAAGTATAATGTTCAAACTGATCTCAATCTGTGGCGGTGAATCGTATCTCAGAATGAGAAGGCGTGATGTCGAACACTTCCGAGATAATTTTAGCTGCATGTCAACCTATGCTACTCTCATCTTAGTGAAAAATAGAATGTACTACATAGGTTATCAAAATACATCGAAATTGAGCAACCGAAAAATCTCAAAACGTCCGTAAATCCACGTAAATCGTTGATTCCACACCACCGTCAGTCAAAAGTCAAATTGAAATCCAACGGCACAAAAATCACATTAATGTTTGTTTGTATCAATTGCACCGGAATTGTACGTCTTCTATTTGAACATTTGCGCCTTGAAAATCAATAGCTTCTAATAAATGACGTAAAGTGCGTTATATTCATTGTATTAAAAATAACACACTCTTTATAAATTAACATTATTAATTTTTCTATAAGATTAGTTAAAATAGTAACAAATTTGGATTAAAAATGGGTTAAAATTGATTAACAGAACATGTGACGTCATTTCTTAAAAAATTAAGGTTTGGTAAGTTTAGCTTTTTCAGTAACCTGGGACTTTCTCTCACGCCGCTTCTCATTTTGGATCCGGATCCCGTGTGGTGTGGGTGGTTGCCTCCGGTTGCCTCCACGGCCTCCGTAATCTGTGTCGATTCAATTTTTCATAGGCGACAGTAGTATTCTGTTGTCAGATTGAGGTAAGAATGTTGTTGAGGTGATGATTCATCTTTTTCGCCTATTGTCTGTTAGTGATGAGAACCGTACAAATCCCGTTCATTCTCTGGCTTTGTTTGTTTTGTTTTTTATATTGATAACATTAACATAAAATGTATAGATACGATTATGATTGATTCCATGCTATGGTACTGTGGCCTCTTCATTGCATCTTCGAAAGGCTACGAAAATGAAAGCCTTTCAAAATGCATGTGTCCGAAATACTGAGGAGTCTAATTGGCAATTGGCATTCATATTTGATATTTGCTCTAGGCACCCATAGTCCATATCTTTGTATTGGCTGATAAATTTGAATGGCAACTGGACTGTAGTCTCATGCTCAGTCTTATAACATTGTCTTGCTAAGGTGCCTATCCCTTGAACTGGATGCTCACGGAGTCTCAGCCTTTTTTAATAAGCCAACATTTTAGAGTATTTATTTTCTGACATTAATGTTCATGCTGCTGGAGGTTTTTCCCACTTGAAATTAATGAAATTAGAGTATTGTGCCATGATTTTTAAAGTGCTTTCAATATAATACCTTTCTTTCACACACTGCTCCTCTGCAACCTGCAGGTGGTGCTGGTGACTTATATTGGCTGCCCCTAATATCTTAGCAGCAGGTTCAGGTTAGCAGGTATGCCTCATATATATTGGCCTTATATCTGTCTCCCAGCACAATTTAATTGCATATGGGTGGGTGTTAAGGTGCCAACCAGAAGTCTGACAATACAGGGTAGGTTCTGAAACTTCTGACTGCTGTAACATAAAGAAACATGAATAAGCAAAAAAACAGGATATTGCCTAGAGTATCTAGCTTTGTATGCCATTCTGTGGCTAACAAAATAGGTCGCACCCTCTCAGACTAGCTAGCTCAGGGTCCCAGCTGGTTTTCCTTCAAAAGTAATGAACCTTTGGCAACTGATTGATGGTGAAGCTCCCAGTTCCATTCATTGTAATGTATTGCTCCTAAGCATGCACTGTTAATTTCTTGTTTGTTTCCCCAGTGGATGCTCAGTGGTCTGCTACCATGAGGCTGTTGCCGCGGCCTGCCTGGCTGCTGCTGTCTCTGCTGCTGGCCGTCCTGGTCCTGGGGTCGGCCGGACAGCGGCGGCGCCAGCGGTCCGACGTGACCCGCTCCCCGGGCCACTGGCTGGAGGACGGCTCGGCCGTCTCGGCCCACGCTCTGCGCGACACGCTGCAGGAGGTGCGCCAGCAGCTGCGCGCGCCGTACATTTCGCGCGCTCAGCGGCGCCACCTGAAGGCGCGCAAACGTCGTCTGCGCGAGGAGCTGCGCGTTCAGCGGGCCCAGCGGCGCCGAGATCGCCGAAAGCGGCGTCGGCAGCAGGCGCGGGGTCGGCTCCGGCCGGCGGTGACGGCGCCCGAGCCTCACTTTGACCCTGCCGAGCACCGCTCGGACGCCGGCCTCTCGGAGCCGGCGGCCCGCCCGCCGCCGGCGACTGCGTTGGACCCCTTCATCGACAGTGACGAGACGCCGACCGAGACGAGTGCCGTGGACGCCGTAGAGGATCGGCCGCCCACGGAGGGTGACGAGCGGCCACTGGACTTGTCGGAGGGTGACGAGACGTCACTGGACTTGTCGGAGGGTGATGAGCAGCTGTCGCTGGATGGGTCAGAGGGTGCTGAGGAAGACTCTCCATTGATTGACGGATCGGAGGATGACGAACTGGACTCTTTTGTGACGGACGGGTCAGAGGAGTTGGACGCCCCAGTGACGGACGTGTCGGAGGAGCTGGACACTCCAGTGGTGGACGTTTCGGAGGAGGAGGTGGCCGCCGGAGCGGACAGCGGCAGCTTTCTCAGCTCGCTCTGGGACTGGGTGGCGCAGCCGGACGACGCGCAGGGCAGTGTGGAGGAGCCCGAGCCGGAGCCGCAGGACGCCGGCTGGACGGTGCCGCCGCTGCCGGCCGGCAAGCGACCCAACATCGTCATCATCATGACGGACGACCTGGACGTCGAGCTGGGTGAGTGTTATCGCTTTATACCTTGGAGTGTATCTGGAGATATGGCGGGTGTCGAACCGCCACATCGCTACAACATTGCCAGATTGTGACGTCTTGGCTTGGAGGGAAAGGAGGGCACCGTAAAAACTGCTAAGATGTTAGGGACACTATCGTTTAAGGCTTTACTGCTTATGAATAGGAGGGCTTTTGAAGTCCAGGCACCAGATAGCCCATCTTTTATCTCATATCTGTGCTGTAGTATGTGTTACTCACTATAAATGGCTGTAGTGTTGTGATTAATGATACGGTAACGTTTGGCAATGCTGTAGTGTTGCGATTAGTGATACGGTAACGTTTGGCTGATCTGTCCATCTGCTGCCGAGATCACGGCACCAATCGGCTGCAGGCTCGAATAGCGAAAGGAATTCGCGAAAGACACCGAGACCTTTGCAGACTTCGTCTCCATGGTATACGTTGAGAATCATGATGCCCGTCTGTCCGGAGTTCGTCCCCTGTTTTGGCAACAGTCGTCTGCGGTGCTCAGTAGCTGTCCATAACGGTTGGCTGAACAGCCGAGTTTGGCCGACAGCCACCGTCTGCCGTGGCCCGTGTGCCAAGAAACTGCCGTCTCGCAGACCGGTGAAGGCCCCTCCGTCGTTTGCACCCGGGCCCTGCGTCAGTATTGCGGTCAGAATGGCCCTGCTCGATGGGGAGCTGTCTGCTCAGTGCTCAGCACTTGAGATCGATAGCTACCGAGTCCCGTACGTCAGGAAATTCTGCACGCCAATCATCATACGATAGCGTAGCTACTATCAGTTACCGGTGCTGGAGGCATTTCTGGCTAAACATAATCAGTATTCTTTTTGAGCTGCCCTAGACCCAGAACAGCTAGACATTTTGCTGATTGGTTCGATCCAGTTCGATTATAGACCTCTTAAAACCAGTCTACAGAGGAGCAGAGGCCATCGTTCCATATTTAATCTTGAGTTTCTTTCAAGCAAGGTTTAACCGCAAGGGGTTCAGTCAGTCTCATTGCAAAGTGATTCAGACATCTGTCAAGTATACCTACTTTTTCGATTTCTCGGGCTCGTATAGAGTATTCTTTTATTCATTTGCCTGGCTGGACGTCTGGCCAGTAGATGTTAGTGAATTATCTTTGCTAGCACTGCGAACAATTCCCAGCAAGTTTCAGTTCTGGACTGGAGTGTGGTTTTGGCTTTCCGTAACACTGGCATCTCCACTCTCCGTGAGCGTCGTGTGACGTCACGGTCGCTAAGTGACTGTCTCGGTCTCTGCATCGACCTGCTACCATGGCAACCATATGTCAGATGGCCCACTCTCAGCGTGGGTCACACTCCTATCGACGCCGAACCAGCCGACCCGTGCGGCGCCGGGCTCTCCTGACGAACGTGCAGCGCCTGCGGACAAAAATTCACCCCCCCCCCCTTCCCAGCTGAAACGCTGCACCGGGATTGCAATTTGATATGATGCGGCAAATTTTATACATTTCTACTTTAAATTCCATAAACCCAAGGGGTTGCCCCTGACATGTTCTAAAATTTATCGCAGGCCACTACTACACTTCAATTGTAAAAAGAAACTGTAATGTCATTTTTCGCTCGACATTTCGCCTTCCGACGGACAACATAAACTATAAACTACAGTAACTATGTCCTACTTTTTTGTGCTCAGATGCCATGTATCCTGTTAGGAACATCCGAATGGATGGAGGCCGTGCTACGTGTAGTGGTTTTTCAGTGCAACGGCTCGTTTTTGTGCGTGCTCGGCGAACCGCGCTGCGGCCTGAGGCAATGGGAGGGCGGCGAGCGCGACCGTCTATCGGCCGTCGCCGCCCCGGCCCACGCCGTTCGAGCCCACAAGGGCACGTCACGATGAGCGGGCGGGCCGTCCCCAGAGCGGCTCAGACGCTGCGGACCGCCCACAGAGCCGCTCCGGCGCCTCCGGAGCCTTCCGTCTGGCCCCGCCGATGGAGTCCGGAGCCGGGCGGACGGGGCTGCGGCCGGTCGCATCATTGGCGATAAACTAGCAATTCGCCATAACCGCCGCCGCGCCGTGTTGGCGGTAATTGAGTACGTCGCGACACGCCAGCCTCAGCTCCGGGTGTGCAGACTGCAGGCGTCTTCTCCCTTCCCCGCCAGGTCTGGCGAAAGAATCTTGGGCCTGGCCACGCCTTGCGTCGCGACATCAAAGCACATCGACTGGCCGGCTTGTGTCTACAATCTTGACATATTGATGTCGTTTTGTTGTGCAGCACGATAATGACATTACCTTGCGCGATTTGGCGAGGTTGTTTGCTTCGGAATTTTAGCATGCATGACTGAATCACAAGGTGATTTCAGCGCCCAACTGCCCAGAAGTTTTTGAGGCTGACCGAGCCCACACCCCCGCAGCTCAGTGACGTTCTGGGTATACACGTCTATCGGCAGGCTCTCTGAACTACATGCCGAAGCTGCGCCGGCTGCTGCAGGACGAGGGCGTCACGTTCCGACACGGCTACGTGAGCACGCCGCTCTGCTGCCCGTCTCGCAGCTCCTACCTGACCGGCATGTTCGTGCACAACCACCAGGTGAGCAGGGCGCCGGCGGCTCCTTCAAGGGCGACCGCCGAACGGGCGCCCCTCAGTGGGGGACGTTACGCTGATCACCGTGATTGCTGCTCCGGGAACTGCTTTATGGGCGTCACTTATGTTTACTTGGAAGTATTCAGTCATGCATATAAACATTCGGAATGCTATATTTCGACAACCTTTTGTGTGCATACAATGCTGAGGGAAATTGTGCGCTTAAAGGTAGCTCATCAGAGTTTTATAGTTTTCTGTCGGTATGTTTAGAGTCGTTATAATAATATATAATAATAATATTAATAATAATAATAATAACAATAATAATATACCATCATAATATTCGTTATAATAGCTTACTCTTAGGCGGGGTAGTATACATACTACTTCACGTAAAGTTGCATCATTCACTTCGAATAGGAAATGTGGTGATTGGGTTTTAGCAGAGTTGCGTCACCCATTGGCGGTTCTATGTGCACAGTGCCCACATTGCCGTATCTAGTGACCTGCCCTCGGTAGCTACGCCTGTTACTGACCCCTCTCCCCGGCACCGGCCAGGTATACACCAACCGGGACAACTGCAGCAGCGCGCTGTGGCAGCAGTCACACGAGCGGCGCTCGTACGCCGCCTACCTACAGAGCGCCGGCTACAGGTCAGTAAATAGTACCCCAGTTACGCCCGCGCCGGGTATAGGTCAGTACCGCGGTCCCCGGGCCGGCTACAGGTCAGTACTCAGTCCCCGGGCCGGCTACAGGTCAGTACCGCAGCCACGGGTAGATCGGACCCTCCCCCCCCCCCCCTCCGTCCACGGCGGCGGATGACTCGGCTCTGAAACCAACAACATGAAACGCGCCCGGAGCGCGGTGAAACCGCCGTGTGTACCGCGCCGTCCCGGAATGTGGCTGTGTGATCTCAGCGGCTCGCCCTGACCGTAAACACGGCCCGCTGATCAGACAGGATCAGACGCACGTCACGGCGCCCCCGACCAACCGCTCCGGTCGGACACGTGCGGCTCAGACACGACCCGTACCCAGCGCCCCCGAGACGGGCCAGGCGGCACGCGTTTCCAGTCGCCGTCTTCCTAAACCTGGTCAGTTAAACCCTGCAGCGGCGTTCAAGAGCATTCTGCTTATGATGCTTGGCTAGTTTGCGACTGGAAAACCACAAACTGCCGTCGTAAAATTCCAAATTGTCCTTGTTTTTGCGAAGCATATGATCCTGCCTAAGCCCGAGGACAGTCAGTGTTTAGTATTCAGCACGCCCATAATCCTGTGGTTCAGACGTTACCGCATGTGCCCGCCGACTTTGACTTGTCGAGCTCCGGCCGACTGGCTGGCTGGCTGTCGGCGGACCGTTTGACCGATGGCGGGGTTTTCCGCGCCGCCGCGCCGGCTCGCAGGGAACGGGTGAGGGTCGGTCCGCGAGCGAAGGCCGAGTGTGCCGGACCGTGTTTGTCCGCACACGCCGGCACTGTATGTCCGTGTTCGCCGCCGGCTCGGCACGCGTTTATCTCGCGGAGGCTGTCACTTGCGCAACAGCAGCGCGTGGGTGACGGGTCCGGTCGTTCCCAGAGAGCGGCCCAGTTGTCCTGTCGCCGTACAGTGAAGTCACGAGTCACTACACGATGCCGACGGTCGGGCGCCCGGGTCACTGAGTACGTCTGGGTCACTGACCTACCCTGTCAGCCGAGCCCGGTCGATCTGACCCGGCCCCTGCCGGCTGTCGGACCGACGGCCGCCGGGCCCGGCGTGGGAGTTAAGTGGTAGCCCGCCTCCGCCCTGCTGCAGCCGCCGCCCGTGAAGGGGCCGCCCCGCAGCACCGCCGGCTCAGGCCGTTATTCTGTCTGATGACCATTTTGATGACGTCCGGTGACGTGAGCCCCATTTGTCTGGTGTTGCTGAGCTGCGGGAGCCCCCACCCCTCCCACGCCTACAGCGAGGGTCAGCGGGGGCAGCACTCGGCCCTCCCCGCCCCTCCTCCCCCGTCGGTATTTGGCAGTGTCTTTTGTGGCTACCTGACATAGCGAGCGGACTCCTTCTGCCGTCAGGTATATGTAGGGTGCGCTTGCTACATATATTGGTGTTCTTAGACGGAACAGTAGCTTCGAGAAATGACTGGGCGTTGCTCGGTTCTGTGTTTTTGTTTATTAATTTTTTTGTCTTTGTCTTTTTTATTCACTTGTTATGTTATATAATTTATAGTTTTCTCTTAAACCTAAACTTTGTGTTGCTTTTTTACATAGTGGTCATAAAAACAAGAACAACAAAAACGAAACAAACAAAAACCAATCGAACAAGGGAGCTGATGGGAGCTGCGTGTGCGGCTTCAGCTGAGCTCCACTCATCAGGTAACCGCCGGTCGCCCGTTCCCACAGGACCGGCCACTTTGGTAAATATATGAACCGGTACGACGGCGAGCACATCCCGGCCGGCTGGCACCACTGGTCGTCACTCATCTTCAACAGCAAGTACTACAACTACTCGATGAACGTCAACGGCCGGCGGCGCGAGCACGGCTGGCGGTATCCGGAGGTGGGTCCCACTCGGCGGCCACTGCCGTCTGTCTGTCTGTCTGTCTGTCTGTGTCTGTGTCTGTGTCTGTGTCTGTGTCTGTCCCGTCCCGTCCCGTCCCGTCCCGTCCCGTCCCGTCCCGTCCCGTCCCGTCCCGTCTGCCTGTCTTTCTTTATTTCTTTATTTCTCTCTCCGTCCGTCTGTCTGGGTGCCTGTCTCTATTTGCCTGTGTGTCTGACTGACTGTGTGAAAGGCGGTGCAGCCGGTGTACGGTGGCGGTATCGCAGGTCGCTGGGTTCACCTGACGTCACCGCGTGTGGGAGGGATCGGAGCCCCGTGCCGGTAGACAGTCAGCCGTCTCCAAACCTCAGACTCCCCCCCCCCCCCCCCCCACTCCTGCGCCCCGCCGCGCCGAGTCACGTCTAGCATACGTCTACCAGCTATAGCACTGAGCTTCTCACGCCTTTCGAAGGGGGATCTCGGCACCGGGAGCTAGCGCTTTCCTGCAAATGTTCTGCGAAGTTCAAATGCCGTTGTCGGATTTGCCACACACTAAGATTTGCCACACACGAGAACATTGGCACACTAAGGCTGTCATATAGCAAATGCGTTTTTTAATAATGTAGCTTATACGTAGATACGTAGGTACATAGATGTATACGTAGATGTGAATAATTTTACGCAGAAGTTGCGATTTTGCAGCACGTGGTGTGTCGTAACTCATAACGCGTTGTGCTACCACGCCATACTGATGGGCGCATCTATAGTCCTGTGGGTGTACTGAGCACGCAGCTGTGATTTCTCAGTGGTGTGCGGAGGTTAGTAGGTCAGTCCTGTCCGGCACCGAGAGGTGGACTATTTATATACGGCGCCGGTCCAAACCGCCAAACAGCTCCGTGCTCGTCCCGGCGGGCGGCTGACATCGATCGGCAGCGCTGCAACCGCCGGGCAGAGCTCGACCTTGGTCCGGAGCGGCGGCGAGGGTTCACGCAGCTGAGCGGCTCTCATCGTAAACACTCCACTGTTATCGGGCTTCGTCTCGGGGACTATTGGAAAACTACCGTGCACCGATGATCGCTGCAGTTCGGGTGCTCCGATGCGCAAATCATTACAAGGGAAATTACACAAAAAGATTCAGGTGGGTTTAAAATTTGTCCCACAAGTATGTCCTCCTGGGCCGAGAAAGGAGGGCTGTGGTTAATGTCCTCGCTGTGACAGCTTCGGTAGCCGACCGCACGGGCTGGCTGCCGAGCCGGAGCCATCGGATCGAAGAACAAGCCGCCAGCCTAAGCGATTAGTCGCGACACGATTGTTCAATTTGGAGCAGCGCAGCGAATTAAGTCGCCATTTAGCCGTCTCTTCGGAAAGTCAACGCTGAATAGCCGGGTAAGGAACAGCCGAACGGGAGAAGGCAGCGGCTGAGTCGGCCGCTCGCGGTACCCCCACCCCGCCTCCGGTGCGTGACAACAGCCAGGAGGCGGGTTCAGTGGACGGTGGCCTCGCTTGGTGAGTAGAGGATGGCGGGTCGCGGATCGCCTTAATCCCGCCGCCAGTTACCGCAGGCTGCGGGATACGGCGGAGGCCGCTGTCTGCCGCGCAGTCCAGCCGGCTGCGTGAGTCGACCCGAGACAGCCGAAGGCCGCGCTTCAAACCACCAGCGGGTTTGAACGGCCTTTGAGCGGCCGCACAGACCGAGACGAGCATGCCTGTGGCGCGGTTCTTTGTGTGGTTAGCCGCTCCTCTGTGATCTGGGGCCAGCTAGGAACGGCGCTTTGTGTGGTCGAACCCGAGACCCACCCGTTCGGTTCGTATTGTAAGCTGAGTCACCCATTCGTCATGCCTTGTGTGTTGGTGAGCTCAAGATTACTTTACTAACTACTCGGTTGTTGACTAGAAGGGACTGACTGACCCGTCCAAGGACAGGGACTGGCCCTTCTTGCGTGAATCTGTCGTTCGCCTCATCTGTTTGTTCGTTCGCACTGTTGCGTCTGATGAAAGTCGGTTGCGTCAGTGCAGTGACATGTTTTACCAGAATGTTACGACAGTTGGTTTCGTCAATGTCTGTTACCAGAACATTGTGACGGCTGCCTGCGTCGATACGTCATCTTTCCATCCCCCTGCCGCGGCTATAGCCCAGCCGTGAGGGTCCCTGACCGAGTGTACCGACGTTTCAGGACTACCTACCGTCGGTGATCGTGAACGAGTCGCTGTCGTTTTTCGAGTCGTCTCGTCGGGAGCACGCCGACAGCCCGGTGCTGATGGTGGTCAGTTTCCCGGGGCCGCACGGGCCAGAGGACGCGGCGCCCCAGTACACCGAGCTCTTCATGAACGCCACCGACCACCACACGCCCGCGTACGACTTCGCGCCGAGCGAGGACAAGCAGTGGTTCCTGCGGCACGTGGACAAGATGGACGAGGTAGAGCGCACCTTCACCGACCTGCTGATGACCAAGCGGCTGCAGACGCTGCAGAGCGTCGACGATGGCATCGAGGAGGTGTACCAGCGACTGTCGGCCGCCGGCGAGCTGGACAGTACCTACATCATCTTCACCTCGGACCACGGCTACCACCTGGGACAGTTCGGCCTGCCCAAGGGCAAGTCGTACCCGTTCGAATTCGACATCCGCGTGCCGTTTGTGGTGCGCGGGCCGGGCGTGCGCGCCGGCAGCCGCTCGCGGGACGCGGTGCTCAACGTGGACCTGGCGCCGACGCTGCTGGAGCTGGCCGGCCTGGGGCGGCCGCCGCAGATGGACGGCCGATCGTTCGTGCCGCTGCTGCGCGCCACCGACCGGGACGAGGGCGTCGCGCCGCCGCCCTGGCCCGACACGTTCATTGTGGAGGGCGCCGGCCGGCGGCCCGAGCAGCGCGTCAGCCGGCGGCTGCAGCAGGGCGCTGTGCGCACCGACGACAAGCACGTGCTGTACGTGTCGGCGCTGCAGCGGCTGCAGGAGGTGTGCCTGCTGCCCGAGTACCGCTCACCGTGCCGCCCGCACCAGCGCTGGGCGTGCTACCACGACGGCCGGCGCTGGCGGCTGCAAAAGTGTCGCCGCCGACACCGGGCGCCGATCATGTGTCCGTGTCGCGGCGGTGTGGTGCAGCGCACGCGACGTATCCGCGCCAGAGAGCGCCAGGACCAGCTGCGCTTCCTGCAGGAGCACGTGGGCGGCAGCGTGCCACCGCTGCGCTTCGTCAAGGGTCTGCGCCAGCGGCGGTCGGCCGGCGCCGCCTCCGACAGCCAGCTGGTCAAACAGTTTGTGGTGGAGCAGGATGTCAGTCATGTGGATGACGACATCCGCCGGATCGGCTACGAGCTGCACATTCTGCAGGTGAGCGGCGGCGGACGGGGTCGAATGACGCCACGGGGTGGGCTGTACGGAGGCAGTTGGGTAGTGCAATCCGTACTTTTAGTTGTTAAAACTTTCAATATCGCCCTAAGCAACTGTAGATGTCTCCCTTTCCCTGCTCCTATGTTTGATATGACAACCATCGAAGAGAGCCAAGGGACTTTTGCTGGCTCTTGATTGCAATAAATCGGTTTCTTTTACTAGCTCATGATCAACGCCTTTATCTTTATTGCATGGATTCGCTCGGAATCAGGCTCACCATTATTCTTGAGGGAGGTTGGGCGCGGATAACACATCAGATCCGTTTAAGCCTTATCGAACCTGAATCACCAGTTATTGCTTATGACCTGTCTGATACGTCTTGGTAGATGATGCAAGTGCTCAATGATATGGGTTTACTGATACGGAGCGGGGACTTCTCGGTAGTTCTTTGTCCATGCTACTGGGAGGCTCGGAGGTGAATTTATGTGACGTTTATAAGGAGCGAAGGGTGGGATTAGATTAGCAATATGCTAGGCTGTGCGGTGTGTACGTGCCTGTAGGGTACTCCCGGTACTCCCGCGCAGCGAGGATAGAGTTCGTCCTACTCTGTGATTCACTCCTATTTTTTTTAACCATTTTGTTTGCCGTTTGGCTTCCGATGATGAACAGTGTTACAGCTCAAGCATAGGCTTAAAGCGACCATCCCACCTTAACATTAGATTTGAGTTGAAATAGCCCAAATGTCCTGGGTCCCTGGCTTGCACTTCCCGATTTGAGCACTCACAACATCAAGAAATGCCTTAAATCGAAAATATCTAATTTCAAAGTTGCAGCACTTTGGATTCAGAGGGGCTAATGCATTTGAATGCCCCTTCTGAATGTGTGACGTCAGCGCAGCAGATCTAACGATTTTAAATCTTTTACTAAAACGTTTGGTAGCACGCGGTGGTAGATGCTGCTTTGCGCGCAACAAGTGCCGCACTTTCAACTGCCAAACCATGGATGAAGGAGAACCTTCATCGGTTGAAGGTTCTTTCATCCATGGCCAAACTATTGCTTCCAAATAAAGTCGCTAGGAACAGCGGATATCCCAAAAAGTAAACAAAACTAAAATTCAATATCTTGAAAACCGGTGAATATTTTTCGGTGAAATTTGGTAAATATTCGTTTTCGCTCTTTCTGAACAGAGCGACATCACTTTCATGCCAATTCATTAACTTTTATGAAGGTGGGAGGTCCCTTTAAGCTATCCGGTGCCCTCCAGCCCTAAGTAAATGTCGCGAAAATGATCGAGCGATATGACAAGAGCTATGCACCGGGTTTGACCCGACTGGCCGGTGTGGTGACGCGCTCTATCCCGTTCTCCCGTCAGTCTCACGTGGGCTCGGTGGGCCGCTGCGCCGTGGACAACACCACGTGCATTACCCCGGACCGGTACTCGCGCCGGCTGCTCGTCAACGACCAGATCCGGCGGCTCAAGCAGCTCCTCAAACAGCTCAAGGTCAGTGCGCGGCCGGCCCTAACCGCAGCAGCAGTCCAGTTCTAGCTGTCTGTAAACATGTATAGAATGCAATTAAATTTAAAAATAAATGATAAAAAGGAAATAAGTCAACCACTTCATCATTCAATTCAGAATTCAAAATAGATAATCATTTGAACAAAAGGCACAAATAAAAGATCGCGGGGCGATTGGCATAGGCTCACTGACCCGATGCGGTGACTCAGTGTTTCCGCTCGGACCGATCCGTCTGTCTGTAAGTGGACCGGTCGATCGAAGAGGTTCCGCGCGGAGACGCGGTCTGACTCAGTCCCCCCCCCCACCTCACTCCCCCTGACCAAAGTCCGTCTGGTGATGGGTGAACCCCGGTCCCTATTGATCGTTGACGTGGCTTTGTTTGTTGGGCTTCGCGGAAAAACGGCATGCCGCCCAGCTGAACGCTGAGTGCCAGCTAACTGTCTGGCGAGGCTGCCTTGCCAGACGGACAGACCTCACAGATTCTACTGATCTATCGTACGGATCCACGTTGTAGACGAGTGTGAATCTGTCCGACCGGGAACTTTGTCATTGTAAGCGGTGTTGCGCTAGACGGGGTCCCACGGGGCTGATTTCTGAAAATGGGGACCACAGTTGAGCTGCTGCATATCCTGTCTACACCCACTGTTCTCTGACCTTGCCTGCCCCGATGACCGGTCGACAGGGCATCCGTCGCCATCTGATGGCGCCGTACGGCTCGGACGGCAGTGAGACGTTCGAGCCCGGCGACTTTGTCGACTACGCCGACGGGGAGGAGGATGGCGACCTGCTGGGGGCCGAGGACTCGCGGCCCGCGCCACGGCACCCGGCCGCCGGCCGGCACAACGCCCACAAAACGTAAGCTCTACGAGCGACGCGCGGACACTGGATGGCAGATCGACGTGCCCTCATTGCCGTTGGGTTTAGTTTACTGACAAGCCTTTACTGCCATATTTGGTTTCAGTATACAGATGTACACTTCCTGCTCTCCAGTTTACGTCTTGCTGTGTCGCGGCTGCCGCGTTTTGTTTCACGTTCGCAGCTCGTACAACCCCGGGCCATTTCAGTGCTCGGAAACCCTTGGGAGACCTTTTGTACGGTTATGCGCTATGGTTCACTGGGCTGAAGCCGTACTTTCTGTTACGCAGCGTGCTCTACCCTGTCTGCTGTTTTTGTCTGACCTGCTGGCTGCTGGTCTCCAATTTATCAGGGTGGCGGAGGACGATGCCAGCTCAGACGTGGCCTTCTGTCCGTGCCGGCCTCTTGACGATCGGTAAGTAGTGATCGCTAGCCGGCAAAAGATCTAAAAATATTTTCAGCCATGTCTTTCCCCTGCATTCCGCATACATCGTCATCACGTATTGTCTGGATTTTCAACGCTGATGCATGTATCCTGTTATTTTCGGTCTGCCATTAACATATGCGCGTCGCGTCTCTGTACAGAGCGGAGCGCCAGTGGGTCCGGGAGTACACGAAGCAGACTCGTCGGGTGGAGAAGGCTCAGAAGCGCAGGGAGAGACGCAAACAGAAACGCAGGTATGTCGAGGGTTGTCCGCGGCTGGGGCTATGACTTGATGAGACTAATGTTATTTCATGTTCCACTAAATCCCCTTGCCACCCAATGACAATATTACACAATCATAGAAAGGCTTGCATTGAGACGCGTACCTAGCGCATCATTTGCCGTTGTTGACGGCTTGGTGTTTTGCGGCTGGCCGGCACCCCTTGATGTATCATCGTCGTGATTGTCACCTCCATTTTTGCTTCCGCCGTCAGGAAGCAACGCAAGAAGGAGCGGCTGGCCAGTCAGAACTGCAACTTCGAGGGCCTCAACTGTTTCGTGCACGACAATGACCACTGGAAGACGCCGCCGCTGTGGACGCACGGTCCGGTCTGCATCTGTCTGGGCTCCTCCAACGGCACGTTCGACTGTCTGCGCAGCGTCGGCGGCGGCAGCGACGACAACTGGCTCTACTGCCGCTTTGTGACCGGCTTCCTGAGCTTCTACGACCTGACAGTGGACCCGTACCAGCTGCACAACCTGGCGCCCGCCATGGACGCCGACCGACTGCGGCGGCTCGACGCGCGGCTGGCGCGCATGCAGACGTGCCGCGGCCCGGACCAGTGCCGGCCGCTGCCGGGCGCCGCGCCCGCCACCGCGCCGCCGCCGCCGGCCCTGCAGCCCACGGCCCTGCCCGTGGTACAGGAGGCCCCCCGGGAGCGGCGGCCCGGGCTGGACAGGACGGGGCTGAGCCGGCACGTCCGACGACGACGACAGCGCGCCAGGTCAGTGACTGTCCCAGTACCCCTCACGGATGTAGGCAACCTTTATCTATAACTAATGCGTGATTGCAAGCTTTTTAAGCTGCTCCTTATTGATGACCGACTGAGAAATGTTCTGCGTGAAGTGTATTGTGGCCATCGTTTTGTTTGGACCTTCCAGTTACCTACCAACAGAACTGAGTAAGTAACTATTTTTTGCTCACTTCAGGATGTGTCGGAAAATACACTGGTGTACCGTATGTGAAGTGTTCCGTCTCTGACTGCCGTCCTTACTGGCAGGGCGCGCCGTATGGAGTGGCTGCAGTACCGGCGGCGAGTATCGCGGCAGGGCTAGTCGGCGCGCACCGCGCAGTACCGGCCGGCCGGACGCCGTACCTGTTGACCGACGAGGGACTCGGCACGGTGCGCGACCGAGCCGGGCCGGCCCCGAGCGGCTGCCACCAGGGAGCGACACGGCGCTTCCTAGATCAGGTGTTATCCGCTTTCTTCCGCGGGGCACGCACAGGCACCAGAGCCGTGTGGAATCTCAGCTGTGGACAGACGGCATAGACCGGCGCTTTGCGAGGACCGAGGTGACGCGGCTCCGTTTATTTATATCACATATTGTTACCGAGCCATGCAATGCTTTTCAGCTGTTAGTATTAGTTTATCTCTTACGGTGAGACTGATCCACTTAAGGTTACATTAGCCGTTATGATCGTATTTACAGGGACGGCTGCCGGTGGTAACTGGCTGTTTTACTGCTCTGTAGGTCAGTTTACGTGGCCTCTCGCCTGGTAGAAGGACACTTGCAGGGTTCACATCCGACTCGGCCACACAGCTGGCTTGAATCTCTCCTAGTTATCCATTGAGCTGTGCTTGTTCGGCGGTGTTGCGAGGCCATAGCGAAGAGACCATTAATCACTCTAAAATTCTAATCATGGTCACTGTGCGTGGAATGGGAATTATAAGTGAACATTCAGTCGCTTCGATCAATTCGTATCTATCGTCCCGGAGTTGCGAAGCGAACGAAATTTCTTAACTTCATCATTTCATGGTATTACAAACCTCGTTCAAAATGTGGTGCCATCATTTTCTTAGTCATATCGGCTGAAAGTGCGAATTCACGCATCGCCATGACGCGTTCGGGCTGTTTTGTAGCCGCCATACCACCGACGCCTGGGGAGGGCGCGGCCTCCTCGGCAGCCGCGCCGCCCGCGCTGCCGGCGCGAGTCCGTGCTCGGTGTGCGGGCGGCGTGCTGCACGTGCAAAACGGCCGGCCTGCCGCCGGGCCGCCCAGCTCAGCTGTGATGTGTGCAATCGGTGCTTTCGAGCCGTAGAAGGGCCGACGTTGATCGTTTCGCTGGTGTGTGTCCGCGCGCGAGCGTAATAACTCAGCTGTAGTGACGATGCGAACCAAATGTCTTCTCACGTGAGGCTGCGAGACTAGATGTTTTAGCGCATCTGATAAGCCTGTAGCGGGTTGTGAATTGACCTTTGTTTGCTTTCGTAGTTTGTGCTTTATGTGCGTGTGATTAATGGTCTGTGTCCGGTGCATGTGTACCTCATTTCCCCGCATTCCTTTGTACAATCATTATATTTCAGGTTTCTTAATAGTTTGTAGTAAGGATAGAGAGGGCGCCCACATTGTTGATTTATTGTCTTTTAACATTGAGCTCATGCAGTCGCTCGATTATTACTCAATACTTTGGAAATTCTAAAATTTGACTTTAAATACCTATGTCTTCCATTATCCACAATCTTTGGCTCGTCTGCGCTTATTTGTTGAACATCTCTCGCTTTGGGGTAATTTTTGGTCGGGCTGCGCACGATGACTTGGCCATTCAAAAAGGCGAGTATCGGTGGTCATTTATGGCTGAACTGTTTAAAAGTGCAATGGCCAAATCAGTTTCGAGCGACTGTTCAGCAGATGTGGGTTATTTGACTGTGTATTGTATCCTTATTAACAGGGATGCTAATAACTTGATTTTACTAGCGTGTGAGGTGTAAAAGTGTATACCTATGCATTGCACGAACGCACCAGAAAGATAGCTGTCTTCTGTCCTTTCAAGTTTCAGTGCTGCCCGTTCATGACAGTACAATGCAAAGAGCCCGCGGCCACGGGCCACCGGGCTGGTAATTCATTTGTGACAGGGATCGCGCGCTTGCATGTCGTGGTCTCTGGGCATCGTCGGATGTTATCGAGTACTGCATTGTATTACAGCACAGCAAATATATCTGTGAACGTCTTTGACTGTTCTTTGGTACTAACGTACTGCGATAAGAGGAGCTAGTTTATGAATGGACGATTGGGCTTCAATCAACGGAGCCTGTACCAAATCGATTGTTCTTGTCCATCGGCACTGCGTTTGCGATATGCCTGCCGCCTCAAGGTTATAATTTCTGCTTAGAACAGCCGAAAATCCGAATAAAGGAAAACATTTTTCGGTTCATGATGGATTAGCTCGTGGCTGTTACTGGGTTCAAAGCAGCTTGTCCAATAGCCAATACCATCCGGCAAGTTTAGGCATTTCGTGTACCTTTACGTCATTATCTGTGTAAGCACGAAGATCAAACGTCTATTGTGACACGGATGGAGTTGTGGTTTGTTTAGATTAAGCACCACATCCAGTGGACCAAGGTGCTAACCGGAACTCTCACGCTGTTCCAAGCGGCCAGGCAGCGGCGATGCCACGTGCATCGCCCGGGAATCGAACCCGGATGGACACGCATGGAGTGGCATGGAGCATTTTTCCCTTCTTGTCCAGTTGAATGGAATATGCCCATATGAAGATCAGCGGAATTATCAGCTGGCTGAGCCGGTGTTGTCCAAGTCTATACGCAAAATGAGGCTCCTCTTCGTGCATGTATTGAATAAAAGAAAAACACTGTAAAGACAGTCATTGCGCAGCAAAGACAAACTCAAAAGACATTTCCCGCATGTTTCCCGCGATTGAAACGTTTCAGTTCAGTCCAGGCCCATGTCACTCCACTTTTGATGACATCATAAGGGGGCCTCAGGACAATTAATGGCGCGGTGCGCCACAATCGCTCCCAAGCTACTTACCAACAGCTGCCATTTTTGAAAATACTTTTTTGAAATAAAGTTTCAAGTAATGAAAATATTGTAATAAAGTTGTAGCTTAAATCTATACCATATCTAAAAACTAACTGAAAAATGATTTATTCATAGTAAAAATATAAGCTCGATGCGTTTTTACGTTGCTTTCCTGCTGTTGCAGAGGGTTTTTAAATCGTCTATATCTTAAAAACCAGCCATTTCTTAGCATATTGCTACTCTTTTTTGTCGCTGGAAAATTGACTGAGCTTTCGATTGCCATCAACAGTTGAGCGGTATGTGTAGAGTGCCATCAATAATCTTGAAATGAAGTTAGTCATTTTTACGTTGTAAAGGAATGGAGTACCCCTTGCGAGCATCAGGGGTGACGTCACTCAGGATCTGTCTCTGATTGGTCGGCGGGGGAGTGACTGTACCTTCTATAGATGGCCTTGGTTCAGTCAAGTTTCAGTCATTTTTAGAGTATTTTGATCGATTGGGGTGGAATGCGACAAGATACTATCAAAGCATTTTAAGCATTGTTTGGCCAATAACTTCCAGACAACCTTCCTTCGGTATGTGTACTTGCAACTTCGGCTTATAGCCTTGATCCCAAGGTTTACATTGACTAAGCTTTTGTCGAATTGTCAGGAACTCAGATTTGTTTTTCAATAGAAAAACAATTCCAACAAATAGTGCTATTGACGACAAGCATCAATTACCCATGATAATGAAATGAGATGTAGGTAACTTCAACATATAGGTATCAGAATCTTTAGGCAACCTTTCTGACTTGTCAATAATCTCCATTTTAATCTGGGGTATTATATACTTGACTTTGTCTATGCTTCCTAGCTGAAATTAAATGTTTCAAGCTTTATACTGTGGCCTCTGAGTTGTGCAAAAGAACCACAATTTTGATAACTGTGGGCTGACACCTGTTAGTCTGAGAACTCAAACTCAGAATGATGATGGCTAAACAGACCATAATTCTTGATGATGTCTTCATGCACCATTCATGACACAAATTATTATTATATTGTGCTTATTCAATTCAAGTCTAGGTAAGAACTATGGTACAAAGTCAAATTAATTCAGTCTAATTGCATTTCATTTAAAAATCCGAGCATTCTCATTTTGATGACAATGATGCTGCTCCATGGTATCTTTGTGTCACCACCTTCCAGGTTATCATAGGTAGTTACATCAAAACAGTATGGAAGCAGAAGGAAAGAGCTTGAAGTTGAGCCACCTGCTGAACTCTGAATGGCTTTTGCATTGATATCAAAGAATTGAAGGAAACAAGTAGTTTTTTGTTTGTTTATCTGTTTGGCGTTGACCTTAGCAACAGTGGCTGGCATAAGTGTTGCATCAGCCCTACCTTACCTACTAATAGTAAAATTTGTCCTATCTTCCATTATCTTTACACTTTGTAGGTAATTCAAGCATCCAAGTCAAAGTTATGCTAGTAAATACTGTGGAAACAGAGTGCAAAGGTGTGAATGAAGAATACCTAATTGTGCCATTCCACCAGCACTGATACTTTGTCTGAACTCTGAATTAACCATAATTGCCATTTGCCACATTGGATATGGAAGGCTTTTGATGTTAATACATACATCCATTCATACCATATATGCATATGTTACAGTGTGTCCGCGAAATCCGTGAATTCGTAAAGTCACTGCTTGATCCTAGGGACTCCGCGGAGTCACGTAAACTCTCGTGAATCCGCGAAATCACTGCCGTGGCTCCGCGGATTTACTAGAGTTTTCAGTGCGTCCGTGAAGTCACTGAAGAGTCGCGGGGATCTGCGAACTTCCTAGTTAATCCGCGGACTAGCGATTCTTTTTCAGTGATTCCGCGAAATGCCGATTCTTTTCAGTCATATACGAGTTAAAATGATTGCAGCGGATTTCAGCTGTCTATAACACTATTCGAGGTGGGTGCGTCTGTCCGTTTATACCGAGGTCCCGACACGGTGAACATACACACGGTAGATACCTTCGATCGGATTACCCCTCATGGTTTGTCGCAAATTTCTCGTGAAACAAGCAGCTGATCGCGACGAAACTCTCCGTACCCTCGAGCTCATCAATTTTACACCTAACCTAAAAATTCCATGACCCCTGACCCAACTGACTGTTTGACCCGTGACCTATTTCTCGAGACCATGTTTGGCCAGAATCGCGATTCGGCGCATGCCAGCTCACATTATCCGCGCGTTTCCAGTCTTTTTGTGGTTTTAAACGTTCAAACATGTTGTAATGGTGCTGGTGCAATGCAGTATGTGGATGACAAGGTCACGTTAAAGTCAGTTCAAGGTCAATGCGCCCCCTCCGGTCAGTGCGCGGGTGAACTACCATTCGCAATTGTGAGCTTGAGGTCCAATCAGGTAGTTATCTAACTATTTACAGCAAATACCCACGTTTGAAGTGGAAGTGTGTGACGCACAAGTTTTTTATAATCTAAGAAAATATTATTTAGGAGAAAATATAAAATTATAAAGCTAGCAGGGTACCTAGGTACGTAACAATGGAACATAAAACTTACCAAATGTCTCGAAGTTTATATTCCGATAAACTGATATTGTCATGCCGGCCAACAGGGGCGCACCAAGGATTTTCCAGGGGAAGGGGCCCGGGCTCAAAGGGGCCTCCGTATTCCGCTTTCCAGGGGGCCTTTTCTCTATCGAGGGGGCCTCCAAATGGCCTACTTTTTGGCGGCCTCTGTATGTTTGGTGACGTTCTTAGCGTTATTAGTAAAGTTTAACCCTCGCCCTGGCAGGGGGGTCGATGCGCCCCCCCCCCCCCCCCCCTCCTAAGGTTTTTCAAAGATAGCATAAGATCGGCGACGCGCAGCGCCGCTGAATTTGGCAAAGCGGCGGCCAACGCACAACAGTACCACCATATCGGCAACATGATTCCAATTGTCTTTGAGACTCTACGAATAATCGGCATAAGAAGTAAATAACGTTTTTTGGACATTCTCTGAAAAAAGAGTCGGTATTCCGCGGATTCACTGAAAAAGAATCGCTATTCCGCGGATTACCTAGGAAGTTCGCAGATCCCCGCGACTATTCAGCGACTTCACGGACGCACTGGAAACTCTAGTGAATCCGCGGAGCCACGGCAGTGATTCCGCGGATTCACGAGAGTTTATGTGAGTTCGCGGAGTCCCTAGGGATTTCGCGGATTAACTAGTAACTTCGCAAACTCACGGATTTCGCGGACGCACTGTAACACATACATGCATACATACATGCATACATACAACTAGAAATTAATATATATATATTGATAAATATTATAAATTAACATAACAAATATATTACTGCTTTGTTTCAGGGATACGTTGTGAAGTTGGGCCCAGCTGATAATAGCTTATACAGACCTGTCACAATGAGCAGCGAGCCCTGTGCGTTCTGCGAGGGGAGCTCACGGTACGTGTGCCCGCGCTGCGGGGTGCCGTACTGCTCGGTGACGTGTTACCGGTCTGGCCGGCACCAGCGCTGCTCGGAGGGCTTCTACCGGGACTGCGTGCAGCAGCAGCTGCGCGCCGAGCACGCCGACCCGGCGCTGCGCCGGCGCACGGAGGAGGCGCTGGCCCGCCAGGCGCGCCTGCAGGCCGCTCAGGAGCGCGGCGAGGAGCCGCCCGGCGACCAGTCCGACGAGCCGCCCGGCGACCAGTCCGACGAGCCGGTCGACTCGGACGACAGCGACGCGGAGGAGGAGCTGGCCGAGCGGCTGCGCGGCGTCGACCTGGACGACTCGGAGGCGGTGTGGGCGCGCCTGACGCCGGCCGAGCGCGACGAGTTCCGGCGCCGCGCCGCCGCCGGCGATATCGCCGCCGAGCCCTGGCGGCCCTGGTGGACGGTGCGCGCCGAGCGGCCCAAGGTGGCCGAGCTCGGCGCGGAGCCGACGCCCGAGTTCGTGACGGCGGCGCCCGCGCTGCTGACGCACGTGCCGCCGCTGACGGCGCTCACCAAACAGACGCCGTCGCCACTCGTCGTCAACTCGGTCATCAATGTGCTATACGCGTACGCGCAGCTGCGGCTTCTGTGGGACGGCGACTGGACCGGCGCCGCGCTGCCGGTGGCCGACGCGCTGTGCCGCATCTGCGGCTGTCTGGCGCGCGGAGAGGTCATGAAGACATCGCGCGACGCTGTCGACGCGGTGGACTTTTGTCTCGGTGAGAGCGGGCTGGAGTGTGACGCGGCGCTGCGGCGGCAGTCGCGGCAGGCGGTGCAGCAGCTGCTGACCGGGCCGTGCACCTCGGACGCCGGCTGGTACGTGCTGGCGGCGCTCTCCGACCTCTGGCGGCTGCTCGAGGAGGCGCTCGGAGAGCTGAGGGCCGGCCGGCACCGGGAGCGGTCGCAGCCGGCCAGCTTCGGTCGCGAGTTCGGGACGGCCGCCGCCGCCGCTCCGGCGGTCTCCCGCGCCGAGCTGCGCCGGATGCAGCGCAAACTGGACTACTTGTTCGCCTGGAGCCGGAGTAACGAGCAGGTGCTGGCGGAGCGCGCCGCCGGACCCCAGGCGAAGACGGAGGTGGTGGTTCCCACAGCCGGCTCGGCCAGTGGCGACTGAGTGACCTACGGTCTCAGAGTTGGTGATATCCGCCGGCTGGTCAGCCAAATAATGGTGACGGACCGCCACCGGCGTACAGTCACCAGCAGTAGACTTGCTACCCATCACCCCCGGACGGCGGGGGAGCAAGCTACCTCCGCCCCTGCGAGACTAGCGCCGCCATGCGCCAAGAAGTGGAAACACCACGTGACTGAGGCCACGTGAGGGCAGGGTCACGTGATGGAGGGGCGGAGCAAATTAGCTTTTGCGCCCGACACTAACTGAAATGCGGCGCTGTGATTGGGCGCCTTAGCATGAATGAAGCCCCGGCGCCAGAATCAGCCGTTCGCCTTATATGGAAAGTGAACCTGTGCGTCTCACTGCTCTGTGTTGGTTTGAGAGCCACGGCACCATACGAATTGTGAGCCCCTTTGAACGGGTCACCGCCCGAGGCACTGAGGCGACGGCTGTGCCGAGCAGTCTAGCCTGGCTGGAGAGGTGGGCCAGGGCCCAGGAAAATTGCGATCGAGCAGCCACTGGGACTTGGATTGGTATTTGGTATTATTATCTAATCGCGACAAACGATGTCAGCAGCCTCTACTCGTGTCATAGACAGACAACGTGGGCAGTGCCCAATCAAAAGCTAATAAACGATTCAGTCAAGAAGTTGGCGAGGTAACCAGACCCAATATAAAATTAATTCGATTTTGGTTGACAAATGACATACAAGCCCGCTGTGATGGACCAAAAAAGGAGCTGAACAGTTCATACAGCTTCTAAAAAGCTCAACGGTTTGAAAATTGTAAAGTTTAATGTTAAAATTCAGCCTGAATGTTTGAACTCTGGTCCGGCGCTGGCAGGAAGCTTATATAGCCACTTGCAATTCCACTGCGTTGTAATATAACCAAGAGTTCTGTGAGAGCAGCAACTGAAAGCCTCGAGCCTCGTTGGGGGGGGGGGGGGGGAACATGTATCACATCACACGACCCTAGCATAGTTGGATTCATATTTTGACCCTTAGTGACCTGACCTCTGTGACCTGACCTGGCATCAGTGACCACTTTAGGCAACATATGTATTAGGCAACCAACGCTCCATCGATGTCTTTCGATAGCATGCCTTTTATTTGATGTGTTAACTGACTGTAACGCATTCCTTAGACTAAATCGGTGAAAAACGCTACCTTTGACCTGACTTGTGACGTCATGGGTTGCACCTAGGTCAACGAAACCTGGTAACAAGGTAGTTCCCTGGTGGGGCTATCGAACGCTCTTTGAATTTTCAAAATCGATCGGTAACTTTCCGAGATCTCAGGTGGAGGGCGAAACGGCTGCACCACCCCATCAGGTGGTAGAGTCCGCCAATAGCCCAAGGAGGCGTGGATTATTTATTCACTCATACTGTGTCATTTATTTTGAGAACACCTTTCCCAAGCCATGACATGGTCCTCTTGTAATGGATCGAGATGAGGAGAGTGTTTTCACGCCTCCTTATGCACGGCTATAGTGTCATTGAGCTATCAACTGTCGGCGGTTTTCGGACAATGAAGGAAGGCTTTGGGTCGTTTTTAGGTTAGATCTTGGGTCAGATCATTTTGCACCCAGACCCATCTCAATTCGAATCCTTCAATAAATTTTGGTTAAGTGTGTTATTACAATTTCATGTCTTATTTTTTCACATCCGAGGCGCACTTTTCGTGAAAGAACCATACTGCTCATCAGCTGATCTGTAATGATGATATGAGCACATTAGATGTCCTTTTCATATGCCTTTTTATACATTGGATCTAGAGCTTATAATATGCTTTGAACACGAATCTAGCGTATGTATTTAAAATTGCAGTATAAACAATCGCTCATGATCTTTCCTGACATTAGATGACCTAGGATGTAAAATAGGTCTCTCCCTCTCTCTCTATCTGTCTACCTCTCGCTCTCTCTCTCTCTCTCTCTCTCTCTCTCTCTCTCTCTCTCTCTCTCTCTCTCTCTCTCTCTCTCTCTCTCTCTCTCTCTCTCTCTCTCTCTCTCTCTCTCTCTCTCTCTCTCCCTCCCTCCTCCTCTCTCTCTCTCTCTCTCCTCCTCCTCCCTCCCTCCCTCTCTCTCTCACTCTCACTCTCTCTCTCTCTCTCTCTCCCTCTCCATCTCTATATCTCTCCCTCTCTCTCTATCTTTCTCCCTCTCTCTCTATCTCTCTCCCTCTCTCTCTCTCCCTCTCTCTCTCTCTCCCCCTCTCTCTCTCTCCCTCCCTCTCTCTCCTTTCCTCACAATATTCTCGACTGCCACAGCGTTGTAGAACTTGTTTCCAGACAGGTCCAGGCGCTCCCCACTCCGCAGGCCGAAGCCCACACGGCTCAACCGCCCAAATACCCTCCAGCGGATGACCTCTGACCTCGGCGACCTGACCCCAGCCGACCGATCGCGTCCCTCTCCACGCCTCCGCCCCGCTTCCCCCACTACAGCTGCGTAGTAATTGTAGCGTGTGCAAAAGTCACGTGACATTATTTGCTTCTGCGGTTTGTTCGGCTGACAAGAGATGGCACTAGTGGTCTGTGGATCAGAGGCGGGGCTAGGTTCTACGACTTCTTGGGGCACACTTTAGGGCAGAAAAGAGGTTTTTTGGCTCCTCATCCCAAAATGCTTCGAATATACAAAAACAAGTTAGATATTCGAAAATCAGAGGACCAAACCGATCGTTTGACGCATCTTGCTCGACTGAGAATTGATCGGTCTTCAAACTGCTGAACAAAAACGAGGTGATTAGTAGCAAGTGCTGGTGACTGTACGTACTTAGCGTGTCACATCGACGGCCAAATGACGGTAAGCGACGGGCGTCAATCATCTTCATTGCAAAGTCAGTAATTCTTCGGTGCGACCGCCATCTGCATTTTTAAATGTGTTTAAAGTTTATTGTGCCGATTTACAAGCAATACACATGTCTTTATAATGAAGCACATCATCGGTTATGTTTTCTTTAGAACAAAGCTTTGTAGAGTAGGGATATTGTGCGAAAATGTGCAGTTCGTATTTGTAATGTAAGTAATGCGTTCTTACGAAGCACAGAGTGAAACAGCCAAATGTGCCGATGAACCCGACAACAAATCTTTGACAATCACACATATACGCACACATTGATATATCACCATTCAGATGGCTGGCATTCGGACAATATCTCCCGACTCCCGAGAGAAGCCTTAGGGATGTTGACAATTATTGATATTTTTTACACACATTTACATATTCTGAAGCTCACGTTTGTTTTCCGTGGTATGAAACATTTTTTTTCGGGTCGCATTTAATCACTCTTCCTCGACCGTATCGTCTTTCTCATACTTTGATAACTTTGAGCGGAGATCTTTGAGCTTCGCATTTTTGTCCATTAGCATTTTCTTCATGTTTCGGTAGGCGGCAGTTTGCTGGAACTTGTGGTCGAGCTCCTGCAAAAATCGGGGAATCAGTTAATAATGGTTGTAGGAGTACAAGGCAAGCTTGGGTATCAAGGGGCCGTACGAGGGGAGCATTGTTGAATTCATGAATTGCTATGAACTGCGAACCCATACTAACAGCTTCACGCCAACAATAATGAACTTGTTGCAGTGTGTCAGGACTTCTTATCCGTCATTAGTCGTTGACACTCGTTATCCCTCCTCGTGCTTCGGCACTCCTTTTTCAGACAGAAGCCTAGTCTATTGTTTTCAGAAGTAATGACTCACCAAACGAGACTACAGCTGTCAACAATTTGGCAGTTTAGAGTTTGTTCTGCTTTCAATGTCACCGGTGGACCGAAGATCGTGCTATAGTGTCAAAGTGTCGTTTTCTCCATAGACTCAGTGGCTGCGGGTGTCACCTCCGTCTCGAACTGACCTGCTCGGCGAGCTCCAGCTGGGAGCGGATCTCCTCCAGCTTGTGTTTGGTCGTGTCCAGCTCGTCGGCCAGCAGCGTCTTGGTGAACTCGGACTGCTGCAGATTGGCCTCCAGCTCCCGCTGCACCGACGACGCCTGGTCGCGAATCTGCCGGCCGTGGTGCGGGTCACTGGTCATCGCTCATCACAAGTGTCACGGCGCGGGTACCCAACTGGAGAATTCTCGTCCCGAGCAGTACGGCGAACTTATCGATGGAACCATTGGACATGGTGCAGTTGATCACTTTGCCCACATCATGGAACAATATCGATCCGTTATGGTGTCGGGTTAACTTGGTCACGCAATCAGTTTGGTTACGAAAAGCACGAAGCAAGAGATCTCATGATGAGCACAGCACAATTTGCGTGCTGCACAGAGGCCAGTTTCACTTGTTGAAGTACAAGTTGTCCCGGTATAGGCCGATTGATTGATGCAACCTACCTGGTCCAGTTGCTCCTTGGAGACGGTGTCTTTGGAGGTCTTGAGGAACTCCAGTTCGGAGCGCAGTTTGACCAGCTCAGAGCTGAGCTCGCCCTTCTCCGAGGCCAGAGTAGACGCCTGAAACAGACGGGAGAGAGGCCACTGTCGTTTTTACGCATATCGATCAAATATGTACAATTCCAAGCAACAGCACAAGGCCACGTCTCCATCGCCCCGGCCCGAGCAGGCATGGGACACGCCCATTGCAACTTTTTCTTATGTCACTACCATATTCGGCGAGCACGGGCTATGGCGAATCTGAGCGGACTTGGCCGGGCCGCCGCCGCCGGGCTCACCTGTGCCTCGATGCTCTGGATTCGCTCGATGAGCTTGCTCTTCTCGTCACCGAGTTTGAGTAGCTCCGTGAGCGCTTTGTCGTCGTTGAGCGGTGCCAGGCAGACCTTTCCGCGCGTCTTTCCGGCGAGCTCGTCCTCCTCAAAGGTCTTTACCAGGTCCATCAGCTCCCTTTAACGAACGCCGACATCAGTGAGTGCCACGCACCGGACAGACACGTACCGCATGCAATATGGCTGCGCAAGGTGCTGACTAACAGCTGTGTTCCGACTTTGAAGCATTAGGTAGGGACAGTGTGCGAGGAGAGACGTCACAAATGTTACGCGCCAGGTTAAAAAGTTAACCGGTTCAGTTCATCTGTGTGAAAGATGAATGCCTCCGTATCTCGCTGACCGTCCGATGTGGGTTCTCACTTGTTCTCGAGCTGTTCGACGTGCGAGTCGAGCCGCAGGTGCCACTGCTGCGCCTGGACGAACAGCTGGCGGAGCAGCAGGAGCGCCGTGTGGTCGGCATTCACCAGCTCGGCGCGCACCTCATCGTGGACGGTGCCGCTGAGCAGGGTGAGCAGCTCCTCCACCTCGTCCCGCGTGTACGTCACCTCCGACAGCCTGACGTCATACACACAACGTCAGCAGCTCCTCCACCTCGTCCCGCGTGTACGTAACACAGACAGTCTGATGTCACACAGATCCGCACCATCAGTAGTCAGTGATGTGTGTCTTCGTCACCTGCATACCCGACTGTCTGACATAACGCAGGCACACAGCGGTCAAAAGTCCCGGCGGGTTCTAAAACTGTAACGTTTGGGAACAGTGGGAGCGGGTCCTCTCGTGAATGACGTGACAATTTTACCTGGAGAGCATGCAGTCCTCAAAGGCAGCGTCGACGGTGCGCAGCCGTTTGTCTCGCTGGAGCCGCGCGAACCGCAGGTAGCGCGACAGCTGGGACTGGTGGTGCTCGTTCAGACCCAGGTCATCGGCACCAGTCTGCCGGACACAATACGGTTGAATGCATTTTGCGAGATATATTGAGATTTTATACCAACGGGCGCAAATGTTTTCCCTTAAATTCAAATCTGATGTAAGTCCGTCCGCATATGTGGCATTTATGAGCCGGGCCGGACCCAAATAACCGATACCATTGCAGATCCTACGGCGCGGCTGTTTGAGGTAATGCGGGACAGCCTACCTTCCGGCGCTCACTACTAGTGACATCTAGCGGCCGGGTTGTAAGTGGGTGCCTTGCGGGCCTGCACGGCGCACGCATTGCCCGGGTTTTAGTTCACTTGAATCTCGTAAAACAAGGGGATTAAATAGAATCATCAAGGGACAAAGACAGCATGTGGCGTATCGACACAGATATTGATCGACTCGTTTTTGTCCGCGTCTACTGCTGCGTCCTCTCACAACACTTTTCGTATAAAGAAACTAGTTGTGGGCGGTAACGAGCCATTGACCCGCGACCTCGCCAGTCAACTCACCGAGTCTCCGGCGGCTGAACTCATGGTCGATCACAGAGTGTTCCTCTCGCCGGTCAGTATCCGATCCTAGCTCAACCGACTGCCACCCTGCGCACCCGCCTTCAATCCGCTCCCCCGGCGTCGGTGTCGCGTGTCTCACAGCGGCCGCTGCCGGTGTGACCGTTTGTTTGCTCCCGTCGCCATGGCAACGATCAGGCACCGCCGTCGGCGCTGGCTGACCCTGTCACCTGTCGAAGGCACCCCTCCCCCGCGAGTGGACGGCGGTACCGGTCTCCAGCTGCCGCCTGCGCTCTGTTCCAAACGACCCGACCCGTGCCAGAGACTTGCAGCGTTCGCTTCTCTGCATGTTCGAGTGAACATGTCGCATGGTACGGGGCAAGCTAGTAGCGGTGAGGGACGTGGTCCCTTGCATATCACATTTCAAGGGTTACACCATTGTTACGTCCAACACATGGATCGAAAGTCATGCTATAATTTATTAGCAATGTGATATTTATTGATCGGTAGGCACAGCATATGGACGGACTAGCATATCATTTGAACGTACTGTGAATTACAGTCACATAAAGCGCTGGTTGACTAGAACTGTCTATACGAGATACCCGGAGTCCCCGACGGTGCATCGACAATGAAAACAACATAAATAAATGATAACTCCAGCACGTCCCCCAAGCCACGCATAAGTGACAAGTGCCGTATCACATAATAAGGAACATTATCCTTCACACGTGGAACTGTGTGTTATACGTATAATGTGCGACTAGGGTGCGATTACGTACCCCACGGACGGCATCATTCATGGACGGAAATTCATAGCGTGTGCGTGAGCCTCGGTTATATGTAGAATTGGTGCAAACACTGCTCTTAACGATAGATCACATTGGTTGCATGCATTTGCAATGGTGCACCATATATACGGCGTGTCATGACAAAGTCGTTCCGTAACATAACAAACAAAATAGCCACACACAATCACCGTGACTACCTTTGTAGCCTTTGTAAACAAAATGTTTTAGCTGTGCGCGTCACCAGAGATTTTCCGACGGCTGACAATTTCTTATATGAACAAAGGCATTAAAACGATGCACAAAAACATGCGCAAATAGATAACCGCACAGATTAAAAAAACGAAACAAAAGTCTTTACCTATCTGAGATCGTGTATCACAAAACGTTCAGCATCTGTGAAGGCCGTAGCCTGCGGCGGCGCATAATTTAATTCCGTTTCTGTGCCATGATTCCGTGTTTATCCTCGCTCCTTGTGAGCCCGGCCGTGCCCGCTCGATCCTTAACGCGGCTCTGTCGGCTGGCCCAGTCGCACAGCGGGCCACTGCTCAGTGAGCAGATCCCGACACTCACAGGTCCACCAGAGTGGGTCAGTCCGGCACCTCACTGGACCGGCCCAGCCTCTCAGCGGGCCGGCGGCTCAGTCGGTGGAGCCGCTGACCTGGTGCGGGTCGCTCGGACGGCCCAGCCTCTCCGCGGGCCAGCGGCTCAGTCGGTGGAGCCGCTGACCTGGTGCGGGTCGCTCGGCCGGCCCAGCCTCTTCGCGGGCCGGTGGCTCAGTCGGTGGAGCCGCTGACCTGGTGCGGGTCGCTCGGCCGGCCCAGCCTCTCCGCGGGCCAGCGGCTCAGTCGGTGGAGCCGCTGACCTGGTGCGGGTCGCTCGGCCGGCGGCAGAACGGACAGTGGCCCTTCTGCAGCGACTGCAGCTCGTAGTCGTCCGTGTGGAACAGCTGGCGACAAACCCCAACGTCAGCATGGCCATGCATAGACGTAACGCGGGGGAGGACCAGATACTAGATCGGCTGACTATACGAAACGGCAGGTGGCGACAAGTACTGATTCCTCAGACGCTGACACTTACATAATGAGAAACACGCTTGAGTAGTTAACTGTCTAGTCTGACGTGCCGTGTAGATGACTGATTTTAAGTCAAATGTAGTGTAAAATCTGACCGATGATGATTAACAACCGTAAAATTGAGTCAACCAAAGACACGCTGCTAGGCATCAACAATTACTTACCCCATCCCAAACTTCATAAAGTACCCAGTATACACCGCCTGGGCGTCCCCAATGACTCACCCGGTTGCAGGAGAGGCAGTGCGAGACGGGCATGTCGGGCATCAGGTTTCTGAAGAACTGGTAGCGCAGCGGCGGCGGCCATCGGCACACGATCACGTCGGCCGGACTCATGGCGCGCAGCGCCGCCGCGTTCACCACCACCGGGATAAAGTCGCTGCCGCCCTGCTGCGCTCGGAAGAAGCGGACGGACACACGGGTCACAGCGAGTACGGGGACACAGGCGGACACAACGGTCATGACGCGCAGCGAGTGAGGAAGGCAGGGATGAACAACTGAACATCTACGACACGCGGATAGGACGTGTTTATGGGTCAATATTTTTGCACGAGTCAAATGTTCTCAGAACGTGCCCTTCTACACGAAATAACGATAGCAACAAATTATCCTTTCAAACTTTCTTGCAGAGAAGGCAACTGCACATCTCGCTACGAACAGGCTTTCATTCGAGGTCTCCCCGCGCTACCTCGAAGTTGAGCAGCCTCTCTGTGAACGGATCGGACTCGCCACCGGCGTTCGGGTCGTTGATGGTCAGCGTTTGCGTGTTACCCTTCTTCTTCTCCTTCCAGCCCTGAAATACACAACTTTCCGGTAACGTGAGATAGTAGAACCCACGCAGCAGATTATTAGCGAATGACAGACTTGAGTTTTACTTTTGCATTATTATTTTCTTTGATAAACTTTGCAAACAGCTGCATCTCGGCTCAGTTCTGGGCAAATAACTGGCCATAAACGGGTTTGTAGAGCAAAGAGGCAACCTTACAGTGGTAATCAGCCCCCCCCCCCAAGATCGACTACGGCTCCCTCAACCCTTTTCTACTACCCAAATGCTGCCGTATCTGGTGGCTAACCTTGGGGTGGTTGGCGGCACTGCCACTCAGCTTGTTGAGCGTCGGCCCGGGCTTCTCGTCGTCGCTCGAGTCGCTGGACGAGCTCGACTCCTCGTCGGACGAGGCGTCTGGGTCGGAGAGCTCGATCATACGCATGGCGTCCTCGTCCGAGATGCCGTCCTCCAGCTGGAACTCCACCAGCGTCAGAATCTCTGTAAGACAGAGCGGCCAGAGTGTCAGCATCCGTCTGTACTGGAGTGGAAAGGTGTCAAATGTTCTGTAGAAGAGCCGGATAGCATGGAGCCCATGCCCTTCACGGTGCACATAAAATTATACCTTGTGCAGCTGGCTGACACCCCCATTGCCAGTACAATATCAGTTAGGTGCCGGCCCTTTTTGCCACGATTCACAGTACCCTGTCATTTCCGCTCCGTCCGTGTCGCATATCCCCGACATTACAAAGTAGGTACGGAACATTACAAGAACTGAACATTACAGGCACAGGTCTCGCGGGTTTAAGCGGTAGGCTTTGCCCCTATGAAATTAAGTAAATTTCCGGCTATGTCTTCTTCGTCTTAAGCTGTTAAGGGTTGAAGATGCAATCAATTCATTCGTACACATGCCTGCCATGATCCTTTAAAATGACTTCATCGTACATCGATTAGTTTCTGGGATATAGCCGGAAATGTAAAAAGGCAAAACCTACCGCTTAGACCCGCAAGAGCAGTACGCACCGAACGAGACGAAGGAGAAGACGAATGGCTGGCTGCAGTTGGTGCAGCGGCTGCCGCGCGTGTTCACCAGCGGGTTGACGGTGGAGCAGCGGTAGCAGAGCGGCAGCAGCTCCTCCTTGTCAGTGAACGACTTGCCGCGCAGCTGCACAGACGCCAGGTCCACGTTCTCCTGCCGAAAGGACCAACAACAGGTCCAGCGGTCACACCATGACGTCCCGGCAAAGGGCGGATAGCAGCCGGATGCTGCGCTGATCCCTCCAGAACTACTGCGCTAAAAACTGACAATCAAGGTACAAATGTTCTCCGAAAATTGATGACCATCTCCAGCCCAGCAGTCAGCGGACCATGCCTAGGCCGTATGCATGTTTGGAATCGAGCACTCATTACGGAGCGAGCGAAGCGAGCGTAGTCTTTCCTTAGATTAACGGAAATTTCTGAGTATGAGCGGCCGGCCGGCCTGCCGGCAGTGGTCACGCTTTTGCGAGGCTTATATCTCAGCAACCACTTGACCGATTTACACGCGGTAATTTTTGTAGGGTAGCTTCATTCCTTCTACCAAGTATTGGACTATTCCTGATGCATGTGGGTGACCCCTTATGCACGTGCCACGTGCAAAACGAAGAGGTGTCCGTTTTGTAATTGTTGCAATATCTCGGTAACTACTTGGCCGATTGCGCTGAAAGTTGGTATGTAGGTAGGCACCCACTAGGTACTGCATATCCCTGTGCCAGAGTTGGGGCGCTGCTGCACGTGCGCACGTGCAGGGGTCGTTTCCAGATCTCGAGAACGGCTCGACCGATTGCGCTCAAATTTGGTACACAGTTAGGGACCGGTTAGTAGGGTGCCGTGCACAAGTCAGTTGGGACCCATTTTGCACGTGCGCACGTGCAGGGTGCCGCTTCCAGATCTCGAGAACGGCTGGGCCAATTGTGCCCAAATTTGGCACATCGCTAGAGACCGGTTAGCAGGGTGCCGTGCACAAGTCAGTTGGAGGTACCCCCTCGCAATTTCGCACGTGCAAGGCCCACCCTCTCGCTCGCTCCGTTAGTCGCCCCAAAAGGCGTTATACTGGTTCGTATATACACTACACGGGAAATTTATCATCAGTCCTAACAAAAACTGTCACTGTAATACAGTAGCTGGTTCGTACCTGGAAGCGAAGCGGCACCTTGAGCTGCTGGATCTTATCCAGAGCGTATCGTGCCAGCTTGAAAGCCTCTAGGTTTTTGCCCTGCTTGGCCAGCGCGTACAGGGTGCAGAACTTGGACACGCCGCGCGGCTGCAGAACGAGACGAAACGTCATATCAGTAGCCAATTGAACACTGACGTTACGAGTACGTTAGTGGATAGACCACGGTATATCTCACAGGGCAAGACGCATTTGAAGGGTAGGTAGGGCACGACGTCAGCGTACACGACTTAACACCAGGTAAAATGAGGCACGAGGGGCTCCGCTCGTCAGGGCACATGGCGCTACGCCCGGCAGCGACATTAGCTCTCCACACCGACGACAGGGCGGCAGGAGGCAAGAAGTGCCGGCAGGCGCCTAAACCTTACCTGCTGCGTGGTCAGCTCGTGTGTCAGGAAGCGGGCGATGTTGAACAGCGCCTCAGGCATGTAGGACGTGAACGGCTCCTCGATGTACCGGTGGATCGTGTGGTACGCGTAGTAAATGTTGGCCTTGCGCTGGTGCTCGTAAAACAGCTTCACCATTGCTTCCTTCTGCTCGGGCCTGATGCAGAGCGGAGAGAACCGAGCCGATCAGCAACATCTCATTTAATGCTGGTTACACCACAGTGCGTTTAAAATATAATAAACATAATACCGATAAAGAAGTCGAAACGTGAATGTATGTCTCTGTCATGGAGCCATGATTAGCCGGTGGTGTGTGTGCTACTACGACGAGAGTCACTCACTCCTCCTTGGCCACCTCGAGGCACTGCAGCGACAACACCCAGTGGTAGAATGCGGCGTCGTCGAAGCGGCTCTCCTCCACGGCGTTCACCGTCAGCTGGTCCAGGATCAGGAACGCCAGGTCCAGCCGGCCCGCCTTGTGGAACGCTGCCAGACAGGACCAGGTCACTGTCATCGTCACCATCACCGTCGCCGCTTTTCGCACCCTGATCACAGATTGATCGACTCAGAAGCAAATAATGCAGCTTAAATAATATTTGATCACTCAACACTCAAAGATGGTGACCAGGAACGCAGACTGTGGCTGTTCAATGTTTTCCGGTATTCACTACGCTCGATTACGACGTACAGAATAACAAAGTCGGGAGGCGCCAGCCCGATTCGGATACCGGGAACGTCACTCTAAAAGCCGCACCTTTCTGCGCCTCCAGGAACTTGTCGTGTTCGGCCAGCCACTTGGCGTAGGGCACGTAGATGATCTGTCGGAACTCGGGGTGGTTCTCGCCGAGAGCGAACGCCTCCTCCCAGGCCTCGGCCTCCACGTAGCAGGTGATCATCGACTCCGTGTCGTCCATCTTCCTGCGGGCGGCGGGTGGAAGCTCGTCAACCGACCACGTGCGTGTCAACAGAGCAGCGGTCGAACACTCATGTCTCTATGCTAGTTACTGAGTTCACTGGTCCCGTGAGTCGGACAATATACGGAAACGTCTAGGTCGCATTCAAAATTGATTTATGCGAACGTCGTAGGTTCTAATTGTTACAGTCAAGCTAGTAAAGTAACTTCACATTCCAACTGACAAACAGCTGCCCATATACGTCTAAGCAATACGCATTCCCGATCGACCGTGACCGATCAATCAGAGCTATCTCACGTCATTCCGCTGCTCTCGCCAGCCGACCCGGCGCAGTGTGCCGCCCCAATCAGTCATTACACTAACTCACTTGTACATCTCGGCGGCGAGGGCGTACTGCTTGAGTCGCCGAAGGTGCTGTGCCACCAGGCCGATCGCCTGTACCTCGCCCTTGTCCAGCTTCCGGCCTGTCTCGATCAGCCTGAGCACGACACCAGCACGGGGTCAGAGGTGCGTCGACAAACAGGGTGGGACGATCAGACAACAGCCAATACACGGCTGCAACATCAGCAGCGGAAACCACAAAAACACGTCTAACTTCAATGTCCGGCTTTGTTCAGTGTTTGTCAAATGAAAAGTTCAAGCAGTACGGAATTCCTCTGCACACAAATCCACAGCACAACGAAACCACAGTTCCACTCAGCTGCTGAAGCCAGCCAGTGAACCAATCTGAGTAATGAACGATCGATAATCGACCGGCGGGGTCACCATAATCGGACGATTCTGATAATTTCACCGGCCACAGGCAGGCGGTACTCACATGTCGATCCAGCCGTTCTCTCCCATGATCTCGATGGCCTTCATCGTCTCGCCGGCGTTCACATACATCTCGGCGGCGGAGCGGAGCTCGTTGATGTTCTTGGCCCACTCGGCGCGCTTCTTGAGCAGTGTCTTACGGTCGGACGAGTCCTCGTCGCCGGCAAACTCCTGCACGAAGGGAGGTAGGACGGGTCAGAATGGCACCGAGACCAGGAGCAAAGGAGGTGCAAAACGGCAACAGATCCTAGAGCTAGGAACTACACCGAACATGAATAGTTAATACCCAGGCAAGGCAGTCCCGCAGTATTCCTGTCGACATCACAAAACGGGATGTTCCGAGCGGGTTCCGCTGGAATCACAAAGCAACTATCAAGTATCAACCGTCTGTCTCTAAGACTGCCACGGCCACCGTCGCCGGCAGCGACACCCACCTGGGCAAGGTCGAACATGCGCAGGTCGGTGTACATCTGGAGCGCGTGCGACGGCTTGCCGCCCTTCTGGTAGCACTCTGCGGCCTCGCGGAACTCGCCCCGGTACGACAGAATGTCGCCCAGAAACACCTGCTCGTTAAACTCGCCCTTCTTCTTGCGCTCCTGGCGACGGACGGAGGGCGGCGATCAGACACGGACAACACTCGGGTATGGCCGCCGGGTCAAGACGAGTCAAATAGGGACGAAAGAAGGGGTAAAAAGGCTGGCACGGGAGCAACACCACAACGCATTTTGGTGACTTCATAAAACTATTCCACAAATCAGAACAATTAATAAAGAAGTAAACCAAAAACGACATTACATCTACATAATACGAACTGACGAGTCAACTACCCCTGACGCTCCAGCCACCGAGCCGTGCCTTACCTCCATGGAGTCGAGAAGGTACAGCCAAGACATGTCCTTGATGCGCATGTACGACTTTTTGGCCACCTCCAGGTCCAGGTTGTTGAGCGCCTCCGTGCCGAGCGTCTCCCAGTCGCTCTCACTGACTCCGAGACAGGCGACCGAGTAGGCCTGACTGGGAACCGCGGAAATACAGTCGCAGTGAGTCACTGACACCGAGACAGCGACCGAGTAGGCCTAAATGGAGAACGGGCAACATACATAGTAAGTGAGGGAATCACATGGGGAACAGAAACAGTATAAGAGTCACACGGATACCGAGGGAGACCGGAACAATAGAACAGCCGAGCAGTGTGTCAGGAGATAGTGAAAGCAATGCACGGAGCAAGCAGCAGAACCAGTCCTAGTGAAAGCAATGCACGGAGCAAGCAGCAGAACCAGTCCTGACTCTGATAGAGGGCTTGACAGAACGCCATCTAACATAGCCCGACACATGGCCAACCGAGGCGACACCTGCCGCACCCATTATAGTCGGCCGCACGGAGATAGTTCGGACACCGGTGACGTCTATTTACGGGGAGTTTCCATGCCAGTACACTGTCACCGCGCACATGTCACGCGTAACGTACCCGAACATCTTTTTCTCGATGTACTGGTACATGGGCGCCGACTGGAGTACGTCGATGGAGCGCATCGAATAGTTCCACAGCACAAACACCTTGCTGCCCGTGAAGCCCACGACGAAACCCTGCAGCACAGTGGCACTCGTCAGCAATTTACCTGCAGCCGAAAGCCGTTTGATGTAAGCGTTGCGGCATACTTTGTGGCTAAAAGTTATACAAACAGTTATTTACAGCATGCAGCTCTAATAAGTAATAATAACTATAATTCGTACAACCATGAGTCATGACTCATAATGTGCCCCCAAGCTTCTACTTGGGTCGACCACTGACACATAATCGACCGCAGAGCGGTAACTGAGAGACTGAGCGATAGCGCCGTGACGAGCGGTCTACTCACGGGCAGCTTCTGCTGGTAGGGCACGTAGTTGGCCGCCTTGATGAAGAGCACGCCGCTGCCCGAGTAGCACAGCATGTCCTCGCACATGGTGTTGAACGACAGGCTGGTGGCGTTCGGCTCCTGTCGGCGTATAGACACAGACGGTGAGGGGCAAATACGGGATGAGACGATCAGATGAGGTGGTATCAGACTTCTGTCGGTGCATAGTAAAACACCGGGTACGGAACGAGACGGAACAGGATGATGCGATACTACGCACGGGGACGGGATACACCGGGCACCGACTGTATCGCAACAAACGTAAGCTATGTAAGCAGCCTCTATCAGAACATGCCAGTGCTATGAATTTGTCACGGCAACGGTAACGCAAGTACATACACGACTTTCCGAACCACGCAAGGTTGTGCCAGACCGGCCCGGCCGGACCGGCGGAGGCTCGTTCAACCCATCATCTCCGGATCGTTCTCACCTGGAACATGAGCTCCTTGGTCTCGACGTTGTAGACGAGCACGGTGCCGCTGTCGTCGACCACGGCCAGCTTCTCCTTGTAGGCCGACAGGTCCAGGCAGCGGATGGCCGTTGGTACCTTCAGCAGGCTCACCGGGAACGCGTTGTCGATGAAAATCTTGAACACCTGCCGCGCCGCCGGGGTGGGAAGGGGTGAGATAGGGGTAGTTCGGGGGCGTGGTAAGGTGGTAGTTGGGATACGAGTTAAGTCTTGAGTTAGGCCGGGAACCCGCCGCCCGCAGGGGCTTCGTGCCTGAGCAGCCAGTCGATAACCAGATGGCGGGCGACATAAGCCTAGGGTATGGATAACTCATCTCAATCAGTTAAGTACTGAGCTTTCACGAGGTTCTGAATAGTCGTCACTCGTCATCCCCCCAAAATAGCAATAGCCAATAGCAAGTTTGCAATAGGATTGGTTAGAAGTTGTCTACTCTGGGTCACAACGCCTCTACTTCGGTTGGATGGAACAGAAACGTCATCCCTCTACGCCGGCCGTGTGGCCTAATGGATAAGGCGCCTGACTTCGGATCAGGAGATTGCAGGTTCGAGTCCTGTCACGGTCACTGCATTTTGGCATGCGAGCGGACAGTTTTGGATAGGAAGAGGCAGGGAACAAGAATATAATCAGCAAATCAAATGATCAATTTCACCACTCATTAAACCATTTTTGGCTCATTGAAACAGTTTCGCTTTGCAAGCCATTGTCGATGAATACCAGGCACGCGAGGTAGTTGGCTTCATCTAGCCCCTTTCAAACAAAAGTGTGCCTAATTGCCTGGCAGCCCATCCAAAATATGTAAATCAGGATCAGCCAGCGACTCTTGACCCGACCGTCGAGTCGCTAGACAGAAGTAATCTCGGACAGAGCGACCACCTGACCGCGCGCCGGCTACTCACGTGTCCATTTTTCAGTCCGACGAGTAGACACTCGCGGTCGGCCGGGCCGCCGATCACCTTGATGTAGCGAATCATCGAGTCCATCACCCACTCCCGCTCGCGCTCCCCGCTCAGGTTCAGACACTGCAGACGCTTGTCCTGAGACAGCAGACAGACAGCCATGTCAGACACTGCAGACGCTTGTCCTGAGGAGGAAGACACTAGACGGTCAATACATCGCACTGACTGGGGAAAACAGACGGGAGACAGCAGACAAATATCGCAGTCGGACCGACAAATTATCGATGCTTGCCGAAAAAGTGCGGAACGGAGGATCGAATTTTGAGAAAGTCTCATATTGTAAGATAGAACACCCGCCTCCCCCCTGCCATTGTTGGTAACCCCCGATCAGTGAACAATTTCTGGTGTAACAGCCCACAGCGCATTTCGGGATGGCAGCCCACCCGTCCGAAGCTCAATATCCCCCATACCCACCTGGCAGAGCACTAGGTGGTTGGCGCAGATCACCAGCAGACTGCACTCGAGCTTCTGGTTGAGCTTCTCCTTGACGCGGTAGTGCATGTCGGTAGAGTCACCCGTGTACAGCTCGTAGATGATGACCCGCTCGGGCAGCTGGACCTGCGGGGGTGCAGCACGGTTTGTCAGTAGTGACCGATGACCGGGCGGGGGCGAACCTATCTCCATATCACCGGTCAAAACTCATCACCGTCCCACCGCGAAGCACCCCACCATGACGACCCCGTTGGGTATCATTGTTCTACCCACCAAGCACCGGCCAATTACTGCCGACGAACTACTTGGCAACATCTCACGATTGACCCATAACTAGACAGCATCCACGTCCTATACACACCACCCTAAGGTCCACAGCACGCAGTCCCAGACACGTACCGCCAGCCGTGTCTTGTAGAGGGCGATCTTTTTGACCATGTCTCGGCACTTGATTCGCACCTTCTGCTCGGTGATCAGGTGCTCGATGATGACGTCAGTCATGTTCTCCCTGCTCGGGCGACAGGCATAGCCAGTGACAGTGTTACAGGCATAGCCGCGTCAGTTAACTTGGCACCACGCATGTATCTTCTACAGGATGACTTAAAGTGAGTTTGCAATTTGATGCGACTTTAGTTGGCCGATACATTAATAAATTGTATGTGTCGTAAAAATACACTCGTTTGTTCAAATGAAAACTATACCGTTAATTGACTGAGCCATTCAAAGCGTGAATTCTACCATATAGCTATGATAATTTGACAATTACCAGCGCCTACACTGGAGTCTGGACATTACGTTATACACCCACCTGAAGGCGTACCGCTCCCGGTGCAGGCCATGGACGGTGCTAAACACCAGCTGGTAGTAGGCGATGGTGCCGTCGTTACAGCCGCACGCCTGCCGGCACAGCGAGCGTCACCATGACGGGCGTCACCAAACATCAGAGTGTTATCGACGAGGCTAGCAGATAGCCCTGACTCTGAAGCGATCAGTTTCCAGAACACGACTGTGGACGGTCTCAGAGGAAGGCAATGATTCATTGGAGTGAAAGTAAGTGGTGTTGTCAAGTGATCAGCCGATTTCCTGAGTCTGACGCACAGGGCAGTATCGGTTCAAGTGGGTGTTGGACACAGCTCAGGTGCCGGTGCATTTCCTTCTGGTACGCAGCTAGACAAGCAAGCGATCGTCACCACTAACCACGTAGTTGCTGTCGGGTCGCGGCGCGGCGCACCACACCCACGACTCTTGAGCGCCGATCATCTCCAGTCGAATGCCCTCCTTGGTGTAGAGCACACACTCGCGGTTCGAGCCGCCCATCAGGATGTACTGGCCCAGCGGGAAGAACTGCATCGTGCACGGGTCGAAGCGCAGCTGCCGCTCCTTGCCGATCTGCCGGGGCGGGCACACGGCTCAGTTAGGCGGCCGGAGGTCGACGGAGCACTCACTCAGCAGAGCTGATCGACCAAGCAAAGTGGAATTCTCGATAAACTGAGTTAAGAAATGAAGCATTGAAGCGAGGATAATCAAAATGGCATAACACGCTGCTGAGTAAAGCAAATTACTGAAACATATACGCCAATCACTAGCTCATGTTCGGCTTCACATCAAGTACCAGGCGCCACGACAGCCTGTCGTTCTCCGCGTTGGCGGCAAGTTCGCTGTCATAGGTGCCAGTATTGTGACCCCCCCCCCCCCCCCCCCCCACGTCCCCGCACAGCTCTCACCTCGGTGACTTTGAAGTCCTTTGTGTAGACGGAGTAGAAGGAGAGCGTCTGTCCCCAGTCGGCCACGGCCAGCACGTCGTACGCCTCCTCACGCACGGGCGAAAAGTGCACGCACCAGACGGGCGAGCTGCTGCCGCCGGGCCGCTCGATCCGCGCCTTCTCCTCGCCTTGCTGCCGGACAGAGCGGTAAATAGGTGTGAACACCCGCCAAAGTGAGGTGAGGACAGGTGGTGTGACCACCGGTCGACGCTGCGACTGATCGTCGCACCGGTCGGCGGCTGCGACTGCGACTGATCGACTGACTTCGCAGAAAGACCACCGAAATTTTAAGTGATCGGTGCGAAGGCATCGGTATTAGCGAATTTCCGTCACGCACACACGCACATTTTACTCATCCCCTTCCCGTGAGGCGTGACATACCTTGTTCCTGATGGATACGGTGCCGTTCATGAGTCCGAGCGCGATCAGCAGACCGTCCGTGGTCCAGGTGCAGCCGTTCACTCGGCTCGGCACGCTGTACTTGGTCACGTTCTTCTGCTCGGGCGACCACAGGCCGAAGTCGGACAGCGAGCACGAGACCAGCATCAGGCTGAGTGGGTTGTACGCGATGCACTGCACCGGGTCCTTGTGGCTGCGCAGACGGCACGGTGCGCGTCAGAATATATAGAACGTGCTCACGTGTACCAAATCGTGCCACAATACCAAAGACTAAAATAACATGTCCCGGACTCCTACATTTTGACGGGTCGTACTCACGTATACCGTGATACTCACGAAACGATATACGTGATACGATACTCACGATACTCACGTAATCGATATCGCAAGCGGCGGCTAATATGCATCGTGTCCCGGACTAATCTGGCAGTTGGTACTTACGTGTACCGGAGGATGCCCTCGATCTGGCACACGCCGTTCTCCACCTTGGTACCCTTGGTCGCCCAGATGATGACGCTCTTGTCCTGGCTGCCCGAGGCGAACCGCTTGCCGTCGCGGCTGTAGGCCACGCAGTACACGTTTCCCGTGTGGCCTGATGGACACCGAGGACGGACGGTTACTTGGGCATGGGTGTGGGGAGTCTCAGCCGTGTAGGGGTACAAGTTAACTGTGGAACGGAAGTAAGATTATTCAGCAGTTTTTTGTTCAAACAAAAAAAAAACTGCACCACCCAAACTATTTCGAGTCATCAATAATAATCACCCTAATCATTCAACGACAACATTATCGATAATTTGCTTACATTTTAGCGACTAACAATGCAGACTTGCAGGTGGCATTATTCTTGTTGCTACAAGCTAGTTCTCTGAGGGTTACCTTTGAGTGGCTGTATGAGTGAGCCGTCCACGGCATCGTACACGAGGACGCGGTTACCGGCGGCCACCACCAGCATCGACCCGTCCGGATGGAAGCACATGTCGTGAATTCTGCCGGCACAATGTCACATACACTTTACATCAAAGATCATTCTGGAGCATTAAATGCATAGGTTAGGTAATTTGTGAGCACTGCTCCAGCATGCATTCCACATATCATGAGGCATGAGCAACAAAAAAAAAATCCCCAACTCCCAATAGTTGAATTATCAAGAAGCTGATATTACAGCATTGGTTTGGAGTTTCTGATTTTCATTTTACTACCAGTAAACACTCAATGTGTTAAATGTACCAAGTCAAAACAATGCATCATACATAATAAAAGCACCAACCACTGCAAAATGTAGAAAAAAGTATTTGAATAACTCACGGTTGTTCATTTTTGTCCTTATCATGGACTTTATCCACCCATGTAGTGACTGTACGCATGATGCCCAGTCAGTACTTTTCAGTAATCAGTTAGCTAGTTTCTAAAAGCATCATTTCCTGGAACCTGGAATGAAAATTGATTGAGTAGTTAAGCCCAGGCTACACAATGTGTTAATGTTGAGGAAAGTACATTTGTGCACTGAGCTCTGCATGTCTGTGCTTGCTGGATTTCCTTGATATCAGTTTCTGCAGTTCTCCTAAATTTCCATTAACTATTTTATGCTGACAGAAGCATAGCCACTAGCAAGCTCTTTGCCAAGAAATGCAGAATTTTTTTAATTGTTATCATATTTACTTGATAACATTTACCTAATTTGTAATACAATCAGCTTTAGATCATGTAAAATAGTTAATAATTATCAATCACATCATCTGGATTCACATGATGTATTTGCCTGCATGCATCAGGTCAGTGGTAGTCACTAAGTGTGATAACTGTCTCATCTCATATATCTAAGCAAGTACATTCTTTAAAAAAGTTCAGATATCTTAACTTTATGTTGGAACACACAATCCATTCCTGACAATCTACTATCCAACATTTCCTGGACTGAGCATCCATGATTTCCTTGACTGAATGTGTGTGACCTGCAGTGTAGCCCAGTGTAGTCGACCCAGTATGTTTCCTATCTGCTGAACTTGATCTGCATTCCGAGGGCTATTCACGGGCCCTGTGTGTGGTCAGACCGCACACAGCCTCGAAGCTCCGCCCACTGCGTCCCTATGTCAGCCTTCCGTCACCACACACAGCGATCGCTGTGGCCAGTCGGGACTGGCCACAGCGGACCGTCCACCGCACGCAGCCGTGACGTCAGAACCGCCTACCCATCCCCTACCCCCACGCCTGCTGGACGCACCGCACACACCGCACGCAGCAGTGTGCGGTGCCCTGAACACCCCTCTGATTTGCCACAACTCCCGACAAAACATAGGTCTCACATAATTTCCCAGGGGATCATGCATGTCATGTAGTGTGTAGCTCAGGCTTATGTTACTATCTCTATATTAAAGATTAATAATATTCTAACAAAAAACGATACTTTTGTTTCATTGTGAATAAAACTTTCTTTTTAAATTAACTAATTGACAAGGATGCAGGGCCAGTGTTAGTGTTGAGTGTCACAACCCACGCTAAGCAATGCTTGAGCTTGTTACGCAGGTTCTAACCCAGTCTGAAAGTGCAAATCCAGGCAAACAGAGAAATTGGATACCTAGACTATCAACACCTGAATTCTGTAAAGAATTAATTAACTTCATTTTCAAAATGACTGCAAACCAGCTTAGGAGTAAGCTGCTTATTTTATCATTTTATTAAGGCCTCTACACTCAATACGCATCATTGTTACGAAAATAAAAGAATACACTGTGTACAGTGTACTGAGCTGGTAATATACTATTCTATTTGGCATTTGCACTAAGTTGCTTTATACGGTTTGAGGAAACGCGTGACGCGCGTGACAGCACACACATTCCATTGGCATTCAAAATCAAGGCTCAAGTTGTTTTGATTCGGATTCTAGCCTTGTTACGAGTCTAAATTTTCCACCCGAAACCTTCACTATCAGAAATATTTTAACTTGTTGCAATGAGCTTATGCGGTTTCGTGTATTTTAAAGGGACGCAAATAATTGGGAAAAAAAGGTGGAAGCTTTTAAACTCTTATTTATTGTTTCAAAGCTGTATTCTGCACACACAAAAAACGAGTAGAAGCTAAAACACACGAATCACATTCTCTAAATTAGCTATCCACAGTTTGGCGCGCTTGCTCCAAACAAATGAACTGAATGCCACCACTAAATCAAACGAGCCTCCAAGGTCTCGTGTGAAAGTGGTTGCAATTTGTTATGTACCTATCTAAGCATACACACTCACAAAAAAAGAATAAGGGAATGAAACTTCTTGGGTTAGGATGGAAATGCATTTCTGAACAGAAAGCCGATTGTTTTATTCACGCCAACTCCGTCACGGAGCTTTACAGTCTACAGCCTTGTCCGTCCCCGTCTTACCGAGTTACCTGGGTCACCGGAGACGGCATTCAAGGATTGCATTGCACGGATTGCCTATCAGGCGTCAGCCCCCGGCTCAAAATAATGCCACTTTAACACCCTACATCCGGTTCGTACTCCCGCAGTCAGACGACTGCAGCTGAGTGAAGCCTATCTGGCATTTGCCGTTGCGACACAATTACCTACTTTAGTATGAACCATGAATCTAAAACCAACCGTGCCCGAGTCGCTGCTGAAGTCGAAGCGCTACTTATAATCTCAAGTTGGAACGTTTGATGAGAACTGAAACCATCCTTTGTCTCGTCGCCGAATAATTAGAACAAACCACTTGGTCCTAAAACAGTGATGACTCACTGACTGACGTAAACCAACAGTATGACAAAGTCGGCTTCGTAGTATATTCTTCGTCTGCCGACTGCCGAGAATCATAAGATCGGAACTGTAAGTAAACGAGATGTGTGCCCGCGTTATCGGCGTTGTCGATTTCTTGTCAACGGGAGTTAGAAATTGACACTGGCCAGGCTGTGAGAACGGTTCTCACTTTACAAGATGGGATATTTTACACAAAGTCGTTATCCCACCAAGCACGGCAGCCGGTGTGACATTGCGATTAAAGTTCCTATCATTTCGAACCATTTTGGACCCGGAGCTGCGTTGGATCGTTGACATACCAGGCATGCGTCGGGTATTGTAAATAGTTGTGTGATCTCTGTTCCTCGGGGCCGTTTAGCTCTCGGTCCGTCCCTCGGCGGCCCTAAGCCAGCGGCAATTAGCACTCGAGCCGGCGGCGCGCGGCACCCTCTGATGACCGGCTCGGTGGCGCGGGGACGGCTACCCACCGCTGCCGAGCTGAATTCCACGACTGTTTCACATAGCCGCGTTTATTTCCGGAATGGACGTCTCATTATGGCGATCACATGGACACACCGCAGCATACAGCGAGCCTGAACGCTCGGCGGCCCGTCACAGCACACGGCACGCATACAGGACTCGGGTTATCATCTGCAGTTCAGCAAGAAAGCTCCCTGAATGCAGCTCGCAGAACCCCTTCGCATTTACTCTCACAGTGTCATTCGCTCACTTGCACGCAAAACATTGGCCACGCCCACGACCATATCGCCACAATGTCTTTCACACTTCCCACGGTCGCGTCGCGTAATTCTGAGCTGTTAGCGGCATAAAGCAAGACTCAAGCTAGCATGAATCGTCATCTGAAGGAACGCAATCTACGAAAGAGTTACAGCGGGTGTGCTTACTTCTAAATCTACGTACGCTAGGCATCTTAGTAAATGGTAACTCGCATTCGGACGTGGATGAATATCATTGAGTGTCTATACGCTACGGTATCTTTAACTGTCGATCGGCATCGGCGGTGCGGAAGGCCGGGCGCACGCCGTCTCGGCTTTTAACCCACGAGCCGCTGGGGGGGGGGGGCATAAAGTTGCCCCCCTTTACGTTTTGTGAAATATCTCCGAAACCTGAAGAGCTACGAACGTGAAACTTGGCATAGCTTCTAATGAATACCTAGGCAATGTTTGAGGAAAGTTTGGTGGTTGTAGCACCTAAGATGACGTCACAGTGACGTCATAAAGTTTTGTCGTTTTCCGATATGGACCGTTTCTGATGACGCTGAGCATGAAACTCGACTGTAAATGAACTAGACAGCACCTGCTGTTATCCTAAAACATCTTACTACACTTCCATCTAGTTTCTGACCAATAATCGGCCCTTTATATTCGGTCCCATATATGTGATGTATCGTGAGGAATATGAGAGTCGCAAATCTATAATTTCACTTATGACGTCACTGTGACGTCACTTCAAATGGGATCGACACCAAATTTGGACACAACCTCGGCTAGGTATTCAGGAAGATGTGTGCAAAGTTTCGCTTCTCTATCTCTTCGCGTTGCGACGATATCGTCGCAGAAGTAAAGGGGGGGGGGCAACTTTATGCCCCCCCCCCCCCAGCGGCCGGCGGGTGGCGCGGAGGCCCAGCGGCCGCCGGGTTAAAGAGATGGCAGCTGTACTTGAAGTCGATCATTAGCTGTAAGTAATTTGGCGACAACTAAAACCGGTCAATATAAATCCCACACTACGCCATGCCTACACTACAGTGAACCACTGGCTGCGGTTCTGTGTCCCCACTGGCCCCCCGCAGTCCGCACTGGTTACCCTCTTGACGTTACGTCGGCCGCTCGCTCCGCGTGCGTAAACCCTGCCGTCTTCCTCTTCAGTACTGCGTGAACACCCTGCCGTCCCAACCTCGTTCCGGCCAAATAAATCGCGCTTTCTTGGCCTCTCTCCCCGCGTCTACACAATATATCTGACAGCTGCTCTTCTCCGCGTGGAACACTTTGCTAACACTGCCCTGCTTCGGGTGTAGGTATATACCCTGCCGTACAAGCCTCGCTCCGCTTGCTTCAATACTGCAGCGTCTGCCGACAAGCCGACCGTTCCCGTCCGTCCAACACTCCCCGCCACCAGTGTCTATACCTGCTCCGAGTCGCCACTTCCCGCCTCCGCATCCACGATAATGGCATCCTGGCTGACCAGCGGCGGCCGGCGGCCCGTCAGACCCTCGCGGAGGCTCTGAACTCGCAGGACGCGCAGCGCCTCCGACTCCTTCGAGTTGACGAACACGGCGTCGGCGGGCGCGTCGGCCGGGTCCTCGGCCGGCGCCGCCTCCACCACCACGGCGTCGCCGGGGTCGCGCAGCTGGAGCTCCTGCTCGCCGGCCCCGCCGTCCGCCAGGCTCTCCAGCCGCAGCTCCAGCAGCACCTCGGAGACCTTGCTATTGGTGAACTCGGGCGCTGCCTCGACCAGCACCGACTGCAGCCGCGTGAACACGGGCGTTACGCGCTCCTCCAGCCGGCCGGCCAGCATCTCCAGCAGGTACGGGCTGTCCTTGGAGTTCTGAGAGACAGGAACGGTCCGTCAGCTGAAGGATAGCGGCAATGGGAAAACACCTTGAACAAAGCAGCGGTGACAGACGCATTAAGTTCCCTTCGGTGATATTACCGATGCATCTCTGCGATTGAAATTATAATACAATTAATATTATCAGATAAATGCAGCACGATATCAAACATGAATACCATCTCAGATGAATTTCCTCAGATGATTGAAAAGCTGAGATGTAGGCCTATGTAAAATTGGCGATAATATTTACATATGCAGTCCCCGGATTACAAGAGCTTGTTATGCCGTGATCTGTGGAAAGACGCGTACAGGCCACCCCGCCCAGTAGCTGAGACGGGCTCGGAGAACTCACCCGCAGAGTGACCAGGGTGACCGTGCCGTCGGCGGCCGCTGCAGGCCCGGAGACGGGCACCGGCACCGCATACTGAGTGTGGTAGACGGCCGAGGGCGCGTACCGGACCAGCGGCGGCGGAAACAGGTGGGGCAGCGCCGCGCCCGAGACGGCGGCCACACAGCACAGAACCAGCTGCGGCTGAAACGCGCAGACACCGGTCAAGGGCGAGGACAGGGACGGTCAGAAGTGGGACGGCGGGAGACGGCAGGTACGGGCAGATAGCGGACGGTGGGAGATAGGGGCGGTCAGACAGGAACATTTGGAGGGACAGAGACGGTCAAGACACCGGACGGTGGGAGGCAAGGACGGTCAGACAGGGACATTTGGAGAGTCAGGCTGTGGACTGGCAGACACCACACTTTGGGAGACATGAACAGGAATGAACCGACAGACCAGTGACACTTCAGCCGTGTTTACGTAGGAGTTGAGTTACATGGAGCATTCAAAGTCCATTAACCTGGCCTTCAGCGTTTAAAATCTTAAGTGGCAATGCAGATGCTACTCTATAAAGAAGCTTGAGGGATTCATATTTCAGCTAGTGTGGAAACTGAATTATATGATAAGAACGTAATTATACCTGTCACATCATCCCCTCGGGACAATTAGGGGACTGTTTCGTAGAATGGGATCCTTTCAAAGGCGTCATATCCGGTGGCGATGCCGGGTGAAAAAAAAGACACCGGCTGTCGGCGGGGAACGAAATAATGCCCTCAGCTCGAAGAATCATTTGCGGCGCACATTCTGGTGCCAGCATATTTTCCAACTAGCTTATTCATTATTTATTTGTTCAAGCACAGGGAGAGTTTCCGCTTAAACGGCGCATACTGTGTACCCTCCCCTGAATGCGGCCTTTTATGTTTTTGCGACAAGTGATTTTTATTTATCTCTTATCGTCTTACGGCTGTCGCACATCCCATCTGTCGCAGGGTCCTATTCAAAGGACAGTGTCCTACGGAGCACCGCCGCCACCTGCTTCCGTTCTCCATGTCATGGTCCCGTCCCGGTCTGGGGCCACGGTCCTGCCCGCGCCCATTGCGACCTTGATACCGTGAGTAGTCCGTCTCGTCCTGTGGCCACCTGCCGCGATCGACGGTAGGCCGGTGGTGGGTCGGAGCCGTGGATAGAACAGCAGTACGGGCGGAGCCGCTGACAGCCAACTGATCGATGGGACTATCGCACCCATCGAGACGGCGCTAATTCAGACGTTTAGTTGGAGACAACCTGCACCCTAAACAAGGCCGTTTCAGAAGCCATTTTATGTGACACGCATTTGGCGCGCTATTCAATTTATAGTATGCAATAGGCAATCCTGCACAACACAAAAAAAAACGCCTTAAATGTTACGCACTTCGTTTCGAGGCTCGAGCCACCTTTCCAGTTCTATTTGACCGAACTATTCAAAGAATGGCTCGTCTGGTGGGGTCGGTTCCGCGTCGTGTCTGACCGCGGGCGTCCATTCCGCGCCGGGGTGGCTCTCGGAGCGCCCGCTCACCTTGATCATCCGGTGGCCGAGACGGACAGCGAGACCTTGCGCTCCCATACCGCTGCGCCGCGTCATCCCACAGATGAGCGGCCGATACAGATTCTCCGCCGCCCGGCGCGCCGAGACGACCCTGGCGGGGCCTGAGAGGGGCCCTGCACCGTCCTACACCTCTCTTCGCCGTCCGGTGCTCCAAGGCGGCCCTGGAGGGACCTGGGAGGGGGCCCGGTACCGCCCCACCACTACACCACTCCATCCATCGTCCGGTGAGCCGGGGCGGCCCTGACGGGGTCGAGATGATGCCCATGGCGCCGTCCCTTTTCATCCAGGCCTATTCGCCAATAAAGGTAAAAAGATCGGTGCATCTATGGCAAGGTGATCCAGTATTGAATGGATGGCACATGTCGTTAGGCTATTATATCACAGCCTCCCGGAGTATACGGCGCCGCCCGGCGCCGTGCCTCCGCGTCTGCCTGCCGCTCCAGTCTGCTGGCCGGCAGGGTGTGCTGCGGGACAGCCTACCTTCCTCCAGCGGAGATCGCCGCGCGGCCCTAGTAGGTATCCTTACGTTGCACTAAGACAAGTCGACCAGGGCAATAGTCTAAATTCTCAAAATTAAAGGCGAAATTCGCAGTAAGAATGCTCATCAAGAGCAGTTTTCCACACCTCCTTAGTCCTTACCAATTACCATGCTATCAAAAAATGCTAACCAACAATACCTACAATTTATCGGAAACCGACCACAAATTTACATCGTTTCATCAAAACATCTTCGCTGGAAGGGTACCTAACTAGCATTCGTTGCGTTTTATGCCTAGTTCGAAAGTTTCCGTTCCAAGATGGCACGACAAAAAAGCGGTAGGATGGCGGAATGGTGGTTCTCAATACTGAAGAACTTCATACGGCGTTAAAAAGAAACAAATTTCGCCCATTTGAGGAGTTCATGCCGGTATTTCATGCCAGTCATATCACAACCCCTTGGAGTGGCGAGTGCGGAGTCGCATGGCACCAGGCACGGTGCCCGTACGCCGACTCCTGCCGTCTGCCGGAAAAAAGGCCCTAGTCGAAAGTTCCTCAACTTCTCCTTGTCCTTTCTTCCGAGCTTTAATTATGAATGAAAAGTTATTGATTTTCAATATAAACAATCGTCTCGGTCGCATCAGCCCAAATGAAGCCCATTGGCCGACGATTATTCAAGGTGCCATTTTAAGTGGTGCAGTCCACGGCACCTGCGCCCCACCTGGGACGGCTGTCCTGTCGGTGCCGGCTGGGGCGAAGGCGGGGGCGGGGGCGGCCGCTCGGGTCGGTCGTTGTCCGGCGCGGACCACACGGCCGCCATGGGCGACCTTCGGCTGTCGGCGCCGGCGGGCAGGGCGCCGCCGAGTGCGGCGGGCGGCCTCGCCGCCGCCGCCGCCGCCGCCGGCCCGGCACCCGGATGGCGTGGCCGCTCCTGGCGGCGCATCTGATACCGTCACCCCGCCCCGCCCAGTCCGGCCGGCTGTGCGGAGGACACGCCTGCTCCCGTACCCCGCCCCCGGCCGACTGCAGCGCAGGGGGACCGTCTGGATCCGGGTCACTCCGCTCATGAGCGGCCCGGCGATCAGCCTCAGGTAACAGCAAGGGCCGTCAGTGCTGGATGCCGAACACGGATGAAGACAGATTCAAACACTGATCCTATGAAGTCATTGTACGTCATCAGTCCAACTGGTTCAGGTTTACGCCCGCCTCTCCAGGTAATCGGCTAGATCTCGGTCTGGACAGCCTTGACGAACTGGGCCGGGGAGCCCAACTCATCCTGCCGACGATAGGATCGGTCACGCCCAGCCATGAGACGCGGCACGATCCTCGCCACTTCCTGCTTCGCACCACGTTCGTCATACATGTAAGGCAGGTCCGACAACAGTGAAGCCGTCTAAAGGGACCCCGACCGACAGACTTGTTTGTCACATAATAATGGTAGCATACAAGTAATGAAGGGTGCAACATAATTACGAGCGAGCGAGCGCAGCGAGCGAAGTGAGTCTTTTCAATATAACGGAAAAATCTCAGTATGAGCGGCCCGGCCCGGCCCGGCCCAGCCCAGCCCGGCCTGTAACGCTTTTGAGAGGCTTATATCTCAGCAACCGCTGGACCGATTGGCCTGCGGTCTTTTTTGCTGGGTTGCCCCATCCCTTCTACCCCGTAATTGACTACTTTTGATACATATCAGTGACCATGGTGGCACGTGCCACGTGAAAAGTCAAGGGTGTTCAAGCTGTTTTGCAAAAGTAGTGATTTTGAGAGGCTCATATCTCAGCAGCCGCTTGGGCGATTGACTTGCGGTAATTTTTGTAGGGTAGCAGCATCCCTTCTACCCAAAATAGGATACTCTCGATGTATGTGGGTCACCCCCAGTGCACGTGCAAAATACAACAATAAGAGGTGCCAAATTTGTTCCTATTTCAGTAACTCGGTAATTACTGGGGCGATTTCGCTGAAACTTGGCATACAGGTAGGCACCCACCAGGCAATGCATTCCCATGTGTTGCGGTTAGGGTGCTAATGCACGTGCGCACGTGCAGGGGGCGTTTCCAGATCTCGAGAACGGCTGGGCCGATTGCGCTCAAATTTGGTGCACGGTTGGGGACCAGTTAGCAGGGTGCCGTGCAAAAGTCATTTTGGACCCCGTTTGCACGTGCGCACGTGCAGAATGCCGCTTCCAGATCTCAGGAACGGCTGGGCCGATTGCGTTCAAATTTGGCACACCGCTAGCGACCGGTTAGAAGGGTGCTTTGCACAAGCCCGTTGGAAGCACCCTCTCGCCCTTCCGCACGTGCAGGGCTCACTATCTCGCTCGCTCGTTCCTCGCCCAAAAGGCGTTTTACTGGTATTTACCATCAACCTACTTCAAGGCAAGGAAATGAAGCAAATTACGAATGCGTACTTGTCATTACGAGCGAGCGAGCGCAGCGAGCGAAGCGAAGTCTTTTCAATATAACGGAAAAATCTCAGTATGAGCGGCCCGGCCCGGCCCGGCCCGGCCTGTAACGCTTTTGAGAGGCTTATATCTCAGCCACCGCTGGACCGAATGGCCTGCGGTCTTTTTTGCCGGGTAGCCCCATCCCTTCTACCCCGTAATTGACTACTTTTGATACATCTCAGTGACCGTCGTGGCACGTGCCACGTGAAATGTCAAGGGTGTTCAAGCAGTTTTGCAAAAGTAATGATTTTGAGAGGCCCATATCTCAGCAGCGGCTTGAGCGATTGTCTTGCGGTCATTTTTATAGGGTAGCTGCATCCCTTCTACCAAAGGTCGGATACTCTTGATCTATGTGAGTGACCCCCACTGCACGTGCAAAATACAACAATAAGAGGTGCCAAATTTGTTCCCATTTCAGTAACTCGGTAATTACTGGGGCGATTTCGCTGAAACTTGGCATACAGGTAGGCACCCACCAGGCAATGCATTCCCATGTGGTGCGGTTAGGGTGCTACTGCACGTGCGCACGTGCAGGGGGCGTTTCCAGATCTCGAGAACGGCTGGGCCGATTGCGCTCAAATTTGGTACACGGTTGGGGACCGGTTAGTAGGGTGCCGTGCAAAAGTCATTTTGAACCCCGTTTGCACGTACGCACGTGCAGAATGTCACTTCCAGATCTCAGGAACGGCTGGGCCGATTGCGTTCAAATTTGGCACACCGCTAGCGACCGGTTAGAAGGGTGCTTTGCACAAGCCCGTTGGAAGTACCCTCTCGCCCTTCTGCACGTGCAGGGCTCACTATCTCGCTCGCTCGTTCTTCGCCCAAAAGGCGTTTTACTGGTCTATAAAAACAATATTGATGGTACCTGGCGCCGTCTCATACGATCCGATATCCAAGGCATACAGGTCAATAAGATAATTTTTTTCGGAACTTCCAACATGCATTTTTGCATTTACATGCCTACGACAGCCACAGGATCGCATCATATCGTTATCGCAATTCGCGCGATTAAATTATCCTGGAGCAGGATTATCACGCTAGGGTAAAGGGTGAAACGGTTCGCAGATATTCTCAAAACCAGCCCATCTTCACAATTCAGCCCAGGCCTGCTGAGAGTCGACCGATGGTCGACTTGAAACTCGCACCGGCCAAAGTCTTGGAGACATGCTGTCCAAGGCGATATCTGTAATTTTACGGACGGGAAGCTCGCTGGTGTGTCAATACATAGGGTCTCTGCTACACCGGAGCGAAGATTAACGGTTCGGGTCCGTTCGGGTCCGGGGGCAATAGTTGGATCGTTTACTATCTCGGCAAGAGTCAGAAATGCAGCAATACCTGCAAAAGTATTTTTTTATAAATTTAATCCGAACCTTTTGATAGGAAGAATTTACAAGGACAGAGCCACCGCTAAGCGAAGCTTATTGCGGTGACCCTGCCCTCTACCCTCCGATCGCGCAATTCCAGTTCTATGGCAGAATTTAGAGTCCAAAGTTTAACGTGCGCACATAGCCGCGCAAGGCCGGTCCCCTCACTGACTTCGCCTGACTACGGCCTGCCTGCCACCAACCGCAACCATGCCTGTCAGGAGGCCCATATGTCAAGCGCCCGTCGCGCTAAGAACCCGGACTGCTATAACCGGGAACACGTACTCTCACCACGCGGAGTCCAACGCTCTACCAACTGAGCTACGGGACCGGAGTATACATATGCAAACTCGCATCGGAACTCTCATGAGTTCAAATTTGTAGGCTTTCGGTCAATATGTTTCAGTCGAACATGTTTCGGTTGACATTCGATTTACCAGTCTTGCTAGATTTACAACCGCCAAGAAAGGTTTTGGAGTGAAAGACAGACAATTAAACAGAGTTTTCTGCGACGTTTTATGCGACTTTTCAGATCCCATCTGACGTTAGAATCTGAGTTCTGAAGGTTCAGAGGCCACACTTACCTATTACCTGGGGGAAAAAAATTACCAAGGTAATTGCTGCTTTAGGCCGTCACGTCTGTGACCATCAAATGTTGACGACTGATGGCTGACGGCTCCTTCACTTCGATAACAATAGAGGGATTCTTCATTACATTTATGTTGTCACTAAAACGACATTGAACAACAAAAAGTCTTTTCTACGATGGTTACCTCTGTTAGATCATGAATTATACATATGTCAATTGTCAATCATCGAACAACGTTGAAAGCGGAAAATTACCTCCATTGACCTCTGGCGACCTGAAATTTCGGCTGATCGAGAACGGGCGATGTATTTATTAAGCGTTGGGCCCGTGCGCCAAACACTATCCCCACCCGGTGGGTACTCACCGTCATTCCCACCAGGTCTCGCGGCTCGGGCTCGGACCACGCGGTCACCGCGACTACCGGGCACTGAATGAGGCGCCGCCCAGACGGCGACGCCTGGGCGGCGCCGCCTTTAGGGTGGACCGGGCCGGCGGCCGGGCCGACGCCGACGCCGCTCACATGCCTGAGTACGACGAACGGTGGGTAATCGTCGCGTGCCGATTAGCGATGCCAGTACGCATGCATAGATAAAATGAATTTTATATTACTTTATCGGTCGCTACGAGCCCCATCACCACGGGGTCCGGATCCCCGTAATGACTTTATCATGTGCAGACAGATCCGGGATATATAACACGATAGGTCCCGCAATTTTTTTGTGAACATAGAAATGTTTCTCAAAGCGGAAAAGCTTAACCCTATTAGTGGCAGGGGGGGTTGTTTTTATCCACCCCTCAGGTTTTTCGGGAATATCTCCGAAACCGCTGAAGCTACGATGCTGAAATTTTCTGACTTTTCCTAAAACTAAATTGGGCACATTCCCTGAAAATTTCAAGTTCATAACTTTACCAGGGGCGGCTCCAGAGCACTGGGAATTGGGGGGTCCTATTCGTGAAGCGAGTCATTTGGGCGAAGATCACGATGCTGCACCAGTTTTACGAACAGTGAATAAAAGGTATCATGTGATAACATATACAGTTATTGTGCATCCTCTTTTGACACGTTTTTGCTATAATAGGCGGATCCAGGCGTCCAAAAAGGGGGGTTATGTTTTACCTCCCAACATAGGTGCCCTGGCACCGCCTATGCATTACCAATACAATTTTAGTCGTTCTCTCATAAGAAAATTATAACATAACAAGACCATTACCACCCTTTTTAGAAACAGTACCAACAAAAACCTTATTTGCTATACTTTTTGTGTACCCCCAATCTCAATGATCTGTATCCGCCTATGATTTTTGAAAATGCATATTTTTAGGATCCATGTGAATTCCTTGTTCATTCTCTATCGATCGGCAAAAGTTGCGTTAAGATTGGTTCAGAAACCTGGCCGTGATAAACAGTCTAAAATGTACCTGCAATTTGCCCGTTTTTACCCCCCCCCCCCCCCCTCTACCCCCCCCCTATTGACATTTTTTAATTTTTATTTTTTAGAAATGTAGATCACGTTGAGCGAAATCGAATGCCGTTTGAATTTTGAAAATCGGCCCGTTAGATCTCGAGATATCAAGGGGGGGTCGTAAACAGCCCCCCCTGCCACTAATAGGGGGTAGCCAGGAGCCTGCCACTAATAGGGTTAAGGTGCCCTTTGAATGCGTTGAAAATCCAGAGCTTTTTAGTACACTTTCACAAGAACAAAAGTAAATAAATAAATAAAATAAGAATTTCGATGTTCGAGGATACCGAGAGCATAACAACCTAAATTATAATCTAACCTGACCTACCTACCAAATAGGAAAAAATTATCACGATTTCTGTTCCTCCTTCAGAATGCAAGGGATTCCGAGTGTGTAAAAGAAGGAAAAATGTTAAACCGGCCTAAGAGCGGTCGTTCCAGTTACAGTGCCAGACCAGTGTTGGTCGGACTGAGCGTTACCTGAGCGCGACACAGAGACATCTCCGGGCCTCTCTCATCGATCATCCACGTCCCATGGTCTATACTCGAGCAGTCCCGTCTGCTCGGCTGGTACGTCACAGCGCTCGAGACACATCCTCCCCAGCCTGATCGCTATTCAAGGACTCCTCTTATATGGAAGGAAAAAAAACGAATTATGGGGCTTTGAAAGCGGCATAAGAAGAAACGCGGAAACGAGTCAGACCAAAGATAAAATCCCGTATCTGAGCCAGGATATTGAATTATTCCACCAATGCGCCGTATAAAAGTGAACCGTAGCACAGTGATGCAAAATGGGGTTCACGAGTGGCCATAAATACCGAAAAGGCCCAAATTTCAATCTCACCTAATCGAATAAATCGTAATATGGCCAGTCAGGCAAATGTTTGGAGTGTCTGAAAAAGCATGATTTTTATGTTTTTGTCAACACCAGCCTCGTGTATGATTGTCAGAAGTCGTGATATTTTCTATGCCGTAAAATGATTGTCCGATACGCGCAGCTAGCGTGCGTCCATTTCATACAAATGACAAAATTATACATGGCAATGATCCCCAGAGCATGCTGCTTCTAATGCCGGGTCACAAAAAAACGTATCTTTTTTGGTTTGACGTTGATCTAACTATGTATTTGTCATCATCTTGAAATCGCAGTTTTTTTTACAAAAAAAAACTTTCGTTTCACCTACAGCAGTTTACACAGTGTGTGCCCGTTAGTCCACCATACTATAGCATTCCCTAATCATTTCTGAGCCGCACCGTGAAAGAATGAAGGCGCTAGCACAGGGCTGACTGGCGCTACTAAAGTTTTCGTCCGTTGCGGTCGGGTGCCGCGGCGCGGTGGGCGGCCGCGCCGCGGGCGGGCGGCCACAGCGGGGGTTCGTAGGTGCATCCCCCTGCTGTTCCTAACGAAGCGTCCTAGCACCTCGCGACAAAAACCAACGGATTGCTTTTGACAAGATCTCGCGAGTGAGCATATTACTTTTGACTTATGGTTAATATTTGACCCACTGGTAGCAGGTCAAAGCCAAACATATCGAAATTGCAATCCATGGTGAAAGCAATCCGCACACCCACCGCCCAAGGCGACACCCGACCGCGCCGGACAAAAACCTCAATAGCGCCGGTCTGCCCTGTGCTAGCGCCTTTTCCATGATGCGGCTCAGAAATGATTGGGGAAGGGTAAGGCATAGTGGACAAACGGGCACACGCTGTGTAAACTCCTGTACGTGAAACGAAAGCAAGCAATTTTAAGTAAAAAACTGCGATTGCAACATGACAGATGGTTAGACCACCACCGAACCAAAACAGAATAGAACAGAGATACGGCTTTTTGTGACCCGGCATTAGAAAATAGAAGCAGCAGGCTTTAGGGATCACATTGCCATGTATAATTTTTGCAGTTTGTATGAAATGAACCGAATGAACGCACGCTGACGGTGTTTGAACTTGCAAGTACCTGACAGTAATTTTAGGACATAGAAAATGTCTTGACTTCTGACAATCATACTTTAGGCCGGCTTTGACAAAAACATGAAAGCTTTGTAATTTCAGATGCCCCAAACATTTCTTTGGTTGGCCATATCGCGATTTACTCGGTTTGGTAAACTTGACTTTTTGGTATTTATGGCCACTCGTGAGCCCCATTTGCATCACTGTGCGTAGTGATTCGTGCCGATTCAAGGGCCCGAATATTTTAAACGTAACGAGAAGGTGGTTAAAGCATTGCAATTCCTTGGAAAGGTTCTTCGGTTTACTTCTGTCAAATTATGTTGTTTGTTTATCAATTCGCAACCAATCAGTTCTCATCAAATAAATTCGTTCCCTTCAAATACCATTCACATTAACCGTCGACAATTAGGAATAGGTACTCAGCGATTCATTGAACAATTTCGTCCTTTACAAATTATATTGTCAGTTTCGGAGCCATCACAAACCACTGTATACATTCGATCATCGTGGCCAGACACCCCACAGTCCACATTCACGTCTGTCCACCGTTCATGTCACTCGTACGTCGTATCTCAAAAAATGTCTACCCGAGCCCAATCTTAATTAATACGCCGTTATAAATATTCCACGAGACACACATTGGCATTGAACACGGGGAAGGAAGCGTCACCCCATGCTCTGTCCGGACCCGGGTCCATCCCTGGTGTACAGTATGTCTTAGAAGTACCACGCAAAGTGACGGTGGATCCATCAAGCCTGACCGAGGAAGGGCCTGCTTTAATTTGAAAGTCACCGAACCAATTGACCTGGGGAATGGACGAGAATGTCAACTGCTTCGGTGACTCAAATTTAGCAGGCTTTTCCTCGGTCAGGCTTGATGGATCCACCGTTACTTGGCGCGGTACTTTTAAGACAGACTGTACCTACCTACGGTAAACACTCCCAGTCGCCGGGGTCAGGGGCAGTGCGGTGTCACAGTCCCGGCCGTCAGTCCGGCGCGCACCCACAGCGGTATTCCTACCGGTACTGCTCCTCCGTCCGGCCGGCAGGTACCGGCGGCCCATCAGCGGCCGGTGACCGCCGAGACGGCGCGCCGCACCACGCTGCCCGAGATGAGCACCCAGGTGGTGGCGCTGACACAGCCGGACGGACAGCCGGGCATGGCCAGCAGGTAGCCCAGCGGGAACAGCGCCGCCGCCGGCAGCCGCAGCACCGGCGCCGAGCCGTAAAACAGCATCACGTACAGCATCGACACGCCCTGAAAACATGGCGCAGCAGACGTCACCAGAGAGGGGATACCAGCAATCAATGCAGCAATCGAAACAGGCAGGAAATGCATCAAAAGGCTTATACTAGAATGCAGCCAAAACATTGTGAATGTAAACATTAACCTGTAAATATCTCAATCCACAGATAACAGTAGTACTGCGCTCAATCTCTTACAGACAACTTACCGTAATGCAATAGCTGATTGAGGTAACCATCAGCCTCAGTTTTAGTTCATTTGTGCGATTTTGAGACGCTGAAAATAACAGACAGTGATTACAAAAAACAGTGCATATTCACAAGTTCATACAATATTTCTTTTTTTACTACCGTATGAGCTACAGGATTGTTGGAACCAAATCAAAGTAAAAAATGTAATGAAAGATCAGTGACGTAGCTAATTCTTAGCGTTGTCGACACAAATATAGACTAACAGAGCACTGGAGCAGAAAATGATCATTAGCTCACCAATCGCATTGAGTTCGGCCTGCAGCTTGTTTAGTTTCCGTTCGACCCGAGCGTAGCTAGCGAACTCGTCCACCATGTTCATCGAGTGGAGCTGTGCCCTCTGTTCCCGGATCTGAGCCCGCAGACTGGCCTGAGCCGGCGTCTCCGACGGCCGCAGCAGCTTCACGATCTGACAAAAAGGCAGACAACAAGGTCAGTCATAAACCAGGTCAAATAACCCAGGCCCCAGCTGAGTCTGACTAAATTCACAGATATCTTGGGTGCGTTCGGAGAGGCAGATTCCCGGGGAATATTCCACGCTGGCATGAAATTTCCGCCGATTGTGCCGTTCGGAGAGCGATTCCCGGGGAAAGTTCCGCGGAACGGACGCGGAAAGCGCGGAATCTAAAAAGCATCTCACGCGTCGTTCCCGCGAATATGGCGGCGCCCATCAATATGCTCGAGTGAGTATATTATTGAATATAAATGGATATTGCTTGCGTTTGTTTCCACCCTGATCAGTTTTATTGCAAATCCAACAATTGATAATGCTTTCTCAGTTGTGTGATTGTCCTCTGAAGCAATGAAAACGATAATTTGAAGTGTTGTGTTGATTGTGTTTGGGGGGGGGGGGGCACAATACAGATGGGACTTTTTTGAAAATAAATGTGATTTTTCTTAGTTGTTCTTTCTTCAAGAGCTTCAGAGCAAGTCAGACCAAGAGCACTGGGCCAACCTAAATAACCCAAACAAAATCCCACGAACTCAACTTGGCACAGTAGTGCTGATCCTTGAAATTGGCGGCATGGAATGTCCCTCTCCAAACGCAACACAGGGAATTTTCTCGATGACGGGGAATATTCCGCGCTCTCCAAACGCACCCTTTATGTTCACAAAATGGAATTACCCATAGTCATTGGTGACTGCCAATGACTAGGTAGGTATGCAATCCACCAAAAACATCAAATTACCTATTGCTAGGTAGTGTACCAGGCAGTACTACTTAATAGGCAGTATGAATGGAACTTACTATATAAAATAAATGCCAATGCTTTCCTTTTTATTAACTGACTTTGAAAACTGCTTCTTGCATTGTAGTTTACCTACCTATCATGTGGTTTACCTACTGATCTCAATCTCAGTTGGCAATCTCAATCTCAATCTCAGTCTCCAAACGCACCCTTTATGTTCACAAAATAGAATTACCCATAGTCATTGGTGACTGCCAATGACTAGGTAGGTATGCAATCCACCAAAAACATCAAATTACCTATTGCTAGGTAGTGTACCAGGCAGTACTACTTAATAGGCAGTATGAATGGAACTTACTATATAAAATAAATGCCAATGCTTTCCTTTTTATTAACTGACTTTGAAAACTGCTTCTTGCATTGTAGTTTACCTACCTATCATGTGGTTTACCTACTGATCTCAATCTCAGTTGGGCAAACTAGACCTTTGGAATCAAAATATGGAGGCATCAAAAGATTGATTCCTTTTGGGCATAAATGCAGACCATTTCTAACTTACCAATCACATAAAAATAAGAGAGTGTTTCAAGAAGGAGCATGCCTGATCTTGAACAGAAATGCTTGAACTATCTTCTAAGCAAAATAATATTGCTCCTATCATAACAATTTGAATTCTATAGGTAGTGAAAGGCAATCAAGGAATTGATTCACTTTAAACAGATAATCATAATATTGATTCCCCATCAGCTGGCTAATCATTATTTTGATTCACAGGTAATGTTAACAGATAGGCAACAATGACTTGCAAGAATACAGCATTTATCTTGCTATTATTCTCATTTAGTGGTATCCTCAGCACCACAACTGATACCTATAGCATTGTTGTACTTTACCTTCACTACATTTGATAACAATTCACAATTTTTAAATGTCAAGAATACAAAAACTGAAGCAACAGGTAAAAACCATATAAATAATATAAAAGCACTACAACAATGATAATTAGGGGTTTAAAAATTTCATTTTGCCATTTTACACAAATACTGATTGGTTAGTATGTGATTCATGGTACAAAAATAACATACAGTGTGATTTCCTCAAAACAGCTTTTACGTGATGGACAGTGGCCCTGTCTTTTTCCCATTCACAAGGCCAAAGGGACAATTTCTTAGCTTTGAGGTAACACTTTTTGCACACCTACCACATTTTTCTATCTTTTAAAAGAAAAATCTCACCGTCATGGGCCTTTTTTCAACCGTAACGATTCATTTGAAGTCAAAAGTGTACCCAAATGAATCAAAAAATTGATTCCATGCCCATATTTGGTCATGGCTCCTCCCACCAGAATCAAATTATTGATGCCTCCATATTTTGATTCCAAATGTCTAGTTTGCCCAACTGATCTCACTAACAGAAAAATTATGAGTTAAATGCAGCAGGCTCATCTTCAACTCAAACTTATGCTTATGGATTATTTAAGTTGAAAAATTAAACAGGATTCGTTTTGGAGATGAAATACTTACTGATGTCACAATGCTTGGAGAAATGGAGCTCAGGAAGACGATCAAAGGAATTATAATAACCAGCATTTTGGGTTGCCAAAATGTCCTTATTCTCTGATAGCGGAACACTTCTTGTGGCGCATCAGTGTAAAAAACTAAAATAATTTAGAAGTAACAACTTTATGACTCCAAGCCAACAGTTTTGAATTACCCACAGAATTGCCACAGAATAACCTACACTGAAAAAAATTATTTCTCCAACTGTCACCCAACAAGACCAATGCACATTGCACAATTTTCACGTGTAACTCAAATTGACTGTTCCGACGTTATAGAAAGCTCTGCTCGCGTTGTACGTCGTCAAATGAACAACCGGTAAAAACGCTAGCGCTGACGTAATCTCGTAAAATAAATACGATCGTGACATTTTGCGCCAGTTTCGTACACATTTCAAGCAGAAGTGTTTTGGCTCATTCCTATGGCTCGTTCAACACAAGGCCCTATATACCGTTCAACAGTGAGCTAAGAAGATTTTAGCTCCCCTTAATTTGGTGAAGTTTGTGAGCCAATTACTGTGGATTTTGGGTTTATTAAATCTTAATTTTTTTCACAGCAAGGCCTTCACAGTTAAATTGTAAGTGGTCTAGAGGCCTCAGCACTCAGCAGCCTGCCGACATAAACTAGAAATAACTGCGCTGGTTGCGCCTCTGCTTTGCTTCAGCGTGGTGAATCATCACTCAACTTGTCACTGCTTTGGGTAGATTCTATATTCCACCCAGGTTCAAATTTTTTATGCAACATTTTGTTTTTTTGTGTCCAAACAGTTCCGTGGACACCTAATGCATTTTGAATTTTTTGTAAGCTTCACTTTTCGGAAAAGATAGGCGCAAAATGACCTTTGTAGTTGGTGCGCCCTAAGGCCCCAATAAACAAATAACTTAAAAAAGGATAGACTGGAGGTGACAGACAATTGTTACAAAAGGCATAGGTAGTGTGTTGTGTAGGCTGTCTTATCACAATCATGCTAGCTTGAGAATTCAGATGCTTATGCTAATTCTCCCCATCAATGATGTACTTGCATGGTCTGGGATATACCTAAATTACTGGTGTCACTATGGTCTGGTTACATGAATAATGTGTTCTGCTCAACCAATCACAATTGTCTGTAGATGCTCCCATTAATGGCAAACCCAAGGCAAACCATTAATATGAGGTGCACCATAGTCTGAAGATGGGTATTGGAGGCCATCCAAAATGCTAGCTGTTTTAGCTTCAATTGAAGTGTGAAGAGTTGGTTTTTAAAATCCATGATCCCATATCTCAATCTAGGTTAGTTGTCAAACTTCAAAGTGAAGCTGATTCAGCACACTGCTTACCTTTGTCAGCTTAATCAGGAGATTAATGGCAAGAGACCTTGATTTGTGTTGGATCAGCCATCATAATTTGTTCCTAATAAGCAGAACTATAGCACTTTTTCAATATTATGACCACATTAAATAAAGTAGACCTCCCAGAATAGTTAAGGGGTCCAAATGACCCCTGTCTGTGGGAATAATACCAATTGTAATTGTAATAGTAATTGTAATAATAATTGTCTGTGGGATGCAGATCACTGAATTCAGGATATGTACCTATGTGATTGAACATGTAATATCCTTTGCAATTATTTCCATGACTGGTGACCTGAGGATAAAGATGATGATATTTAGCTGATTGGTGCCTACCTATAGATAGTTTGTGATCCATTATGTACTATAGGGTAGAGTGGGGCAAAGCGCCCACCCTAACTTTCCAGCCCCAGTATCTCTTTATCTTACAAATTTGAAAGACAACTAGGTAGCTGATCTGGTAGCTCATTACCTTGGCTTTCTTCGAATAACACATCAGAAACAAGTGGCATGCATGGTTTTTGAGATATGCCATCCGAATTGAGAGGACTACAAATCGGGCGTTTTGCCCCACCCATGGGGCATAACGCTCATATGAGTGGGGCATAACGCCCAGTCCTGAACGTTTCATTACACGCTCGGTACTCTGACAAAGGAATGCAGTATTTATCCATTCTCATTTCGTTTGACTTTAAATCAATAGATTACACCACCAAACACATCTTGAACACTGTTGTTACCACCCCACTCCTCATTCAGTCAACGGGCTGTCACCGCCTTAAAGAGCGGAGATTAGTTCGTGCGAATAAATTGTTCCAGGCGATACTAACCAGTATATTGCATATTTCATAAGAATCCTGAGCAGTAGAAACGTATCCCGACACTCACTTTCAGCCAAAAATGTTCGCAAATACCCGTACTGTATAACTCCCATTAGGGGTAAAACGCCCATGATGGGCGTTTTGTCCCACACCAAAGTGGGCGTATTACCCCAACAGCACATTCAAAACGAAGTCCACCAAAATTAAGCGTGTGACGATTGTGTTGCAAACCAGTAAATGCTCAAAACGTAGCTTAAATCCGCAGGTTCTGCGTAGCTAAATTTCATTGCCTACTTTAATCTCTGTCAGACAAAGTTTTAGTAGTATGAAAACATGTAATATCTAAAAATTGTCTGAAATAAACTAATCTTTATCTTACGTCCAGAACAACCCACTTGTAGATCCGAAAAAGGGGGCAAAAGTAGATTCCTGCTCGTTCTTGAAAATGGCTATCGAGAATTCTTCGAAAAGTCGAGCACTTCATAAAAAAGAGGGGTGGGCGTTTGACCCGCCCTGGGCCCTTTGCCCCACTCTACCCTATGTTATGTTTTCATGTTGTATACCTAGCTTCAAACATGTAAAACCTGTGGTACCTATGAATATGTTGCTGGCTTTACAGGTGCAGAATGGCAGCTGACATGGATGAGCATGAAACCAAGATTGTGAATGAGTTTTGTCATCAGCTTGAAAAATCAAAACAGCTTTTCAATGGCCTCAGGTATGTGCTATGTGATATGTGTCCAAGTGCAAAACCTGTATCTCCCTTGTGTGTGAAAGTAGGCACCTACCTATCCTTTGGTATCATGCATCATGCATGTATGGCTCACATCAATTATGGTCACATCGATTATGATCACACCTATGTGATCTTCACATCTCAGCTGCTTGCGGATTTCAGAATTCCAGGCTGTTTTGATTAGCCCATTGAAAAATAATTCGAAAATCTTATATCTATGAATCGTATTTGTCTATGATTTTTTTTAGACCATAAACTAGTGTGATGACCAAGGGCAAGGTATGCTTCTGCCATCACACATCATTTAGGCATCACGTCCTAAGCATTATTCTCTGTCTGGTCCCCAGGGATCTGCCGCAGTATGGCCACAGGCAGTGGCAGTCCTACTTTGGCAAAACATTCGACGTTTACACGAAACTATGGAAGTTTCAGCAGCAGCACAGGTCAGTGTCACCTCACCAGTCTGATCTAGCAGACTTACATGTGACTGTCTTCATTGTTCATTGCCATTGTAATTCAGTGTCATGGAGCTCAGCCTGTGCCTTCTTCTCGCTTGTCTTCGCCGCACTATCACATTATCGCCGCGATCGGCTGCATTTGGCGATGTTTCTGTGTATTTGTAACCTTGTTCCTGCTCTCAGGCTGGTGCTGGACCACAAATATGGACTGAAGCGGTGGCAGATCGGCGAGATCGCTTCCAAGATCGGACAGCTCTACTACCATTATTAGTGAGTGTGCCAACAGCTGTATCCAGCTCCATCGCTGCTACTTACTGCATTGAGTTTTTTTCATAAAACCTTTGAAGCTCGGCCCTATGTGTCGGTGCACAGGGAATATCGCCATTTAACCTGACTCATGGTGCATCAGCAACTCAACTGACCTCATCAGCCGCTAAAATTTACCGTATATGATCCGACGGCCCGGGGTAGTCGGGACCACGACCGGCCGTTCCGTCCTCTGGCTCCGTCCCGCTCCACACCCATGGACACTGTCCCCCTGCGTGTGTTTCAGCCTGCGGACCAGTGAAACAAACTACCTAAACGAGGCTTACTCGTTCTACTCGGCCATCCGTGGCCGGGCCTACTACAGTCGCACCAACAAGGACGACAAGTGAGGACACTGGCGCCGAGCGCGCAAAACGTTACAACACAAATCACAAAACGTTACAACCGCCGAACACGTCGTTCGAGGTCATGTATCTGACGTTCGTAGTTTGGTGACATGGCTGTGTCTGAGTTTGAAGTTTGGTGCTAAGCTGTACTTAACTATGTCTGAGCTGTTTCTGGGCTGTGAGTCAGCGGTGTCTGACGTTCTAACTTGGTTGACTTAGCAGCTGTGTTTGACCCGTGTCATGTGCTTCAGCCGGCCAGATATGATGGTGAAGAAGCTGCGGTACTACGCTCGCTTCGTGGTCGTCTGTCTGCTGCTGAAGAAGATGAAACTAGTCAAGGATCTTGTCAGGGTGAGCACCGACAGATATCCGGTAGTCCGTATCAAATGCTCTTTGTTGTCTTTTGAATGTGTACAAGGGGATAATGGCGATGTATTATTGCTTAACAGTTTACTTTAAAGTTTTCTTCCCCTAAAATTGTTTGAAGCAGTTTGTTTAGTATGCTAAGTTTCTTCCGATGATCATTGTCTCCATGACTTTGGGTGTCGACGCTTCAAGCTCCAGCTGTAATGCTGGAGGCATATCCGCTGATTGCTGGACCAATTACGAAGGCTGTGTCGCCCTCATGTCCCCCTTCCACCCGTTCGCCTCCGCCAGGAGCTGGGCCGGCACGTGGAGGAGTACACGAGCACTTACAAGCCCGAGGATCAGCTCGAGTGGTCGATGGTGCTCAGTGAGATCCACTCGTTCATTGAGGCCGACAGTGTCGTCAGCGTGCTCGACGTGGACTCGAACCACGTCGTGCTCTCGCACAGGTGAGTGTCGTCTTCTATCCGTCTCGAGGATGTTTTAGATCTCCTTTGATTCGGTAGCACGATGCTGCTCGGTCGAAAGTGTAAATAAGGTCTGAGAGTTGAGACCATTTCAGGAAGTGGTGGGAAAGGGTAAACACTGCTGTTCTGTGTTCTACTGAGTGAATGAGATCGCTCGAGTGGAGGAGTCCAGCACTGCCCCCATCCATTCCGGAACGGGGGTGGGGCGTTAGAGCCATGATGTGACCCTCATTAACCAGCTTCTGCATTGTAATGCACATGCCTGCACTAGCACAGTACATGAGTGACAAAGAAGATACATCAGTGAATTATGTGTATGTAATACGCATGCCTACTACATGAGTAACAGGATGATACATGAATAAGTTGTATGTATTTATTGCGCATGCCTTACATGAACGAAATAAATGAAAAAAACAGCTTCTGCATGGAGAAGGGGCTGCAGTACGTTCGCCGTTCTGTGTCCGCCAGTGTCACTGACCGCTCAGCTCTGGTGCGCTGTAGTTTTCAGCCTGCACAGCTGAGCAGTCGCAACTGACGGTACTCGTCTGCCCTTGCAGGCTGGACCCGCTGACGGTACCGCCCGTGGAGCGTACCCCCTCCATGTGTCTCTCACTGCAGGAGATTCTGGTGGTGGGCAACTGCGCCGAGCAGGTGAGTGCGATCCACCCGACATTTATACTTGCTGTTCCGCCAGGAACGGTTATAATTAAGCTCAGTAGACCGATACCATTCAAGAGCGTACTGTCCTATACACTTCTTTCCTATAGTGTCTATACACTACCCTGATAGATCGGAGTGGCCCGACCGGCGGTATGGCGCTGACAACCGTCTCCCGTCTCTGTGTGTCTCTGTGTGACCGGCAGGCCAAGTTCAGCGAGCTCACCATCGACATGTTCCGGATGCTGCAGACGCTGGAACGGGAGCCTCAGGAGGATGGGCTGCACAACAGCTGCGAAACGTCGCCCAACTCGGCGCGCACGCCCTACGTCAGTAATGAGGGCCTATTCCCGTTCTGCCTGCGTCAGTGCCAGTCATTCCCCTTTTCCTCTGTTAGTGCGACATAGCTGATCTTTTTTCGGGTGTGACACGAACCTTTGATGAAATGCTGTTTTGTCAAATAACCCATGTAATTGCTCGGCTCCCCTTAGTATCGTCTGTAACTAGGTTGTTAGTTATGCTCTTCTTGCTGATTTTATGTTATTTCCAGCGCCCGCTTTCCAGATGCATGTCATGCATTCCATGTTCGTCAGTAAGCCTGCTTCATAAATCTGCTTCAGCCGTGGCCGATGCCGGCAGTAACTGGCATCCGGCCGGCGGCCACGGCCTCGATGTATGTTGACCTGGTGACCTGACCTGTCATCTGGTCCAGGAGAACGGCGACTCCGGCCGGACGGTGGGGAAGCGGGAGAACCCGCACAAGTACCTGCTGTACAAGCCCACCTTCAGCCAGCTGATGGCCTTCCTGGCCTCCGGTGAGATTTTTAGCTCAGTCGCTGTATTTCACGCTCATCTATTAATCATTTTACTGTGTTGTGATCATTTCAAAGAAACTCGTCGGAAAGGAATGGAATTAGATGGACTGACGGACGGACAGGGTAGGTGAACGTCGGGCCCGGTTTATCGAATTGGCGAGACAGTCATTTGTGCCGTGCGTGAGAGAAGGGCGGGACGGTAAAGGTCTGATGGGGGTTGACCACATGGTGGGCCGCCGTCAGTGTGGGTGCAAGGCTTTCCCGTTTAGGTATAATGGTGCTATAAATATTCTCTCCCGCCGTCCTAGTTATGGCCCTCTTATAATTTATATCTACCACTGATCTGATGCTATACCGCTGTGGACGGCAGCGGGGGTGACCAGAGCCCAGTATACCATGTGGAGCCGCGGCCTTGTCAGGATTTTATCCCCGGCTGCCGACTCACTGGCAGTGACCGTTCCACCCGCAGGCTTCAAAGAACTGCCGGCCAACGGCGCCATGCTGCTGTACCTATCGGCCGACGGCAGCTTCTCGACGCCGAAACACAACGACGACCCCGGCTACGACTTCGGCGGCGTGGTCACCAACAGCAAAAAGGAGCTGGATACGCAGGGCCGCTGGCAGGTCAGTCGGCAGTGTCCACTGTCCAGTGCGCGGCTGGGGCAGGGTGGGCGATGCCCAGGAAAACTCAACTCAAACTTCCCTGCCATCTTTCATGGTGCCATGCGTTTGACCGTGTGCAGACTATGACAGTCAGTCAATATGAGTCAGAATTGTCGTGTGTCTGCGACAAGCCGGCGGAGAACGGGTGACGATCGAAAGAACTGAAGGATGACCAAAATCTGTCTCACCCGCAGGTGATGATCAAGGACCTGCACTGTTTCTACCCGGGCGACCTGCAGCCGTTCACGCGAAAACCGCTGTTCGTGATCGCCGACTCCAACAACTCGGTGGTGTTCCAAAATGTGCCCAACTACTTCGGCCAGACGCTGGTCATTCTGATGTCGCCCCAGTACGTGCCAGAGGCGTACCAAGAGGAGCAGTCCAAGGGCAGTCTGTTCACCCTGTTCCTGCACTCGCCTCTGATGGCGCTCTGCTTCATCTTCAACCTGGCCAGCCTGCGCGGCCACGTCTGGGACAAGGGTCAGGCGATAGTGAATCGTTTCATGGCGGAGGCTGCACGGCTCGTCACCAGCTGTCGCTCCATCGGTGAGTGCGCCGCGGTCGGCCGGGATGCAGGACGGGGTTGGGAGTGGGCTGAGAGTGAAGGGGCCGTCGACACGGGATTAGTGTGTTGTACTTACGAGGAACCTCTGATCTGCATGACTGGTTCGGTTACTGATTGTCCAGCTGTTTAGCACTGCTGTCACGAGTTTGTCTATGTGGTTCCAGTCTCAGCCCGCCGGCTGGTTTATGGACAGTGCCTGAAAGTAGGGCCCTACTGACGTGGACTGTGACCGGTGTGACGTGTTCCGACAGACCCTGCCTACATCCAGTTCTTCGGTGACGACTTTCTGCGACTGCTGTTGCTGCGCTACATCTTCTGCGTTGTGGTGCTGCGGTACCACTGCGCCTTCAAGGTCAGTCCGCTACCCCCGGTAGTCGTCAGAAAGGGAGGGAAACGACGTCCAGGGATACTGCGCTGCACCGAACTGACACCATTCGCCAGTTTTTTAAACCTCTTTAACCCGCGCGGGGCTGGGGGGGGTAAATTTTACCCCCCCTCGCGAATTTTTGCGATATCTCAAAAACGGCGGCGCGCAGCGCCGCCAAACTTTCAGTACCTTTTCTTACATCAATTTGACACCTTCCCTGAAAATTTGAGCGAAATCCGTCGGAAAATTTTTGAGAAATTGACGTTTTAGTGACGTCATGTTCGCCATTTTCGCCTCAAAAACGGCAAAAGTTCAAACGCCGCTAACATCTTCATTTTTAAAGGAATCAAGACGTAACAAAAAAGGTTATACGTAATTTTACTTTGTCTATCAAATGGCTATCTCGGTTTTTTGAAAATTTTGGACTTTGGCCTAAATTTTTTCAAAAAACTGATTTTTTTGGGAAAATCATTATAAAATCCAAAATTTTGAGTCTATCGAAAAAACCGGAATATATGTCAGAGAAGTGGTCTATGTGCACCTACATACCAAATTTTAGAAGAATCGGTTCAAAAATGTGGGAGTTATTCAAAATTTTATGACGTCACGACACACAAAATTTTTGAAAAATGACTTTTTTGGAAGTTCTAGACCTCGTACGGAAACAAAAATAGCACCATTCGATTCGCCGTGAAAAACTGCATCAGATAGACACCTTTTTAGGCCTTAACAACCAACTTAAAAATTTGACATCACTTGACCTGACCTTGACCTGACCTCGACCTGAAATTCATCCAGAGGTGGTCCATATCACTTATTGAGTGTGCCTATTGAATTCTATGAGTAAAATGACCCATAAAACATGTGTCGCACATGCCCTTTTCTATATTTTGTTTTTTGGTGACCTGACCTGACCTGACCTGACCTTGACCTTGACCTCTGAATGATATTGTATGCAACTAATATTGTCTTGGTAGCCTAAGAACACGTTTTGGGCGATCAGTCTCAGTCCATGACTCCATCCTTCGGCAACTACGGTGCAAGGCCGATACTGTAGAAACTTGCAATTTGTACCCTTGACCTGACCTTGACCTTGACCTCAAACTTTAAATTAAGTACATGTTTTTAGTAGTTCGTGATGAGAGCTTTCGATTGGCGTTTGAATTTTCCAAATCGGACCATTAGTTCGGGAGATAACAGGGGGGGGGGGTAAAATTTACCCCCCCCCCCCCCAGCCCCGCGCGTTCGGCTGGGGACCCCAGCCCCGCGCGGGTTAAGTGTATGGCGTGCGAATACGGTTGTGGATGCCCTTCCTTGTGTGACGTGCGTCTGGGTCGGTGCTGCAGGGGTGCCAGTACCAGCCGCGGGCGCAGCCGGCGCTGCCCGAGTCGGGCCTGCTCGACCAGCCGAGCCTGCACAAGCTGCTGGTGGAGCTGGCCTCGCTGCTGGACAGCCGCCACCTGCTGCTGCAGCCGCTGCCGAGTCCCAAGGCCACGCCGCCGATCGCGCAGGCCTGATCGCCCCGCCCGGCCAGCCCGGCGGCCGGCGCCGCCCCCTGACCAACCTATCGGGCCGGCTCCGGTGGGACACACCGTGCAGGTAGGCGTCTCGAGAGCAGCCCCGCCTCTTCCCAGAACAGACACCTCTGTCCAGAACAGACCTGTCTTTCTCCCCATGCAGGACAGGCCTCTATGCAGGACAGACCCCTCTGTGCAGGACAGGTCCCTCTGTGCAGGACAGGCCCCTCTGTGCAGGACAGGTCGTCCCTCCAGAGCAGGAGCAGGTCCACTCCTCTCCAGAGCCATCCTGTCTAGTCCACCGGTGTCCAAACTGGTGTTTCTGAGCAGACTCGCCTGTGTCCAGAGCAGCCTGCCTCTGTCCAGAGTTATGCCCAGTCTGTCCATAGCAGGGCCTCTGTCCAGAGCGGGATATTCTGTCGGCGTGTCAGGCTCGCGGAGTCGTGTCCGTGTGTGTGTGTGTGTGTGTGTCCGTCTGTGAGGCCGCCCGTGAGAAGCGCAGCCCGCCGCGGGCTGTCCCGGGACTCTGCTGCACAAACTGGTCAGCCAGGTGGAGCGGAGCAGCCGAGTGCTTCTGTGCGTCCCTTCGAGACGAGTGATTGCGTAGATCTCACGTTGCACAGGTATTACACCGATGTGGTATTACGTTTCGAGCTTAATTTATCATAGAGGTGATGTGACCAGGCGTTTCGTTTTTTACGGAGAAGCTTTGGCTTTAGTCATACTCAGTTTGTTTACGTCGCTGTTTGTTTCTTGTTTGTCAGTAGCAGCTATTACAGGCGCCACTGTGTAGGGCGCCGTGTGCCGTCATACCGATGACAGCGATTGAGAAATGATGTCCGGTTCGCTGTCAGACTTTGGAGACTTTTCGACTTGGCCGAGAGAAAGTTTGTCATTTTGCTGATAGTCTAGCGGAAGTGAAAGCGGGTTTTAGTCAGGTCTCTCGCCAGTTCCTGCTTAGCGAGATAGTTCTCGTAAGAGATTGCTTAGCTTCAGTAGTGTTACATTCCAGCGGTAACGTCCGAACGTTAACGCTACATTCGTCGTAGACTTTGTTACGCAGCTTTGGAATACCTTAGCCTCGTTTGGAGTCATATCAACTCTCGATTCGATCGCAGTATTCCGGCATCTGGTCGGTGTTCAGAACGTGAATTGATCCGATCTATATTGTTCAGGATGTGTATTGTTTGAAAAGTGTTGAGATTGTGGAGATGGCTTGTTCCTATGTTCATGGTGCAAAGTTCAGTTTCGTGATAGGGGCGCTGTTTCGCCTGCAAGTATTTGCGCAGCCTCCGGTCAGTATTAAGTTCAAATGATTTGTTATTTGTTTTACTGCCAGCCACCCTCCCCACACCGCGAGTTCATACCCTGATGATGCTTTGGTGCACCCCTTTGATTCGCCGCCGGTCGCCGTCTGTTTTGTATTGCCCGCGGTCAGCTGACCCGCTCCTGGCTGCGTGTCTGTACCGTTTGCTCGGTCCCGCCGGCCCCGCACACATCTGACACGGCCGGAGGCGCGGTCTGTGTCCCCCGTGTCCCCCCACCGGCGCGCGCCCGTACAATACACGGCTTTCCAGGCGACATGTGTGGAGGGTTGGGAGGGCGGAGCGACACCGCCGGTCACAGAACACAAACGCGGATCACAGTCTTCTTCGCTTCGCATGGATTACACGACATTCGGCTCATTGATCGACAACGACTCGCTACTCCGATACATGATGCTGCAAGACAGTCATTTGTTGGATACGTCATGAAACGATTGTCAATCGAATATCACAAGTATGACTTATCCCTGCCGCACAGTATACAATATACATGCGCTAGTACATGTCCGTTTGCACATGAACTCCATAACCAGACGGAACATCGTTACGAAAGGGTGATGAGCTTACAAGCTCCTGATCTTGTCATGCATCACTGAACACGAATGTGACCCGAACCAAGGTAGACACTAGACATCATCACTCTCATAAGAGGTCTCATTGTCCGCCAAAAGTCCGGTCTTTCGGTATCACTTGGTCGCTGAACACCATACACTGTGTACCAGGCAACACAGCTAACAGTTCACCGCTTATCAAAGCACAGAAGGGTTAGACAAGTCGTAATGACCATTGACCACCGTCGCACACGCGTTTATTGTGTCTCTGCCTGCTCCAGCAGGTCCCGCAGCGACTGTGGCACGTCCAGCCCCGGGCCCGGAGCAGGCGTGGCCGTGCTGCCGAACATTTTGCTGTAGGACGCCTTCAGGAAGAGCACGTAGTTCTCCAGCATCTTGCAGTTGGCGGTGCTGCGCTCCAGTTTGTCGGAGAGCTCGAGCACGCGCTGCCGCAGCTGCCGGCCGGACTGGCGACGGGGACGAGGACGGGCCGGGTCGGTCAGGCTCACAATATTGGTTGCAGGGATCCACTCAATGCGCACCGGTTGACCACTATGTTTCTACATATCCGAAGTTGTGAGATGCGATAGTGCAAGTCACAAACTAGGTGGATTTGCCTCAATGCCTTATCAATTAAAAAGAAAACGTTCACCCAATATCAGTGCTCACCGACGCAACAAAGATGTCTGATCTTCGAGACCCTTCACTAACAGTAAAAACACGCTTTGACACGTCAACCAATCCATCTAGACTCCGGCTACCATATCAGCCGGTCCGTGTCGACACCTGGTTGGCTCATCAATCTGAGTCAGTAATATCATTCAGCTAGACCGTCTCGACTCCCGGGTATCCATACTATCCCGACTGCTTGCTATCCGGTACCTCCAAACTCGATTCGATACGATTCGATTCTGTCTCGGATCTGGTCGGTCTGTCCCCGATAGGTCGTTTCGCTCGGATTCCCCTGTTACCTGCGTCAGCCAGTCCGTCCCGACTCGTATTACCTGTAAGTTGGTCCGTCCCGACTCCCATTTTCACCTGGGTGAGTTGGTCCGTCCCGACTCCCATTTTCACGTGTGTGAGCTGGTCCGTTCCGATTCCCATTTTTACCTGTGTGAGTTGGTCCATCCCGACTCCCATTCACCTGGGTGAGTTGGTCCGTCCCGACTCCCATTCACCTGGGTGAGTTGGTCCGTCCCGACTCCCCTGCTACCTGTGTCAGCCGGTCCGTCCCGACTCGTGTTACCTGTGTCAGCCGGTCCGTCCCGACTTTCTGACTTACCTGTGTCCTCCGGTCCGTCCCAACTCCCCCATTGCCTCAGTGTGTGCCGGTCCGTCCCGACTTTCTGACTTACCTGTGTCCTCCGGTCCGTCCCAACTCCCCCATTGCCTCAGTGTGTGCCGGTCCGTCCCGACTTTCTGACTTACCTGTGTCCTCCGGTCCGTCCCAACTCCCCCATTGCCTCAGTGTGTGCCGGTCCGTCCCGACTTTCTGACTTACCTGTGTCCTCCGGTCCGTCCCGACTCCCATTCACCTGTGTGAGCTGGTCCGTGTCTGCGCTGGCCTGTCTCAGCACTCGGTTCTCGGCCTCCTGTTTGGCCGTGAGGTTCTCCAGCTCTGCGGCGCGGGCGCGCAGCTGGGCCAGCCTCTCGCCAGCCAGGCGCGCCTCGTGCGCGGCCTCTGCCCGTGTGGTGTCCAGCTCGCGGCTTAGCACCGCCACCTGTCGGTACACACGGAGACTGAGCTGTCGGGGCTGGGCCGGGGGGGGGGGGGGCAGGGAGCCGCAGATGCAGCCGACTGGTGTCTGATGACGGGGTTGTCTGCCGTCGGCAGACGAATCGGTGTCGAGTGTCCAGAATGGGGGGGGGGGGGGGAGACGGCATGCGTGGTTGGTGTCAGATGTCGGCGTCGGTCGGAGTTGGCTCCCGGTATTGAATTCCCAAGTGTGCCACGGACGAACGATTGAAAGCAAGTCATGCGAACATGTTCATAACCAACGTGCTGGTTAATAACATAGGTTGTTCTGAACACTGAAAGATCACCTGATCGATGCGCTCATCCAGGTACTGAGAAGCCTGAGCCAGTAGATCCGTCTTTCGCTGCAGTTCTTCGCTGCCGATACACAAGGAGACAACTTTTAATAATTCGGTTACAGTCGCTTGTCATTTCACTTTTCAGCTGCCCATCGATTTGTAGGTACGGTATTCATCAGACAATGGACAGGATGAGGAAAAACGGCTTCTCGAAATAATATCGAAGCAGACATTTCTTTGTCGAGCAGCTGGTGAATGCTGACGCAGTCTCGGTGCTGACCTGAGCTGCTGCTGTTTGCTGTTGGCGGCCGAGACCGCGGACTCTGCGGCCGAGAGCCGGCTCTGCAGCTGACGGCGCTCCTCCACAGAGCTGGTCAGTCGCTCCTTGAGTCGCTCCGCCTGAGACGCCTGCTGCTCCAGCTGACAGTACAATGTAACACAGACGGTCAGACAGACACAGCATACACAACAGCAGCAGGACAACGGGTCCTTGAGCCGCTCTGCCTGAGACGCCTGCTGCTCCAGCTGACAGTACAATGTAACACAGACGGTTACACAGAGACAGTATACACAGCAGAACAGCCGGCCCTTGACCCGCTCCGCCTGAGACGCCTGCTGCTCCAGCTGACGGTACACATCAAGTCAGACGGTCAGACAGACAGCACATACAGCAGCAGCAGCAGCAGCAGCAGACGGTCCGGTCCTCGAGCCGCTCCGCCTGAGACGTCTGCCGCTCCAGCTGACGGCACAAATCAGGACTGACGTGAGATGGGACGGTGGTAGGACAACACCACAGTCTCCATAACACGGTGTTAGCTCTCCATGCACCGTTGCAGTCTCTGTCGTGAACCACGACAATGCTTTGTTAGATGCTCAGTTATAGCCCACCCCACAGTCTCCCTTGCTAAGGTGCAACCCAGCCGGCTCACCCTAGTGTTGGCCTCGTGCAGAGCCTTGTTGAGCAGTTTGTTCTTGTTCTGTTCGGCCACCAGGCTCTGGTAAGTCTGCTGCAGCTTCAGCTCCGTCATACGGACGATCTGCGGGAACGGCTTACAGAGACGGCCGAGGCCGGCAGCCGGCTCGGCGGGGCCCATCAGGTCGGCCAGCAGGCCGCGGCTCTGAAACACAGGCCATCAGTCGCTAACGGAAGGACAGAGACCGAACGTCTGGCGAAAATCTCAGGCTCGACTACGGGAAATGGTGGCTATATTGAACCATGAAGAAACTGATAGCAAAGGTGATGACTGGTGCGAAGGGGTTGAAGCGTGTGCCCGGCCCACCGACCTCGCCGCCGTGGTCGCCGCGGTCTCTGTCCCGGTCCCGGTCTCTGGTGCATCTAAGCTCTGCCAGCTCTGTCTCCAGCTGCTTCACTCGGGAGAGGCTCTCCTGGACCGTCTGACGCAGCTCGTCCTGCCTCCCGGCCAGACCGGCTGCACAGACCCGGGGCATACGGGCGAATGAATCAGCGACAAATGTATCGAGACCATGGGTATATTATGTGCCAAGAACAATAGGTATATTTTTGTTGAGGCTCATCGCTTTAATTTTACAATATTCTTATGACAGAGCTATGAATAGTTAGGACTACCCTGGGCATGTTCCATTTATGCATGTGTCAGTTCAATAATATTGCAGGCTAATTTACGAGTGTCGTCCTCTCGTAAACGTCCAATCTCCGTCGATGACTAATCGCCTCTAGACTAAAATTCCCATAGCATAACCCAATAATCCGGGTTCCCGTTCGGTCCCATTGTCCCACGTACCGGTGTGCTGAGGCGGCTCCTGTGAGCCGACACAGGGTGGCGGCCGGCCGGAGCCGACCAGCGGAGTCGACTGGCACGACACGGCGGCGTGGCCGAGCCGAGAGGGGCACGGGGCGGCGCCGATCCACACGTCTTCGGCTCGCTGCGGGGACACTGGAGCGTGTCACAGGTCTCGAATTCCAGAAACAGGGACATGTCAGCTTAATGGCTGGAGCCTGGACACCAATTACGTGGCATGACGAATGAGTTTAGGATTCAGAGGGATGATTATCACACCGGATGATTCGACGGAAATTCTTTCCCTCTCTCTCTCTCTCTCTCTCTCTCTCTCTCTCTCTCTCTCTCTCTCTCTCTCTCTCTCTCTCTCTCTCTCTCTCTCTCTCTCTCTCTCTCTCTCTCTCTCTCTCTCTCTTCCTCTCTCTTCCCCCCCCCCTCACCGACCGGCGGTGGTACGGTGAAACTGTGCCGCCGCAGCGGCGGTGACGGGACGCGCGCGCGGTCGGCCGCCACCGGCCGGTACTGCTCCGTGGATCGGGTGCGGCCGCCGTCCAGCCGCGGTCTCCAACCGTCACACAGGTCCTGCCAGCGAGCGCACGGCCAGGTGCAGCCGTTAGTCCGTGACTGGGGCATTCGCGGCGAATGGAGAGGCTCTCACCTGTCCTATTGTCCCGCCGGCGCCGCCGCTGACACTGGCAAGGGGAGTCGGAGAACTGTCGGGATCCGGTATACATCGCAAGATATATGGATGCTGAGGAACTGGTCGTTGGCGCGTTTTGAAATGTGCAGATGTTTTTTATATCAAGTGGCCTCAGCGCCTTGTGTTATTTGTTTTTGAATTTACTGCAATATAATAATGGACAATTTTCCTCGATTTTTGAATGATATGGAGGTAACTGTAATTAACACTTAAATCGTGTAATGTGTGAATTTAGCAGGCTTTCTTCTACAGCTTTTGGCTTGTCGAAGTCTCTTCGTACCTGATTGAATTGTTGGAGGCTGGAAATAGTTTGTACGTTCCTTGTTTTTCCAATTGAGAATGAGTTTAACTCCTTCATTGGCCCGTAATTCCTGAGAAAGTTCAGCTCGCGTTCCTTCAGAGAAAAGTAAACGTACCGTTGTCATTAAATGCACATACAAACATACACACACAAACACATACATGCGAATCTATCTAGCTGTGTTGCGTACACACTTACCCTAGTCTCGAGGATTGCAGTGAGCCGTTCTAGCTCATTCTTGTTCTCGACGTTGTCGACGGCAACCTCCGTCTTACTGGACTCGATGGGCTGGCAAGAAAGATGACAGCCACGTGATAAGTTAGTTACCCAAATTATTTCAGACCATGAGGATGGATTATAAATTTAAGGTATTAAACAGCTTATTCGTTTCCTTCCTTTGCTTCCCATGTGTGATGTCACAGAGGGACATTGCAAGAAGGGCAAAGGGACATCGTGAGGGCATAGGCGGCGGAACGGGGAGGGGGCGCCGTGCCCCCTTTGATTTTGGCATTTTAACATTAGCCCTATGGGCGTTGCATGGAAAGAATGGGACCAAAAGTCGGCGGTGCCCCCCCCCCCTTAATTAAAGGTGTTCCGCCGCTACTGCGTGAGGGTAGTTTTATCTAGATGGTGTGCGTGAAGAACATCGCCGATTTTGTGCTAAATGAGGTAGCGTTTAACGTACACAGGACTGAGCGGAGAGGACTGTCGGGAGCGGCTGCTGCACCGGGCCACACACCGCCGGCTGGCTCCCTCTGCTCGCTTCCCGAGCATCCTGCAACTCGTTTGTCATGGTGCGGATCGTCTTCTCCTGTCCCTCCACGGCCAGACTGAGCACCTGACGAGAAAGACATATAATCAGACGGCGCCAGGCGCTCGGGTACAATCGGATTTAACATCAGATAATTGTCAGTATGGAAACTGTTCTTTGGAGAGAATTGGTAAATGTTTGCCGCCTACTCACGTAGTTTTTCTGTTCCATTTGCTTGAGTTTGGCCTGCTGCATTTTGAACTGGGCTCTGAGCTGGTTGACATCCATGTGTTCCTGTGACCCGGTGAGCTGTTTGTTGACGTCCTGACCGGAGCGTAGGTCGGACTGACCGGACTGCAGTCCGGACTGGCCGGACTGCAGCGGACCGGAGCGGCTCGACTGGATGGCCCCGGACTGGGTGGACGGCAGTCCTCCGGAGTGGACCGACTGGAGAGCGCCCGACTGAGTCGACTGGATGACGCCCGACTGGAGACCGGCCTCGCTGATCGAGCGGAGTGCCGAGCCGGCCTCCGAGCCGCCCTGACCGACAGAAAACACACAGCGCGTGTACCTATAACGCACATATTACCGATACTCGGTCAACTACGATAACAAAAAGCTGTACCAATATTGGTTACACATCGGTTAGTATCTGCCGTCTGTTCACATCTGGTGCGGGCGCTCTGCAGCCGATGCCCGGCTCACCTCGTGGAGACCCCGTCCGGCCAGGTGTTTGGAGCTGGCCGCCAGCTGCGAGCGAGAGTCGCCCGGCAGCAGGTAGGTAGTACCCGCCGACGAGGCCAGGCTGGCCGCCGAGCTGGCCGTGCCGGCGCGCTCCTCGACCTCTCGCTCGTCCGCCGGCCGGCCGTCGTGCCAGCCGCCGTCGGCCGGGGGCGCAGGGGCGCCGTCAGGGACCGCCGCCGGCGGAGCACGGTCCGCCGCCGGCTGACTGGCCGGCCGGTCCGCCCCCACCTCCGACACAGACTGCGGGAAGGGGCGCACAGGTGGCCGCTAGCTACGCATTGTGTATAACGATAAAGCATTTCTTATGTCGAATAATATTCATTATACTTGATCTATAATTTTCTTCAATGTTCATTGTTCAACTTGATCTGTCTGGAACAAATTTTTCGTTTTGCCATAGTATTCTAACAACCAGTAAAACGCCTTTTGGGCGAAGAACGAGCGAGCGAGATAGTGAGCCCTGCACGTGCGGAAGGGCGAGAGGGTACTTCCAACGGGCTTGTGCAAAGCACCCTTCTAACCGGTCGCTAGCGGTGTGCCAAATTTGAACGCAATCGGCCCAGCCGTTCCTGAGATCTGGAAGCGGCATTCTGCACGTGCGCACGTGCAAACGGGGTCCAAAATGACTTTTGCACGGCACCCTACTCACCGGTCCCCAACCGTGTACCAAATTTGAGCGCAATCGGCCCAGCCGTTCTCGAGATCTGGAAACGCCCCCTGCACGTGCGCACGTGCAGTAGCACCCTAACCGCAACACATGGGAATGCATTGCCTGGTGGGTGCCTACCTGTATGCCAAGTTTCACCGAAATCGCCCCAGTAATTACCGAGTTACTGAAATGGGAACAAATTTGGCACCTGTTATTGTTGTATTTTGCACGTGCAGTGGGGGTCACTCACATAGATGAAGAGTATCCGACCTATGGTAGAAGGGATGCAGCTACCCTATAAAAATGACCGCAAGACAATCGCTCAAGCCACTGTTGAGATATGGGCCTCTCAAAATCATTACTTTTGCAAAACTGCTTGAACACCCTTGACTTTTCACGTGGCACGTGCCACGACGGTCACTGAGATGTATCAAAAGTAGTCAATTACGGGGTAGAAGGGATGGGGCTACCCAGCAAAAAAGACCGCAGGCCAATCGGTCCAGCGGTTGCTGAGATATAAGCCTCTCAAAAGCGTTACAGGCCGGGCCGGGCCGCTCATACTGAGATTTTTCCGTTACATTGAAAAGACTTCGCTTCGCTCGCTGCGCTCGCTCGCTCGTAATAATTAATAATATGCTTTAAAGGTGCCGTATATGGTATCCAACAACGACTGAACAAAAGGCCAAAGGGTCGCGTAATCAAATCGATAATGGGAGCTCTTTTTGACTCTACACTGCGTGGGCGCCGGCCGCGCTATCCCCGTATGCAGCGTACTGCCGCACTCGTGCTGTGCGGCACAGTCTAGTTTCAGGCGCAGACCGCCAGAGCCATCTGTTGGCGGACACCGGAACTCACCTGGCTGGCCGCGCCGGCGCCGGTCTCTACGATGCTGCGCAGGTTGCTCATGACGTTAGCCGTGGCGCTGGCCTGCTGCTTGGCCCACATAAAGTTCTTGATGACATCGTGTAAGTTTCTCGGACTGCCGTTTGCCGAGCCGGCCGCAAGCTCGTTCAGATTAGGGATCTGCAGGGACGCCAGCAGCTGCCAGACGACGCACGGTCCGCGGTTAGGAAACAATGTGGGCATGACGGTTGGACATAATAAACCACCTATGCATATTCGGGTTTTGATATGCTATGGCACGAATAAGATAAGCGTTCAGACCTATTCAATGGATTAGACGAAGTCAATAAACCTAACTCGGGGCACTTTAATTATCACCGTAAGCCATTAGAGAACGGATAAGAACAAACTTGGCACTATATTTACCTTGAGGGGGTTGATAGCCGAATTGGAGGAGGTGTCTTGGCCGTCGGAGCGTGCCAGGCTCGGCGGCTGCTCCGACTGCACGGACGCTGGTGGCGCCGGCCGCTCCCGTTCCCGGCTGCGTTCTTCCGACAGTTCACGGTTGGCCTTCTGTCCGGGTGGGCCCCGTTCGTCCGACCGGTCACGGTGAGACCCCTTTCCCGGCGGGCCGCGCTCGTCGCTGTGATACCCGCGCCGGTCCTGGTCATCGCTGAGCGACCCCGGCCCGTCCCGTTCTCCTCTCCGGACCGGTCCTTCCTGGTGATCGCGATGCTCTCTTTCCTTCGTATTGTCCTTATCTCTGTCATTACGGCGATTCTGCTCCCTGCTGTGCTCTCGGTCGTACCGCTCGTCCCGGTGGTCTCTCTCGTGTCGGTAATCTCGGTTGTCTCGGTGGTCTCTGTGGTCCCGGTGGTCCCTTCGATCTCGGTGCTCCCGGTCGTCTCGTTCGTCGCTGAAGGAGTCGGCGCGCCCGCGTCCGTCCCCGCCGGGCGCCGGCCGGTCGCGGCGGTCGCCGCTGCTGGCGGAGGAGCCGGTGCGGCCCCGCGGTCTCGGCGGCGAGCCGCGCTGGAAGGAGCCGTCTCGCACCGGCCCCGACACGGGCCGTCGGCCGCGCACGGGCGGCTCCAGGCGCCGGGAGCGCTGCGAGCCCGACCCCGGCGCTGCTGACACTCCGGCGGGCTGCACCGAAGCGACCAAACACCGCACTGAACATAACGAGCAACGCTGTACTACTGCAGGACAAACATATCTGTTAACGTTGTTTAAGTGTTTATTAGACGTAAAGCAAATTAATTATAAACTAACTTATTACGATCTTTTTGCTAACACTTTTAATCATGTCCTACCTTGAATGGTTTACGTCGCGTTTTGATTGCCTTCTGTTCGTAGTCGCGCAGTTTGAGAATGTTGGCGATGTTGGCACGAGTGTCGGAGCCGGTGGCGTCGCTGACAGACACCTCAGAGTCGGGGAAGAACGAGGCCAGCGCCTTCATTTCGGCAATCCGAGCTCGCAGGGAAGGCTGCAGTGGGATTCAATCAACCACATTTTAAAGTAACTAAAAATGGCATTAATTATTGATTGTAGATGAAATGTTATAAGGACCAACGTGGTGCCTTGCGTTCCAAATACCAACGCAGAAAACACTCGAATTCGATTCTGATGTGTTGAATTATGCGCTCAGCACATGAAGCACATAAGCTAAGATTACGTGCAAACCAATGGATATTGGATAACGCTTCCCACATCTTTTTTTCTAAACGTGTTGCATTTTAATTCGGATAAATTTACCTTATTTTATCAAATACAATTAGGTATGCGTGTCTCTGGTAACCCGTTTTTAATACTTCCCAATAAAGTCTTATTTTAATCTGGAGTTCCAATAAACGTTTTATATGCTTACACCTATCTATTAAAAATCGCTTCTAGTTTCATGTTACCAATCTGTCTCCCAGTTGCAGCTGTCGGCCGGGCTGTGAGGCGGGCGGTGCCAACCGACGACCCGGCCGGGTCATTGCAGCAGACTCGCGCACTCTCGAGTCCAGCTGAGCGTGACGTAAGCGCGGCTGGTCGGCGGTCAATGAACGTTGCCGTCCAGAGGTCTGACGAGGGGTCGGGTACGCCGGCAGCGAGCCAGTGGAGCCAGAACGAGCGGACAAAGCGCCACCGCTGGGCAACTGAAATAATTTTAAAACCAAAATTATGGATTAAGTTTCAGTTAAGAGAGTTTCGTGCTATGATTTTATTATTGATTATGATATTGTTGAGTTCAGAACATCGCACTATGTTGATAAAGCCAATAGCATAATTGAATGTTTGTGTTCTGCAGAGCGTAATTTAAAATCGCAGGCTATCGGCGTCGCTACAAGCATGCGGACACCAAGTTATTAACTTCAAAATTGGATTATCATGATAAATATCAGACTAAAATATCCTGCATTCCTTTTATCATTTCCTATTTTAGTTTAATTCTTAAAGGAGATGGACAGCTAATCAAATGATATGGAGATGGAACCTAGAAAAAGGGGAGCACCAGAATGGTGGATAATCATCAATTGTTTTGCTCTCCCCTTCGTGCACGTTTCGTCTAAGCTACATGCAACTGATTTAGCATTGGACGATCTTTCAGCTTACCTTTCTTTTCTTCGGCTTCGGCTTTTTTAAGCCAGGGCGTGTTACTTGATATGACTTAGCTGCAAACATTGCTTATGTAGCGTAGATATGGGTTACAATTAGCACTCAAGAATGGGTAAATAGAACGGCTTAGCGAGGACTAGCATCATTTCGTGTAACGTAGGCACGCGAAAACGTCCTCAATAATGCGTTGCATTGTAGTCACTAAAACATTTGCATATTATAACGGAGCATTGTGATGACTGAGGATATAACATTTTGTCATGGATGTGTTGGTAAACTCATATCACTAACAGCTTGCAAGTATAAATTGTTTAGGACCGTGGTCATGGGACTATGCCCGGTTCGCCATGCCTCGGCTTGAAATAAAGATAAAGTGTACGCAATAACTCGTGATATCTCATGACCGCGAACCCTCACTTACATAAACACGACATCAATCATTCATTAGGACGTATACCTATTTGTAGACACTTTTGGACACCCATACTTGTTGAGCCATATTTTGATATTGTAGGTAAATAAGTTACATCAGTAGCGGGCCGGGTTCGTCTCACGACCTTATCGGCGTTTTATGTATTTCAAAGGCGCTGGCCGCTGATAAGGTCGTGATGCACAAATAATAATATCAAGGACTGGAGACTGTTAAAGTGAATGTATCTAGGTACTCGTAAAACACACTTTGCCCCAGATACTGCGAAAATGCATATAACAGTAACACCATTACGGAGACTACGAGAATGTAACAGTGACTGTGGAGACTGCGGATTTGCATGTAGCAGTAACACCAAGGAGACTGCAAATGTGCATGTAACAGTAGCACCAGACCGAGGAAACTGCAATATTGAACACGACAATAGCATAAGTTTGGAGACTGCATGCTTGGAGACTGCAGCAATGCACACGACAAAAGCACCAATCATTGCCTGTTGCCGAAGACTGAGTGTCGAAGTGTCCAAGTAGTGTTCAGTGTCCAAACTACGACTGACGTTTCCGTGGATGCTTGAGAGGGGGTGTCGGGAGCGTAGGCTGTTTGGGAACACTGCTTTCTCGGTGCCTTTTAAGCCGGTCCCTTATGACACTACAACCAACTGCTGGGGATCCTTCTTGCTCCGAGACGTTGCCCACTCGATAGCAGGAGACGGTTACTGTAATGTGTTGCTGCCTACTCGGTGGCTGTGGAGTGTGGAACGAGAACAGTTCAAGACATGATGCTTCCCAGTTCCAACTCAGTGACTGGGGACGGTCACATAGTTACATATGTGCTTACATTTACAAGCGTTTACAAACACATACAGACATACGTGTTTGAGGCACCGTCCGCTCGGTTGGACGGTCTGTGTTTGGCGCAATATTCCCTCGATGGCTGGTGAGGATCGGGGGGGGGGGGTTACCTAATTTCCAAACGTCATTGTTAACCCGCGCACCGACGGGGGTCTGCGCCAACTTCGCACCGACGGGGGGGGGGGGGCGGATGACCACCCCCCCCCTGAGATCTCGAAAACGAACCAAGATAGCGACAAGCGGTAAACGGCATCGGATACGCACGGCCAAGATCTACAATTTTTACTGAGGTCATTTTCAGGTCAGGTCAAAGATGACGTCACAGGGGTCGAAAAAGTCAAAATGGCGGCGCTAGATATGGAGAGTTTTTCTCGAATAACTTTCGAATTAGTCAAGATAGGAACAAACTAAGGGCATCATCGTGATCCTCTCGTCAATCCGCATCGAATGATATATATGTTGACCTCGAAAGGTCAAGGTCAAAGGTTGACCTCAGGTCACGTGACCTCGAGGTCATCATGCATATCATTCGATGCGTCTTGACGATCTGAACACAATGAGACCATCCACGCGTCTGTATCTTGTTCCTGTACGGAGTTATTGGCCAAAAACCTTTGGTGACCTTTGATGACGTCACATGACCTCACAGCTGCCCAACAGCAAAACAGACCTCAAGGTAGTGAAGGTTGATCGTATATGAAGTCATGTATGGTATATGGGGCCATTCCGACCCGTTTTAGTGGTAAAAACAGGGAGTTGATTTTTCCCCCATTGACTTATAATGGGGAGGTCGCGAAATTGACCTGACCTTAGGTCACCGATATCAAAATTCCGAGATATACAAATTGTAGCTACTAATGATCTAATAACATCCTGTGACTTTCAAAGGCCTCCGACATCTACTGTAGCTCTGGCACGGTGACAAAGTTGCAAAAAAGTGACTTGAGGTTGGGTCATTCAAAGTGACCTGGTGACCTGACCTTAATAGGTAGAAGGTTCAAACTTGCACACCATGTGTAAAATTGATGAGGTTATAGTCATACCAAATTTCGCGGCGCTACGCGCCGCGGTTTTCCCGCTATTCGCGAAAAACCTCAGGGGGGCGGATATCCGCCCCCCCCGTCGGTGCGCGGGTTAAACACCGCTACTCTAAGAAACACCGTGCTCAAGGAATTATTAGCTACTGGTTCATTGTTGACGGTCTTTGCAGTTTCCGGTGTTTTGGAGCTGACCGGTGCTAAATGAGGCACCTAATTAGCGTCAGTAATCACGACTAGGTGCAACCGTATCGCAAATAATTCTATACTATTGCCATTGGTGTTCATAAATGTTAACATAAATAAAGTCTGAATTTATCCACCCCATTTTATATACTGCATTACAAATTGCCAGGGTGAGATCCAAAGCTTCAGCAATGGATTCTAATTAATCGATTTATTTCATGTTTTACGTGGGTAAATAAATCATTGCATCATTAATAACGCATATCCATTCATTCAAACTTCTCCTTCGATTTCTGGGTTAGAAAGAAACAAATCGGCATGTCCTTCGTTACAAGCTCTTTAATTCATCACCATAAAAAATATTCCGCTAGTCACGTCGCACAAACAATCCATATAAAATGGTCATCCAGTTTATTCAAACTAATGTGACAGAGTATGTAGCACAAGTTCGACTTATGAACATGCGCACTACACAGCTGTACGATGAAATGCACTTTCAATTTATAAACGCTAAATCATCAACATCAAAACTTTTTTACCGCCCAGAATCAAAACAGAACAGCAAAAAGTTTCACTCTTGAAGGGTTGAGGAATGCGTTAAAGCGACGTCTTGGTACTGCATTGTTTGACTGATAGATGGCTTTTATTGCCATGGATTCGCTAACATATACGTTTGCCCAGTCTCATCAGCGATACTGTAGCGACAAAAATACGGTACCAAATTGCCATGTACAGAGTGCAATATGTCTGAGTACAACTAAGATATTATGTAAACGGTGGCCGGAACGGTGTAAGGTGTACAATGCGACATGATTAAATCCGAGTAGTTAATTACCTTCACAGTCGATGCTGCCGGCGAGAATGCAATATCTGACTCATCGTAGTAGCGAGAGTTTGAAGCAGCTCCCATAACACCTCATATTTCAGTGGTTGAGGTGATCACAGAGAGCCAAATACTTAAAACACTAGTATTGTCTCAGTTCAACATCACAAGTTACCCCACAACACAACTCACTTCACATATTTGTCCATGAACTTCTTGTGAAAGTCATTCCGGAGTGCGTCGTTGATGAAGCGGGGCTGCTTGCGGTCGGGCTCGGCGCGGGCGCAGTTTTTGAACACGACGTCGTCGTCCCAGCGGCGCTTGACGCGGGCGTCGCCCTTGGCGGCAGCGCTGCCGGCCAGCAGCGGGTTGCCGCTCAGGATGTTCTCCATGCGGATGCGCTCCTCCTCGGCCTTGCGCTCGGCGTCTCGGCGGACGGCCTCTGCGGCGCGCTCCTTGCGGATCCGCTGCAGCTCGGCCATCAGCTCCGCCTCGTCGTCGTCCGACTCGTCGTCAGAGTCGTCCTCGTCGATGGCGTCGTCCACGTCCAGACTGGCGGCCGGCAGCGGCTCGGCGCGCTGTTTGCGGCCGCCCGAGCCGGAGTCGCCGCGCTTGTCGCGCGCCTGCCGCTCTCGGTCCTCGAGCTCGCGCCGGAAGTCCCTGCCGCGCAGCTCCTCAGTCGTCCCCTGGCCGGGCTCACGCTGCTTCAGCTTGGTGTGCGCCGGCAGATCGCGCGACGAGTACTGCTTGCTGATTGCCGAGAGGTCCTTCTCCGAGCGGGACGAGCCTCCGCGCGCCGGCTCGAACGTTGGACGGGCCGCGGTCGTCATGGCTGCAGCACCAAATCACTAACCTGCAACAAACACAAAAATGAAACTGGGGACAGAGACTACAAGAGGTGATGTGAACAAAAGAAAATAATACATAACACTTGCCAAATCATTGATCAGTTTTGTACAAGGGCCGGTTTGTAGCAGGGGCATTCCACGTCAAATCAAACACCGAAATCCGTCATCCCCTTCGATTTTTCTGAAAATTTGTAGGTAGACTGGGCATGGTTCAAAACTGAGTTGCGTATAATATTTTCGAAATTTGATAACGTATCGCTGAGATATAGGTCATCAAATATAGAGAAAAATGCCACGCATCAATTTTTTAAATGGCTATAACTCTGGTTCCTTTTCTGGTATCAAAATGATATTAACAGGGTCTTATAGGCCATTGATAAGGCTTTGATTTTTAATTATAAAATTAAATTGAAGTGACCTTGAAATGCATTTGACCTTTAATTAAAACAGAAAAATTTAAATAGCAAAAAACACGTCACCTTCGATTTGGGTAATTTTTACATATTATGTCCGTCACAATGTTCCTAACCATCTGTGAAAAAAATGGAGTGGGCCATTCATAACTTTCGCGGCAAACGCCGTTTTCATGCATCAACATCACGCAACCGCGCGTGACCTTGAAAGGCAGAGTCAAGACATGCTTGCTTGTGTACACTTTCTGAAATGAATGATTGCTGATTAGTGATATCCCAAACTCTGCGAGAATGGAAATGCATAGTCATCGTAGTCAAGCATTCACGTTCCATAGTAAAAGTGTCTCAGGCAAACGGTATTTTGCGGTGAATTTTGAGCCGTGTGGAAATGCATCATGAAGTAAATTCAACGAAAACATTATCACGCAACGATATCTTCACGTCTTTTGATCTTCACTATACGAAAGAACATACATTTTTTTAGTATGTATGGGAATTTCTAGTTAATCCAATAATAAATATGGCAGTTAGAGGCCTCAGCTAAGAGTAACATGTCGCCGGCTGAGGCGGGCTCGGCCGATGCGGGAAACGCAGCATTGGCAGCAATCACAATTTTGTGTTTACACGTTCATATTTCAATTGTTTACCAACCGATTTTCAAAATTCTTTCACCATAAGATTGCCTGTACATTTCTTAGTCTTCTCACAAAATTTGACGCGAATCGAACGTAATCAGCGGTAGGGAGCGCGATGTAAAGACGGAACCGTTCCGTTCCGTCCCGGCACAGTCTACAATTCAGGCGGCGCGTAGCGGTCGGCGCCGGCTGCCGAGTCGCCGCGTCGCTGCGGCGACAGTATGTTCACTTTACAACGCTATTACTAGAACAGTTGTGAACCGATTTTCTTATTGCTTGCACGATGAGATGTCCAATTCAATTCTTGACAGGTAGCCATAATTAATTTCGCATTCATCTTATGAGATATTGGCGAAAAAACAGGAGGGGTGGGCGAAATTCGCTCTTCCCCCTCCACTGCGCATGCTAACATACGTTTGCATATGTGCAATTTTTTTTCAAAACTTATGAATGGCCCACTCTAATTTTTTTCACAGGTTGTTAAGAATATGGTAGGCAATAAAATATATGAAAATGAGCCAAATCGAAGGTGACGTGTTTTTTGCTATTTCAATATTCGTGCTTAAGAACAGAGTTAAGCAACTTTCAAGGTCATATATTTAAGTAGGTGCAATTCTAAACAAATGCTTAAGAAATTACCTAAACAGTAAGGTTTATTTCATTCAAATCAAACAAGTACAACCAAAGTTATGATCGTTCAAAAATATAAAGATGCAACATTTTGTAAAAATTTGATGCCCTATCTTTAGAAGACCTGTGGTCAGAATGTGCAAAAAACATCAATGTAATGTCCGGGGCCACACAGGAACTCGCTCACAAATTTATAATAAAATCGCTGATGGTAAGGTGCAAAACAGCCGATTTTTGTTCGATTTGACGTGGAATGCCCCAGCAAGTAAAATCCACATAAATCACATATAAGGCTTATGCATGTCATAAGTACCATAAAGGAGTGCTGGCACATATAAAGATTGGAAAAGTTATATGATTGTTCTAGGCATTATTGATGCTGCCATGTAACAGACAAAATGCTGTAATGATCCTCTCATTCACCCATATCTGCCAGCATTTAATATCTCTCAGGCCTCAGCAACCCACCCATCCTGTTGAGAACAAATCTCAAAGCAAGCCTGAAAAGCATTTGCCTTAATTTCTCCAAAGACCAAAACGCATGTTTTTCAGAGTATTTTGGATGTAGCATTCAGGCCCAGGTGAGAAGTGGTTATCGGTGCACAATGACCATTGTAGTTGGCATACCCTACAGCCCCACAAACAAACAAACAAGTGTGAAGTGCTGAGCTATTGCACTGTGCAGTACTTCCAACCATAATCTGTCAGCAACTAAGTGGGGAACTGGGAAGTGCTATCGAGCACTACACTTTCAAATCAATTAAATTTAACTGAACACAATGCAAGTTCTATGGCACAAGTGCACCCAATTGTTAAGCTTTCTCCTATTATACATTGTTATAAGGTGAGGATGAAAGCCATGGTTATAAGCAAAAGATACAAAACATGTGATCATCTAGGAAATTTTGAGTGTGTACTGTGGTCAGTAGGGTTCTGAGGTTAATTGGTATGATGATCAGGTTCAGCTGATCAGAAATACACTGTCAGCTATACTGGGCTACACTGCTGGTCATGCACTTTCAGTCAAGGATATCACAGATGTTCAGTCAAGGAAATACTGAATGGTAAGAAATGTCAGGATTGTCAGTACAGATATTAAGTTCAGAGTCCTGAATTTTTTTTTTTTGCAGAGCCTGGCACATCCTTGCTGACATGAAACATGCATGGAATGCAGTTGGCACACTTGGTGGCACATCACAATGATCATGTGAATCCAATGCACGTAATAATCCAAATTTTTTTTTTCATATTTGATTGCTGATCATGTTTGTATATTTATTGTCATAACCATCACTAGTTGGCATGCTTACATAAGCATACAATACTTAACAGAAATTCTGGAAACCACAGAAACTAAAATCAATCAGGAGGGCTGTTCACGGGCCCTGTGTGCGGTCGGAAAATCCTGAAAGCACAGAAACACAGAACACAACAGTTTCATGGATGCTCACGCATATGGTGTAGCTTTGGCTTTAGTGACCTATGAGCCATCCTAGCCCTATCTGCCCTATCCATACAGAATGACACAATTTTCAGGTCTAGTCCTTAATTAAAATCCCTGGATTATAGGCATGTACCCACATACCTACCGTTTACGGGGATGGTTCACAAAAACTAGCGGCTTATTCTTTGATAACTCAACTGAACTGTGTCGTCACTTACTTAACGAAAAACGGCAGCCTTGCGGAAAACAGTTTGGGTTGCGTCGGAATTGTAAACATTTGCTCCCAATGGTAGTCGCCATATTGAAATATTTTCTTTATTTTAATTATAAATTGATATACTTCTACATGGTCATTTGAAGAATTACCATTAATTTGTAATTTTATAATCAAATTATACAAAAAAATTCACAAAAATCATTGAAGTACAAAGAAGCAGGTCTAGTATGCTCAGCATGACCAATCAGCAGCGAGAAGTGGCGGGGCTTTTAAATTTGAAATTAGCAACAAACGGTGGCGGAGCGTACGCGCTGAAGGCGCGTGGATGCGGTTGATTTTTGGACGATAATTTTGAAATATTTTGTCTACTCACAGATTTTCAGCGAAATAAGCGAGACGAAGTGTATGAAAGTTGGAAAGTGTTTTTATATAACGACGAACTGAGACGATTCAAAGCGATTCCCGAAGATGTCTCAAGCGCTTCGGACCACCACATTGGGAAGTAACGTGAGTATAGTTCTTCTGAATAATAATTATATACTTGACATGTAATTGGCTTCTTTAAATTGAGCACTCCTGCAATCATTTTTTAAAGCGCTATTATAATTTCTGAAGTAGTGTTGATGTGGCGAGCCATGAAGCACACACATTCATAAGTGTTTGCAAATATTAAACTGATGCCTTGTGGGAAGGAATATATATTTGGTTATTTAATTCACTGTTTTGTCTCTTGTCTAGCTTTCCATTGCAATTTCACCTTCCTTCATTTTTGCTTTGTGGTTGTGTGCCATGCGGATGAGGTTTGAGAGCACAAGTAAATGATTGGTACCTATTTATCATCATCGCTATAGCAAGTTGAAATAAAGAAAATCCACAAAAATTGGAGTCATTTAGCTGAAGTGGTCTATGGCCTTATGCATACCTAAGTACCTCTCCTAAAACCCATTTGATAAGCATAAGACCTAAAACCCATCAGACGAAGCATAATATTCTGATAAAGGCATCAAGGTTTAATCTAAAACAGTGTCATTCACACAAACAGTGTCAAAGCCAGTCTACAAAAGCACCTTTTTCATGAATTGGAATGAGTGCGTAAAAGATGTAAGGGGCAAAACTTTTTCACTTCTTACTAGGACAGCGTTTTGCCCAATTCTGTTAAGAGTCATGTCAATTTTTTTTATTAATGGTTTGACAGTTACTAGTTATCAGTAATTTCTTGGATATTGAAACAAAGAAAAATGCTGTACTGCCATTGCATTTCTTAGAAAGTTTGCAACTGGTGGGTTGAAAGCATGAGCACATTTGTAAAGAATGAGTTATTACTTATTTGTCATTTATTCTCACCCTAGGCCTATCATCATTGATAGTTAATGTATTTGTCAAGGCCACATGGTTGACTCATGAACAAAATGTTGCAAATGGTATCAGGGACATTGAAAGCTAATTAGCACACTAGGTACTAGTCTAGTTTTTTATATTTTTAGAAGCCTGGTCGCTTAATATACACAAATAAATATAGCATGAGACAAACAATAGGGATGAATAGGGAGTGAAACTTTAAATCAATAGTAAGATGATATTTTCAGTTGGCCAGTGCCTAATAAAGGTAGTTATTCAGGCTTCGTGTGCACTTCTTTCAAGCGCTTAAAGCGATCAGACAGGCTCAAGAAATCTGACTAAAGTGGCTTCTCGACCCTCAAAAGTTGTCGCCATCGCCGAAATAATTTTTCACGTTTGAGTTGGTGACGCATTGACATCGGCTAGCGGATCTCATTTTTGTTGTTTGTCAATGAATGGTTTTGCAGAACTTCATTGGTTGACGTGGAGCCGTTTTCCCTCCAACGGACAAGTGAATGCTTGTGACACCACGGGGCTGTCATAAAATCAGTCACGTGCTGATATGCGAAAATAACTTCCAAAGCTCTCCAAAGCTCACTTAGTCGTTTTCGGACGCACGACTTTTGCGAATTTATCGACCTTTGCTTGTGTACATGATGTTGAGAGATACCCCTACCGAATGATTTTAGGTCACGCGACGGGAGTTTTTCAGCAAAACGTATAGTGATAATGTCGTTCAGTCATGCAAATGTTATTTGAAAGGGGAAAAACGCATAACGCCTATAGTTCGTTTTTCTTAAGTTTGCCCCTCACTGTAAACGTCTTTTTGAACACAGCACGAGAATTGCTAGCTGAATTACTGAGAAAACTGGTTAGCGCACATTGTATTGTAGATATGAATAATATTTTCAAAATAAGTTTTGAACACGGACGATTTAACGTTATGTTAAGCGCCGTGCAATTTATTTATTAGTTCAGACATAATTCCTGAGAAGTCGTCTATCCCTGTGGGGCTGTAGGTATTGGCAAATACGAGCTACGAGTCTGTGAAAAAGTAAATAAATTTGATAAAATTGATCGTCTGTGAAATCTGGTGAAATCAATGTGCGCCAACCAGTTTTCTCAGTAATTCGGCTAGCAATTCTCGTGCTGTGTTCAAAAAGACGTTTACAGTGAGGGGCAAACTTAAGAAAAACGAACTATAGTCTTGATTTGTCCACCATGAACATTTTAATTGTAGCATGACGTTTCCGGTGAAATCCACCACTTTTTCACCCGACACCCCCTACATCGCTTTTGTCACCAAGCCGGAACTAACTGGGATCCGGGAAATTTGATATTTCCATTAGCTCAGTCAGTTCATTCCCCAATCGTAAATGACAGTGATGTAAGACGGTAAGATAAAAGCTGATGCATATACCGTACCTATTTCAGGTGATTAGGAACGAGAATCAGCTACAAGCAAGGAAGGGGCTTGCTACCAGAAGCACGAACAATGCACAGCGGGCAGTCCTCGGCGAAATCGGCAACCGAGTGAAGGGCCTGTCAGTCAACAATGGACCGGTTAAAGCCATCTCAGCTGATGCCAGAAAGCCCCTTGTCCGGTCAAAGGCTACCAGCTCGATCAGGTATGGACGGTTTCACGGCGACTGGCTAGTCTTCTGGCCCTTTTTTGGTACGAAATCGGTCATAAGACTGCTCTCGCTTCGTATGTGTATTTTACATTCTTTCTCAATCCTCCCCCAATCTTAGTGGGATTTGGTGCCGTTTTTGGACGTGTTCGCGTAATCTATATGTAGGTGCTCGTGAAACTTTTTTTGTGATTTAGTAATAGTGTCGGGGAAACACTGTGATGACCAATGCCGATATTTGCAAACATCTTCAGTCTTCACCAAAACATGCTGCTTGTTTGCTAAGTGGAATGCGGAACATCCCTGAAAATATATATCAAGTTATTTTTCAGGTTAATCCTATGGTATCAAGACAACGTATTGGCACGTTGCATATTGGCATCCGGTAATTCGATGATCAACTGCGGGCGCCTACCAGGCCCAAGCGACTGTTTAATTTGTGCTTTTTTCAGGCAAAAGGTTGAAGCGCCTCCGAAGCCAGTAGAAAGCAAACCTTTCTCGGCATTGGAGGAGAACAAAAAGCTGAATGCCTACTCAAGCGGGCTGCTGAATGTCGATGACATCGATGTAGAAGATTCCGATAACCCCCAGCTTGTGTCAGAGTACATCAAAGATATTTACCTATACCTGCGGTACATGGAGGTGAGTTTCCTACGGGAGTACCCAGTCATGCTGTCGTGGTCGTGATAAGAGACAGCAGCGGGAAGGCAAACAATATCATTTCAAAGTTTTTTCACGTTTGGGTTTGAGGTCGATAATTACTGGGTGTTATGGGCGCATATGACCACTGTAGTCCGGGCGCCCAAGAAACCCTAATTCATCATCGATAATTACTGGTTTCAATGAGTGGCTGTTAATGTCATAGTCATCGTTGTGAGTTGTGACAGTTATGGATAGTATTGACGTGGTCTCAAGGAAATTTATGCAGCAGCAGTTATGAGATGTCATACCTTGCTCCTGAAACTGCACGCCTGACCTTTTTTCTCAATATTTGCCAACATGCTTTGCCAATGCGTTTGAACTGTTCCGGCTGTGGCTGCAGTTCTTACGAAGCCTTTCGTTTTTTTTTTGTTCTCAGGACAAATTCCGCGTATCTGAGAATCACCTGCGAGACAGCAAAATAACCGGCAAGATGCGCGAGATCTTAATAGACTGGCTGGTGCAGGTGCACCTGAAGTTTAAGCTACTCCACGAGACGCTGTACCTGACCGTGGCCATCATCGACAGGTTTCTGCAGGTAAGCTCAGCAATTTTCGAACGCCGCTTACCGTTTGCGGCTACGTGACCGATCGCGAACTCCTCGCCGCAGTGTTATAATCGAACCAACTTTGACACGGGTCACTCACTTTGAAAGTTTTTCTTTCTAAACTAGAGTACTTAACTAATATTATTTAACTGGATTAGCCCCTTGATATCTCGATTAACTAGATTACTAATTTAAGACTATACAATGTCTGCACCTGTGCGTGTAGCTTAACCCGCGCCCTGCTGGGGGGGGGGGGTGTTTGAACACCCCCCCCCCTTGTGGTTTTTCGCGAATATCTCAAAAACGGGCGGCGCTCCCATGTTGTAAAAATTTCAGACCAAGGTCATTCAAGGTCAGGTCACTTGAAGTGACCTCACCTCATAAAAAGTTTCAATGTCTGTCATAGCTACACCGAGTGATCGATCGCTTTGAAACTTTCAGCGATTGCTAAGAGCAATAGCATGTACAAAATGTATATCTCAGAATTTTGATATCGATGACCTAAGGTCAGGTCAATTTTGCGACCTCCCCATTATAACCCCGCAGGGGGCTGACCGTGGTCAGAGCTGCTGCTTAGCCGGGGTCATCAGGCTCCGGCTGTGCGGCGGCTGTGACTTCGGCCAGTAAGGGGAGTAGCGCCCCCTCGGCCCCAGCTTGACGCGCGTTTTGACCTGGACTTGCCTTGCTTACTGGATGGATTGTCTGCAGGATTAGCCCCGCAGGGGTTGGCAGTGGCTGGGGTCGCTGTTGGACTGGGTTCCTTGGGCCTTTGCCCCGCGGCGGCCCTGGCCTCGGCCAGCAAGGGGAGTAGCGCCCCCTCGGCCCCAGCTTGACCCATGCTTGCTTACGACTTGCTTTGATCGCTGGATGGACAGATGGTACGGTCCGACTTTTCTTGGTTTTCGTGGTTTTGTTTCTCTTGAGCGGTCTTTGTCTGCTTTTGCTTTGCTTCTCACTGGATGTCCGCGTTTCGTTCGATCACAGCTTTCTGATTCTTTTCCTACCTTTTTCGTTGTTTTTGCACCCGCAGGAACACAGCCGAGTTGGGCTAGTGTAAGGGGAGTGGCGTCCCCTCGGGTACCAGCCGGTTTTACTAGGCTAGGCGAGCCGACCCGTACCCCAGGACAACGGGATCCTGGAGGTTGAGCCCCCCACCGTGCGGAGCCAGTCGCGGTGGCTGGGCAACACGCCTCTTTGGCCCTGAGTTCTGTAAGGGCGGGATACTCAGTGGGGCGCCGCACTTGAGGAGCCATTCCCAGTCGTGATGCCGCCGGGGGTGGTGTCGGAGTGGTGTCGCCGGCGGGGTTCGGGCACTTGTGCTCGTCCTCCGTCGGTGGGACTGATCTGGCGCTGCCCCTGGCGGTGACTCGGCGAGGCGTCAAGGGAGCAGGCGGTATCCGACCGTGGGGGGTGGTGAGTCTCTCTCTCCCCCGCGGAAGGTGCCGCCAAGTCCCGTACAGTCAGCTCGGCCGTCCCAGGCCTTGTAGCGGCGCCGTTGCGGAGCGTCGGCGGCCGAGCTGGCGGAGACCAACTCACACTGCATGGATTCTGAACTCCCTCCCCCGACCCCTACCTCGACCTCGACCTCAACCACGACCACCTCGACCTCGGCGACCACTTCGACCTCGGCGACCACTTCAACTCCGGCCCCGCCCGGATGTCCTCGCCCCCAGACCTCGACTGAGGCATCCCCTCGGCCACCCGGTGATCTTGGGAGGCCGCTGCCTCACTTTCTGCTCATGAGCTCAACCGATCAGGATGAGTCTGGCCAGCCCGTGCCGCTCAAACTCAATCCGTTTCAAAGAGAGCAGGCACTCTCGCCTCACTGTCAGCCTCAGCGTGTAACCCAACGCCCAGACGGGACCCTGGAAATCCACCTGACGAACCAAACTGAGATCCGGAATATGCTTGCCCTCAAAGAAATATCATTCAAGGCACGTGATAAGCAGGTCCGCAAAATAGAGGTCAAAGTTGAGCCACATCCGTTCAAAAATTCAGTGCGGGGAGTGATCACATGCCCGGACCTCCGCGGCGTGGCGGACGACGAAGTCGTGGACGGAATGGAAGGGCAGGGTGTCACCCATGCCCGCCGCATCCGCCGTAAGGTGAAAGGATCTCTTATGAACACCGACTCAATCGTTTTAACTCTGAACCGCCCCACCCTCCCGCGGGAGGTCAAGGTTGGCTATCTTGTGGTTCCCATTCGTGCCTTTCTTCCGGATCCAGTCCGGTGTTTCAAATGCCAGGCCTTCGGGCACGTCTCCTCGAAGTGCCGGGGAACACAGCGCTGTGGGGTCTGCTCAGCTGAGGGGCATGGCTCTGACGCTTGCCAATCGGACAGTGTCAAATGTGCCAACTGCGGTGGCCAGCACCGGGCATGGCACCGCAAATGCCCTAAGTTTGTGTTCGAGGCTGAGGTGCGCGCATTGATGACGAAGGAGAACGTCTCCTTTCGCGAGGCGCGGGACAGGGTGCGACAGCGCACTCCCGCACCTTCGCTTTCATACCGAGATGTGGCCGCTCGGCCACCCCAACCTGCTGCAAGCCGGGTCGCCCTCGGACCTGGAGTGAGTGGTGCCCTCAGGAAGGCCGGCAATCTTCGCCAGCTTTCTGTAGCAGAGCTGATCCAGCTCCTCTCGGGGCTCATTGAGGATGACACCCCGCCGGCTCCCGCAGCCGATTCTGTGCCAGCAGCGCCTGCTGCTGATGCACGTCGCCGGGCAGAATCTGAGGATGACTGGACCGTTGTTCACCCACGGCGCCGCCCGTCGAGGCGCCAGTCTCCAACAGCCACTGTACCACCATCTCCGGGATCTGACAGGGCGATCAGCCCAGCAGTGCTGGAAACCCTGAAGCGGGGAGAGGAGGAGCGACGGGCGAGGGACGCCAAACGTGCCAGACTGGCCGAGAAGGCCAAGGAGGGGAGGCCGTCCCCAATGGTGAACGCCCCGGCCGGCTCTCCGGCCATGCCCCCTCCCCCTCCCCCGCCTCTCCCGAGGCGGCCCCCTCCGCCGTCCCTTGGGGCGGCATCCGGAACCCTCAGCGTGCCGGATCCTGCACCCAGCCCCCCAGGCTCGGTGCTGGCCGAACGCAGGCGTTCGGCCAAGCGTGGTCCCCCGTCGCCGCCAGAGCAGGGCCCTGGCCGGGTGCGGTTTGGCAACCGAACCGTTTCAGGCCCTGTGGGACCTCGGTCCCAGTCTGCCGACGGCCGACAGAGAACTAGCCACGCGAGGATTCAATACGAATCCTCTGGGGAGGTGATTTTCTAGTCGTCTTTCTACTCAATCTTTTAAACAGTTTTATCGCCTTCTTGGGCTGTTTTACGTCTGGACGGGCTTTTAAAGCGCTTCTGCGCCTCTTTTACTGTCTTCTCCATGCAGAGTTTCTTACAGTGGAACTGTAGAGGACTCCGCAGTAGCCTTGTTGATTTACAGACGGTGATCCGTCGCGACTGTCCTCTCCTGGTCTGTCTACAGGAGACGAAGCTGAAACCAGAGCATCACCTACATTTCAAAGGGTATTCCATTTTCAGGAAGGACCTGGATACCGACTCAGTTGCTCACGGTGGTGTTCTCGTGGCTGTCAGCCATAGAGTTTCGACGAGACCAATCCCGGTCAGATCCCCACTTCAAGCGGTCGCTGTTCGGGTGGCTCTCGGTCACCGGGAGCTAACCTGTTGTTCACTGTACTGCCCACCAGGGGAGTCTCTCCCTGTGCAGGATCTTCGTATGTTACTGGCAGAGCTACCTCAGCCAGTTTTGATTCTAGGCGATTTTAACTCTCACCACTCTGCATGGGGATGTCAGACAGTTTGCACCCGTGGTCGACTTTTAGCATCTTTTATTGGCGATGAGGACTTATGCGTCCTTAACTCCGGTGCTCCAACTCATTTTACTCTACCTTCTGGCCAGACATCAGTTCTAGATCTCAGTCTTAGCAGTCCGCAGCTCGCTCCTCTTTTCACGTGGCGCGTTGCTGCGCACCCAATGGGCAGCGACCATTTTCCGATCTGGCTGGACCTCCGGGAGCATGGCTCAGTTGGCTGTCGGCCACCCAGGTGGAACTTAACGAAGGCAGACTGGACCGAATTCGAGGCGAGACTGACAGAGTCATTCTCAGATGTTCCAACATACAGTTTGTCAGTCGATGATTTCACGTCCAAACTCGTCGAGGCTGCCGAGGCCTGCATACCCCGCAGTTCCGGTATGCCCCGACGACCACCAGTTCCGTGGTGGAGTGATGCCTGTTCTGATGCAATTCGTGCCCGAAAGCGTGCCTACCGTGCCTTTCAGCGGAATAGTTCCACGGCCAACATGATAGCTTTTAAGAGAGCCAGAGCGGTTGCCAAGCGCACTATCAAAGAGGCCAAGATCTTATCTTGGAAACGATATGTCAGCACTCTTAATCGTTTTACTCCAATCGGCGAAGTATGGTCGCGCATAAAGCGCATCTCGGGCCGGCACTCCTCTGTACCCTTACCCGTGCTGAAGGTGGATGGAAGGGACATCATGGAGCCAAACGCCGTTGCTTCGGAGATAGGCCGCGCCCTCTATCGGCGGTGTGGTGATGAGTCCCTCGACGAATCCTTTGTCAGGCACCGCTCGTCTTGTGAAGCTTCTGGGGTCAATTTTAGCACCTCCGACGTTTTGAGCTACAACGATACTTTTACAATGGTTGAGCTCAAGTCAGCTATAAGCTGTCTTAAATGTGTCGCAGAAGGCCCGGATTCTGTCCACAATGAGATGCTTCGCCATCTCCCTCCGGTTGCTCTGGATGCTCTCCTTCAGCTGTTCAACCTCCTATGGATGACGGGTGTTTACCCAAACTCCTGGCGGGAGGCAGTTGTCATCCCTGTTCTAAAAGCAGGGAAGAGCGGTTTGGACCCTCTGCACTACCGCCCAATTGCGCTCACATCCGCCGTTGGAAAGCTGTTGGAAAAGCTGGTGAATATCCGACTTACCTGGCATCTGGAGCGGCACGGACTTCTTGCCAATTCTCAGTGTGGTTTTAGAAAGCACCGGAGTACTGTCGACCACGTTCTTACTCTTGACTCAGTTGTCCGCTCGAATTTTAAACAAGGTCGTCAAGTAGGCGCCTTGTTCTTCGACATTGAAGCAGCGTATGATACCACTTGGCGATTCGGTATCTTACAGAAGCTGCATAAGCTAGGCATTCGAGGCACGATGGGTCATTTTCTAAGCAGTTTTCTTGGTGATCGTTTCTTCCGTGTTCGTGTGGGCAACCAGTTATCTGAGCGGTTCGCCCAGATTAATGGAGTCCCACAAGGCGGTGTGCTCAGCGTGACGCTTTTTGGTGTCATGATCAACGACATTGAAAAGGTCCTCTCTCCAGCCATCGGCCGCGCTCTTTACGTCGATGATTTCGCTATTTGGTGCAGTGCGGCGTCGACTCGATCAATGGAGCGACAGCTGCAGATGGCAGTTGCTCGAGTGGAGGCATGGGGCAAGGAGAACGGCTTCCGGTTCTCCTCTGCAAAGACGGTAGGCATGCAGTTTTCCCGTAAGCGTCGCCCCACTGCACCCATGGTGGTGAGGCTCTACCGTGAAGCCATACCAGTGGTTGCGGAGGCCAAGTTCCTTGGCATGACTCTTGACTGCCGACTCACATACCGAAGTCACATAAAGTGTCTCCGTGACAGATGTCTTAAAGCTCTTGACATTCTGAAGTGTGTCGCTCGCATGTCCTACGGCGCTGACCGTAGTACGCTACTCCTTCTTTATCGGTCTCTGGTGCGGTCCCGTCTGGACTATGGATCTTTTATCTATGACAACGCTGCATCCTCATCCAAGCTTATCCTTGACACTGTCCACCACGCAGCGATTCGCATTGCGACTGGTGCTTTCCGAACTACTCCTGTCGTCAGCTTGTTAGCTGAGGCGAACGAGCCCCCTCTGGCCTTACGAAGGCAGATGTTGGGCATGCGATACGCCATCAAACTTCGTCAGTTCCCTTCCCATCCTGCTCACGGACCGGCTTTCTCCAGGTCGCTCTTAGCAGTCTTTGATGGCGACGAGAGGAGCCGCTCTCGAGTTTTCTGCACCCGAACGGCCGATCTCCTCCGAGATTGTGGCCTAAGCACTCGGGACATCATGCGAGTTGTTATCCTGCCTGAACCGCCTTGGAGGTTATCTGTCCCCTCTGTGGACCTAACCCTATCAGGCACACGGAAAGACCAAATTCTGCCTCTGGCCTTCAAGGCGAAGGCATTGGAACATATTGAATCATATTCAGGCCATGCCGTGGCATACACCGATGGGTCCAAGTCGGACCTCGGTGCTGGCTGTGCCTTCGTCTGCGGCGACGCTGTGCGATGTTTTACTTTACCTAAACATGCATCCGTTTTTACCTGCGAATTGGTCGCCGTCCTCAAACTTTTGTGTTTTATCCAGATTCATCCCGCTCGGTCATATCTTGTCCTCTCCGACTCATTGAGCGGACTCCAGTCCTTGACACAATTCTATCCACTTGACCCCCTCGTACAGGAGATTCTTCTCCGTTTGACGGCTCTCGACCGAGAGGGTACCTCAGTGACTTTTTGCTGGATTCCTAGCCATGTTGGTATAGCTGGCAATGAGCGGGCGGACCGTGCTGCGAACCATGCGGCGCGGCAGCCCTGCTGCCGCCGGTTCCCTCTACCGGCCAGGGACTTTTTCCCTGCGGTGAGCTCATTCTTCCGCGGAAAGTGGCAGGAGGATTGGAGCAAATGTCAGACAAACAAGCTGCTACGCATCAAACCGGGTTTGGCAACCTGGTTGTCTGCGTCGCGCAAGTCGCGTCGAGAGGAGGTTATCCTCTGTCGGCTTCGCACAGGGCACACTTTCGGTACCCATGGACACCTTATTGGCGTCGGCCCAAGACCTGTTTGTGCGAGATGTGGCGACAGACTTTCCGTCCGACACGTTTTTCTGGAGTGTCCGAGACTGGAAGCTGAGCGGCTGAAGTTTCTGGGCCTGCGCGGAGCCCAGCTTTCTTTGAGAGCAGTCTTAGGTGACGAGTCCTCTTTGCTAGACTCTTCTCGTCTCTTTTCGTTTATTGCGGCCTCCGGCCTTCAGGTGATTTTTAACGCCCGACACTGAGGAAGTTAAATAAGAAATGGGCGCGATATAGCCTCGCAGCTGGTGCGCCCTGTCACTCCAAATCATCATCATCATCCCCATTATAAGTCAATGGGAGAAAATTGAAATGCGCCTCTTTTGGACGAAAGACATTATAAACACTCCCAAACACCGAATTACAAGTGGTTCAGACGCACTGAACATGAAAATGGTGTCCGTGACCCTTGTTTATGCCCTGAGGTCATCTTAGGTCACGAATGGTATCTAACAGTTTTTTGCAAATAACTTTTGATAGAGGCATGCTAGAGCGATGAAAACGCCTTAGATGTGTTCAGCTCGACGATACGGATCGACTGATATGTAACATGACCCTTTCCGGTCAGGTCATGACCTTGACCTGAGGTCAAATTTTCAAGTTGACCTTTCAAGGTCAAGTTGTAGTTCATTCGATGCGCCTTGACGAGAGGAACACGATGCCGGTAAAAGTAAGCTCGTACAAGGCTTGGGTCAAAAGTTATTGCAGAAAAACTGTTTCCGAAAAAATCGGTTATTTTTGCAGTTTTTGCCCCCTGCAGGCAAAACCGTTGACGTTAGGTCAAATCTGAGAGAATTACTCAGAAAGGGCGTTAATAGGGCTATCGAATGCGCTTTTCCGCGGCGCTGTAGCTCTATAATTGGTTCCCGAGTTATGCGTTGGCTTCTTGGAAATTTTCGACATTCGACCTGGAAATCGGCGACATTTTGCCTTCAATGACCTCTGGTGACCTGACCTTTGACCTGACCAAAAAATTGACCGAAGTGATTTCGTCATTATTTTTGACGCTCTTTCGAACGCCGCCTTCCGCGTATCGCTACGTGGCCCAGGAGCCGAGTTACAAGGGGGGAGTGTTCAAACACCCCCCCCCCCCCAGCAGGGCGTGGAAATCCAGGACCCCCAGCCGGGCGCGGGTTAAACGTGTCAAGCGTCCCTGCGTACGATCCTGCATTTGACTCTGTACGTTGTATTGGTGGACGTTAACATGTGATGGCCGGGTTTGTCGCCGGTTTTCTGACTGCGGGTCTCCGTGTCCGCCAGGTGGACTCGTCCATCTCGCCGGCGCAGCTGCAGATGGTGGGCGTCACGGCCATGTGGATCGCCAGCAAGTACGAGGAGATCTACGCGCCCGAGGTGAACGACTTTGTGGTGATTGCCGACAAGTCGTTCGACGAGGAGCAGATGCGCGTCATGGAGCGGCAGATCCTGTCTGCGCTGCGGTTCGACCTGGGCCGGCCGCTGCCGCTGCACTTCCTGCGCCGCAACAGCAAGGCCGGCTGCGTGGACAACCGGCAGCACACGCTGGCCAAGTACCTGATGGAGCTGAGCCTGCAGGAGTACAGCCTGGCGCACCTGCGGGTGTCGCACCTGGCCGCCGCCGCCCTCTGCCTCTCGCTCAAGTACGTCGGCGCTCGGAGACATTCCCCTTCTCTCGGGCTCGCCGAAATGTATCCACTTTTCATCTCGGCGGATGTTCATAAAAAACTTCGTAAGAATAGTATGTTGTTAAATGGTTCGAGTTTAAAAATGTTTGTCAAAAAGCGAGATCCACTCATTTTTTTGCTTAAGACTTATTATACGAGCCATATTTAACGGGGAGAGGGGGGGATAGGTCGGGCAGTCGGCCCAGATGTTGATGTTGCCCTGCAGTGGGGCAACATCAGTGGGCCCAGATGTTGCCCTCCGGTCGGCTGGGCGCCCAGTGACGTTCGGCGTGTGTGCTGCCGCTGCCGCTGCCGCAGGGTGCTGCAGGATGAAGAGACTGAGGGCTGGACGGACGTGCTGACCCACTACTCGTTCTACCCGGAGAACGAGCTGCGACCAGTCATGTGCCAGCTGGCCAGCCTGGTGGTCAAGGCCAACGAGAAGCTCAACGACAGCCGCGCAAAACGGGTGGTGAGTGCCGCCCGCACGCTATAACGGCAACCGCATACAAATACTTTGTGTGCATCTTTTGTTTAACAGTTTGAATTCCAGTAACCGAGAGTGTTACGCTCCCGATCACATCTCGAATTAAATCCAGATTGATGACTGGTGAGGACTGGGGTACAACAGTTATCGTCTATTTTGGGTTATCGATATAAATAAGCTATCTGGATTCTGGAACAAATCCAAGAATGCCAACTTCAATGTTTGTACGTAATATTTTAACATCTCAAAATGGGATACATCGGCCTTATCCTTTCAAATGTCTAATTTATTTTGTTTCGAGCTTGATCGGAGATGTATGGGCTTTACAAACGTGAAGTGCAAGCGTTTAAGTGTTTGCGCGATAATATTCGCACGCTTCCGCGAAAAATGCCTTTAAATGCGCACGAGTTAGCGCTGTGTCGGTTATTGGGATTCCGGGAGACTGGTACCGACTACTTGTGTCACCCGGCAGGCGGTGGCTCGGAAATACGCCACGAAGAAGTGTCTGTGCATCAGCGTGCTGCCGGAGCTGTCTGGGCCGGTGATAACGGAGCTGGCCGCCGAGGCCGCCGTCTGACCGGCCGGTCGTCCGCCCAGCCACCGACCCGCAGTTACGTCCGCCGCCGCCGCTGCTCTTACCAAACTGAAACACCCGCCATTTTAGCTTTTGGGGAACGTTTTACGTATGCGTCAGCTCACAAGTTTTCTATTGTATTTTAGATTGTCATCACTTTTGAGATTATTTGAATACTCTGTGGAGTGAACTTCTGCATCACGTCACGTGTTATCGCCATGTTCCTGGAGCCAGTTCCCGTTCCTGAGCTGTTGGCTCCTTTGCCTGTGCCCGTTGCTCGTGCCTGCAGCTGCATGCTGGGGACCTGCTGGATGAGATTTCCGTATGCTGGACGAACAGAGGGCGGTTTTACCACGTCGCGGCGGTCTGGTATGGGTGTGAGCTGACCGGAGAATAAACGTTTATAGGCCTCTTGCTCTTTCCTTTCTAGCTAGTACTGGTTGCTCATAGGATGGCTCTTCTCGTGAATGTTGAAGTCTGTCTTGTGGGGGACGTTTCGCTGTTTCGATCTCCCGAGCCGAATGCGCGAGCGAGCCGTCACGTGCTTTTGATTCGACCGATTCGATTTGACGGTTGCGACCGCGTCTTTGCGTTGTTTTAGTCGGCTTGCGAGCTAACTGTTCTATTGATGTACATAGTGACGAAACGAGGAACGAAATAAAAGCTAAGTGAACACGTAGCGTATTTATTCGATCAGTTTCAAACCTAAATTTGAACTGAAATTATCACTCGGAGCCTGTACCTATCAGGTTGATGTTACCTACGCGTTCTCGCGAGGGACAAGTTGTATACGAGGAATGATACCACTTCTCCGGTCAAAACGTGCTACTGCTGCTGCTGCTGGTGTCCTCTAACGACATAAGATGTCGGCGCGCCCTTAAGTCGGTGTTAGATGTAGCAGTAGCTAGGACGAGCGTTTTTTTTTTTTAGGTAAAGTCTCTCCAGTTGACCTGGTGACCCGACTTTGAATGTCCTATTGGAATTTTCTCATATGTAGAAAAGATACATCTTGAGATAGGTGAAAAGTGCTAAAGGGTATGATTGTGAAGCTAAACCGAAACTGGTCAACTCCAATAAAGGGTCTCTCCGTAGGCCATTTGATCCGTTCTTATGGGCAATGAAAGCAAGTATTGCTCCCAATGGCCGGTGTTCTACTGTTTTCTCACAAACACTGAGTACGTACTTCTCGTCTTCGTCTGTATTAACAATAACAATCGTGAAAGACGTGGCGTTGGCGGTCGGTGAGGGGCGGATCAGTGACGGCCGTAGCTGTAGACCGGGTAGTCGGCGTACCAGCCGAACGCGCCCTTCTTGCCCGTGTACGCGCCGTAGTCGACCTGCAGTCCGCCGTCGTAGCCGCCGGGCGTCTGACGCTCGTACCTGCCGGCCGGCACGGGACGGTGTCAGCGGGCAATCACCCACAGCTAATGGGGATGGCATATTGGGCCCACGCCTCGGCCGCCACGCGGGCTATAGGGGCATTCAGACTCCACCGTTCAATAAGCCATCAGGTAACGGACCATTCGACTTAAAACCCCGGCCAACGCTGCGAGCCATCCCGTCCATCCACTCTGTCATGAACCATCAGCGATCTCCCAAACCAAATCATGCTCTCCTTCACGCATAAAAAAACTGAATACCGTTCTCCGAACTGCCGGGCTGACGGCTGAGTGCCAGTCTCCGGGACCTGCGTCCGTCACTCACCGGTCGGAGGCGTCAGCCTGCTCCACGGGCAGCGGCGCCTGGCGTGCCACGCGGACGTGCGGCGGCATGTGCTCCAGCTCCTCGACGGGCACCAGGACGTAGCGCGGCATGGCCACGGCCACGGCCAGCAGGGCGGCCAGCACAACCTGCCGGGGCGCGATGTTAGTCCAAGTACATCGCATACACGTCGCTGCCGTACTGATACAAAGGTAGCACGTCGGGCAGCACGCATGCTCATGGCACTGATGTCACACCGACTAAACGAGCTTTTCGACTGGATGCCGATCTACCCCAGCTCCGCGATCACCAAGTTCTTCTCACATCCTCACCAAACCCCAAAGCAAACCGACCACACTAACCGGGGCCGTGTGATGCAAAGCGAAAGCGACGTTATGTATATTGGATCTCTACACGGTCCGAGGCGAGGAACTGCTGGTCGGGGCTCTGCTCTATGTACTCACCAGCTGAGAGTTCATGGCGTCGGATGGTCTGTGTTGCGGCACTGGTGAAAAGGCGCTGGCGCCGGACGTTATATACGTACCGCCAGCCGTCTGTGCCGTGACGCGGCACGTCTCTCACGGTGGCCGCGGAGAAACTCTGTCCGTGTCCGCGCCGGCGCCGGCAGTCGGCAGCCAACACCGACGAGCGGGCCGAAAACAACTGAGACCTGCCCATTTTGGAGACGTGACAAACTGACCAACTCTCAGCGACCACTGGTTATGTCATTGGGTCAGGCCAATTCCCAGTCATCACCTTCGGGATATTGGATCCAGAAATTTCGGTCGGCCAACTGACCTCTTCAGGGTCAACATGAAAAACTGACATTTGAGCTAGACCTTGAATCCGTCCAAATTAATAAAATGATCGGTAAGATCAATATGGATTTTAGAAGTTGCGTCAGTGCGTAGGACAGACAGTGTCCGGCTTTAATCGGCACGCTGGTCTTTGGCAGCTTAATTCTCCCGCTTACCCGGAATTTTTCAAACGGACGGTAGGGTTCCGGCCCGGTCCTGCGCAACAAGCTTTTACTTATGGATTCCGGTTCTACCAATCCGCCCAATCAAACATTCGAGTGAAATTTATCAAAAGGTCAATTCATCTTGAATAAAAAGCATCATTCGATGCACCTGAACTGCGAGCTCGGTGACACCAAAATCGCTGTTCTCATATCGTTATATTGCTGATGTTTACCAGAAACCGTGGCCTGACCTTTGGACTTTTTCAGAGGTTACCAGTTGACCCGAGCGCTTACAATTTGGTACCAGTCGCTGCGTCTCGTGACGGTACACCGACTATCATCCCATCCTGCGCATTTTAAGCTCAAGGAGCAAAACGGCGAGGGAGGTTGTACCCCCCAAGATTACTTTACTAATAGTACCCCATCGTGTTGGTAGGATCCTTCCCAGTTGCGCAGGGAAAAGATGGGTCCGGCGCGGCGGTACAAATACGAGTACATGTGAGCATTTTTAGTGTATGAGGCTGCATGTCTACATCCGGCGCTTATCTCGCTCTTACACCGTGGATGATACATCGGGATGACAACATGAGGCGTGAATGTCACCTTGGATTTCCGGGCAACACAAACAATAACCATGCAATTATAATGCTTAAGCTAGTGATTTTCTACCGCGGTTCGCGGTAGCCGTACATTGCAGTGGTTGCGGTGCATGCAATGACGCGCACTGGCGGCCGACCGTGACACGAGCCGGTCAGGAGCGATAGAGCGTGACGGTCTCCACTCGGAAGACAAGTGTCCACCGTCCAGTCGCCGCGAGCACGATTTTCACTTTCAAACATAGCCGAGGACGGCGCTCCAATGAGGCGACACCGGGCTGGCCGCACATCAGCCCGGGCAGTCTTCACCGTGTGAAGCGCCGACTTCACACGTTCCGACCGCAGGATGGGCCGATTGACCTGCGGTGTGACAGTCCCGGCCCCATGCGCCTCCCCACTGGCATTTTTCGGTGACGCGAGGTCTGCTCACCAGAACAGTCACGATTATATTAGTCCATTGATCCATTTGACCATTCATAACCCTCCGCACACTGTAGATCGGCATACAGAGGTCTATGATTGGACGTAACGGTTTTAGCGTAATTAGTATAAGATATTTTTATTAGCAGTGAAGGATCTGTCCTAAAGGTCATATGTAAGGTCTGTCCTACCAGGTGGCTTCACACGAGCTAGACTTTACTTTCAGATGATCGGGGGTTGTTTTTCAGCCTCCAATCAGTCACCCTTTAACTGCTCCAAAACGGTTAACTGCCGACCGTAAATTGTAGCACGGCTTTCATCGACGCTGCTTTTTATCGTCGGGAACAAAGGCGACCACCGGGGGCGGGCTGTGCTTTCCCCGATCGGGGGCGGCGCGACGCTCGGCCCGAACGGCGTCCATCTGGCCGGATTTCTCTCTCCGGGCCGACAGCTACTGAAGAGAGCGTCCGCCGCCGACCGAGACGGCCCCGGGCGGCACAGCTGCGTAACGCGTGCGCCGCTAACGCCGCCGCCGACTGACGCAACCGAACACCGAGCGCCGTACACAGACCTCCGTAGACAAACACGGCGTCCAACTCCAATCATAGCGTTCATTTCCCAATATGACGGGGTACGACACATGGCCGAGCTGTGCGCCACGTATGCAAAGCCGAAGTACACAAAATAAATGACTATATCAAACGTCATTCAGATCGATGACATCAACAGTGGTAAACATCCAATGCAACACGCACGATCAGGTCTCAGTAAATACAATTATGTTCCCCAAAATGCATATAGCGATCAGTTATTTCTCACGATCCGTTAATATCCCTATTCATTCGAAGATGACGAAGCGGCGGATGCGTCGAAGTCCGACACCGGCGTTCAACCGCCGCGGGTAGGATGCGTCCAACGCCAAGAACTGCACCGCTCTCATACAGAGGGGAAACAGCACCAGCAGCAAATCACCACACACATTCACACATACTCCGCAGTCCGCGCACACAGACGCGCGCCCACACAGATGCATCAGAGTGCGACGGGCGGCGCCGACCCTGTCTCAACGGGGCAGCGCGCACATTGCATCCGTAGGTCCGCCCACAGTCCCGATATGTATCATTGGCGGCGCCGGCAGTCGCTGCCGCCGGGGCGCCGCCGCCCTCCTGGCCGTCTGTCTGTCCGACAGACACCGGAGCGCGGGCGCCCGCCGTCCCTGTCCACCGCTCCCGGCCCCGGCCCGACTGCGACACTACCACTGGATCGGCTTGTTCTTGCACTGCTCTATGACGTAGCCGGTGAAGCGTTTGAGGAAGCGCGGGTACTCGCGTTTGTAGACCATGCGCAGAGCCGAGGTGGGCGCCCAGCCGCCGGGGTTCACTGAAACAGGCCACAGACGGTCGTCACAGCGGCGGCAGCGCGCGCCAACGGCACCTCATCACGGTAGACCACGGGTAGGACCGGGGGCCCGCGGTCTAACAGATGCCCAAGTACGCGACGCCTACATTTGGTTTGGCAAAAAAGCCTGATACCTTTTGTTGCCGTTCCACTATAATCTGTGTTATTAACGAATTTGGGCCGCCTGGCGGGTGAGGCTCAGTCAGGCGGGAAAACATCGGTATACGTTTATCATATCTTTATCTCGTGGGGAGCACTAAGCGGAACAACACGGCATGATCATCACTAAACCGGAACGGTATGCGGCCGACACCAGCTGTATCTCAAGCCAGGAGTGGCCCGTGCCCACCTCCGGTGACTACAGTCTACAAAATAGAAATTCCAAGATTTGTGGTCTGGGGAGGATACAAAATGAGAAAGGAAAGACTATGAAGTCGCAAACGGTGACATTGTACACCGTGAACGTGACGATACATCCAATGCTCCATATGAAGGAATGCATTATCACGCAGCGAAACGTCAATGAATTCGAAAAGAGCCTTCGCAATAATGACTTCGGACGAAGTACACGGCGACCTCAGCGTTGCTCCATGCAGAGGCATCAGCCATCAAACAGTTGTAAGAACAAGGTCAGCTAAGACAGTGGCGAGTCGGCGACTCTGCTTAGTGTTGAATATATTTACTAGCTGGTAGAAATGGTTACAGTCAAAACGCTCAAATCCCGATAGGATGGGTACGAATTATGACTCGGGGCTTAGTAAACAAGGAAGGGAGCGTCCGAGACTCTTCTTGGAAACACGTAAGGTCCGGATATGCATCCGTAGTTTTCCCGATGGCAGTGGAACCAAAGGGCGACTTTGGGGGTTCGCTAAACCAGAAAAACGCAATCCTTAGCATGAACCACGTCGGTGATATGCTTGGGTAGATCATTTACCTCCACTTTATTCACCAGTATAACGCCTTTTGGGGCGACTAACGGAGCGAGCGAGAGTGAGCCTTGCACGTGCGAAATTTCGAGGGGGTACCTCCAGCTGACTTGTGCACGGCACCCTACCGGTCTCTAGCGATGTGCCAAATTTGGGCACAATCGGCCCAGCCGTTCTCGAGATCTGGAAGCGGCACCCTGCACGTGCGCACGTGCAAAATGGGTCCCAACTGACTTTTGCACGGCACCCTACTAACCGGTCCCTAGCCATGTACCAAATTTGAGCGCCATCAGTCCAGCCGTTCTCGAGATCTGGAATCGACCCCTGCACGTGCGCACGTGCAGCAGCACCCCAACTCCGACACATGGATATGCATTGCCTAGTGGGTGCCTACCTGCATGCCAACTTTCAGCGCAATCGGCCAAGTAGTTACCGAGATATTGCAACAATTACAAAAGTGACACCTTTTTGTTTTGCACGTGGCACGTGCATAAGGGGTCACCCACATGCATCGGGAATAGTCCAATACTTGGTAGAAGGAATGAAGCTACCCTACAAAAATTACCGCATGTAAATCGGTCAAGTGGTTGCTGAGATATAAGCGTCGCAGAAGCGTGACCACGGCCGGCCGGCCGGCCGGCCGCTCATACTCAGAAATTTCCGTTATTCTACGTAAGACTCCGCTCGCTTCGCTCGCTCCGTAATAATCACTAATCAGTGAGGTCACTTCAACAATAATTGAACTGCTTTGCAGTTAAATAGTCATAGTACAATAAAACAGCAATTTATCAGTCCCTTCAGCTCCATCATCCGTGCGCAAAACCTGGAGCGCGCTGGACCGCGTTCGTTACCAGGTGGCAGCACTGGTGCCATGACTCTGGCACCACAGTACAGATGACTGCACCACAATGTCGGCCAACAGAAGCTGATAAACGCCAATTTAAGGTCACACTCGCGTTTGAAGGTTGCCCAGGACACGAAGGCAAAAAGAACCTTTTAAATACCATAGCGCATTGCCGGTCGAGTTCGATTCCAGAACACCTTGACCGTTTAATTAGTGTATCAGACCGATGATTACGACAATGCTCGTAAAAAATGTCAAGCCTTCCAAAAACAACTGCTCACATCGATCCGAGCGCTGTCAGCCGCAGTAAACGGTGAGTCGGTGCTCGCACCTTACCAAGATACTCATCCACTGCGCAGTGGGTGATATTGCGGTGTGTTCACCGATGGGCCCGGGAATACCACAAACCCCGCCCCGGCCCTCACCCGCTCCCGGCACTCACCGACGGAGCAGTATGTGATTTTGCAGCGCAGCTGGTCGCGGGTCACCTTGGAGAGGTCCGACTTGTCGCCGACGATCTCCGTCTGGCAGGTCATGCAGACGGTGAGCAGCACGCGCACGTACTTGTCGCTGGACTCGCGCGCCGCCTGTCGGCACGGCACACACACGGGCGGCCGTCAGAGGACGCACCGGGACTGCACGGGAGGCCAACAGAGGGCTGGCCAACGCTTACACGACCAACGTGTGAGATGACATTTGAACACCTTCCATATATAATTACGGGAGGGTGCCAGCTAGCATGATCTATAATGCATTCATAATCATTATATGGAGGCAAATGGCGAAATATCAATCGTGGATGGACGATGCTGCCAAAATGACAGTTTCCGTAGGTAGCTTGTGCAGTGCAATCCGCCACAGCAATGCTCCACTGGGTAGACCCAGTCCGGCTAGTTGCGCAGGTTCCAAGCCTCCAGGTGAGAACGGAAAGAACTACGGGCCAATGGTAACGCAGGCAGGCAGTCAGTACGTGCCTTTATGAGGGTAAATGTTCACATGGTAGCAAAACGGTTATGAATGAGGCTATAGCAGCATATTCGACATGCTGGTCGAATTATGGCGAGCCGCAGTCCTGATAAGACGGCAGGCAAAATCTCTTCTGGCAAGATCACATCAGAAAAGATGATAGGCAATATTCCTGAAAACATAGCAATGCTCCAGCGGGCAAAGCAAGCCAAGGCCCTATTATAACAAAGCAAGATCTGGCGCCCGATACCCGGTCCAATCCCGATTACGACACGCCGACTTGACGAAGTTTTGTAATACATTTCGATAGCTGCAAACTGTAACGACTCCTTGTGTAGTCAAGTCCCAAATGATAAGAAATATATTTGAAAGTTTGATTTATATATTTGCTTGTCTGATGATGCCCTGGGGAAAAATGAGCGACTTAAAATGCACAGTTATGTATTCTTACAGCACAACACGGGTGGGGAACATATAGGGTGGTAAGATGCACAATTACCATTTGTTAGTCAATTTCAACATATAAAACCCAACACGCAAATCTGCACTTTCTCCGGCACGTGCCATGCGCTCATTTTGCACCCGATCGGGTTCAGATCCATCAAAGCAAAGTCACGTCTGCGAAGTCCCCCGGGCTACTCGCGACTGTCTGGCCCGTAGCCCGCGCTACAGGACACCATTTCGGGACATTGAACACAGACAAAAACTCAACGTAAAAGTAACATAAATTCTTCATCAACTGCTATTTTTCCAGGCCATCGATATTTAACGGGACACAATGAAGGGTCTACCCGGCCTTGGTCTAACCGGCCAGTGCTAACTACTGAACTACGAGAATACTCTGCCGACTTATTGGCCTTTCGTGATTCAATCCTCAAAAGCCTAGATGTTGAGCTGCACCATGATGATAAAGTAGGTGAGCACGAAGCTCAGCACTGACAGCATCGTCTCCTTCTGCGTCACGAAGAAGCCGCCGCCGGAGAACTGAGGCGGTCTCCGGGTCTGCTCGATCAGCATCTGGAAGCTAAAGCGGAGCGCGGCGCCGAGCGTGCGGCTCGGCCGGGTGGCGCCGAGCAGCGAGTCAGTCAGCCGGCCAGCGCTGGCCGCCAGCCGGCTGCCGGTGACAGAGACGGCCACCAGCCGCAGCGCCGTCACCGCCTGGTACAGCACGAACGCCGCCTTCTGCACCGCGCCGCCGCCGCCAGACACGAAAATCCCGATGGTGATGTACAGGCCGACCAGCTGCTCCATGATGATGCTGGCGTGCTGGGTGACGGTCATCGGCGAGCAGAGATCGGAGGCGGCCGCAGCCAGCGCCGCTACACTCCGATGCACCTGCGACAGCTGAGCGACGGCAGAGTCGAGGTCGCCGCGCGGGTCAGTCAGGACGGCAGCGGAGCTGAGGGTGTCCGGTGCCCGGGGCGGCACGGCTGGATAGTGATTAGAGGCAGCGTCCCCCGGGCCGACCTCACTCGTCACAGTAAAGGCGATGTTGTACCGACGAGGGTGATCACTTGCGGCCAGTTGATTCCCCTGCTCACCACTGTGTGAGGTGAAGCCGATTTTGCCCAGCTGCTCTCTGGGATCATTCTGGATCCCAGCACGATTTTCTTTGGTCTGAGTCAGCGAGTCGGACTCCTCACTATGCGTCATGTACCGGCGGGCATACCTGCCGAGCCGCTCCAGCAGCATGGCCACAGCGTCCATGAAGCAGACCTGCACCAGGTCAAACACTGCCCGCACGGTGAAAATCATAATGGCGACGGCCGCCTGCATGCCCACCAGCACCCAGTACCAGCGGCCGCCCTGCAGTGGCGCCGGCACCAGCATCGGCGTCAGGTAGTGCGGGTGGCCGAACTCGCCGCCGGCGAAGAAGCTGGCCGCCCACAGCAGAGCGGTGAGCCCAGTGAGCAGGCCGATGAGCGCGGCGCAGCGGTGGCTGTGCCGGTGCTCGCCGGCCCGGCGGCAGATCGCGGTGACCTCCTCCAGTTCGCTGAGCTGGCCCAGCAGCCGGTGCAGTCGCGCGCCCCGCCGCTGGAGACAGGCCAGCGTGAACAGACCGTGCGCCATGCCCAGTGCGAACATGGCGCTACTGAACACCTCATACGAGCTGGTGGCAATGAATGTAAATCCCACCACCAAGGCGGTCATGATGAAGCTCAGGGAGAGCGGCACCAGCCGGACGGCCCGCCACACGGCTGCCAACCGGGCCGGAGGGACGTGCAGGCCGCTCAGAGCCAGCACCGAGGAGATGAGCAGCGTCCGGCGCAGCAGCCGCGCGTGGTCCCACATGGTGCCGGCAGACAACTAACAAAGCTCAACGTCAGAACTCAGTGCCTCGAGTTGCGACTCTGGCGCCTCCGACAGCTGGTGTGCAGGAGGGTCCAATCTTCTGAAATGAGTCAGGGCTGAAGCGGAGCCTGCCAGAGTCGCTATGGAGGGTGACGATAGTTCTGACTCGCTGACCGTCACGTATGACTGGTATCGCTGTCGGTTCCCTGACCACCGGACAGCGCCTCCACGAGCGTCCTTTGTGCGCCTTTGTCGGCAATTCCGGGTCCGCGCTATATCCGGGCGCCGTCCACGCGGCTCGCCGGCCGAGCACGACCTCATCGATCACGGTGCGGCGCGGATCATGAGTTCCCAGTGCGGACGCTGCGTGTCGAGACGCCGTAATGACTGTTGACAGAGCTGCACCGCGCCATCCGGGAGCAATTCCGAGCGTCTGTACACAGCCGTGACACTAATTGCTCAGCACACTGGCCTTTTCAGTAAATTTTGCCTGCGCACAAATGGTTTATCGGACCTTTGTCCATTTAATTTGTTGATAGACTATATAGCCGAATTATATAGCCGAATAGAGAAAGACAATGACATATACAATTAGGCTGGGAATGAGGAACGTGGTTGTTCAAACAATGGGATCTGATGGCATTTTGTTTGCACGCAATTACAACGCCTGTTACTAGGAGCCTGCGCGCTATAATCTACACGATTCGTATGACGAGGAATAGTACATTACGTGACCTTTATCTGACGATCACTTAAACCAGCTGAAAATAACTTCGGACGGCACAGTAACCATTTTCGAATGCCGCGTAAAAATAGACTATAAAAACGCATGTATGCACACCAAGATGCTGACTGAATAGTGAATACCCGCAGGGTACCTTCACCACGCATTCATCAGTGAGTAGAACGAAACTGAGCGAAACGCGACTTGTTGAACGCCTGTAGTGTGAACACGCCCATTTTAATTAAACGTGTTTATTGTTTAAACAAATTGCTGTTAATTCCACTTTGAAATGACCTGCGACCTGCGATCTATAGGTCAACAAAAAGTTTTCCCACAGTTTTGCTTCCTGGGCTATCAAATTACCTTTAAATCGTAAAAACCGGACGTGAGGTTTCAGACATGCTGAACTGTGTACGTTATAGCTTCTCTTCCCTCAGTCACTCGCGTTAAGTAACAAACGCCAGCCGTGCGCGGCTTAATCGTACGTTTCGGTATTTGTGAACAATTTTGTTTACAAAACCATATCTAAGAGTCAAATAATAATTGCATGAAGGAAAGGCTAACATTCCTGGTCATCAAACGAATAAAATAACATTGGAACGGACAGTCGACAATCACGCGTGACGACAGCATGGCGGCAAACGGACGAAAACAGCATGTACGATTGCAGACGGTATGGCAGACGGAACGGATAGTTCATGCAAAGGAAGGAAACAAACGGACAACCCACGAACAGACTTGGCTGTATGTACACTACAGGTAGGTCAATGTATAAACCGCAGACTTTAACAGGAATTCGCTCACTTATACTGACTGTTATCCATAAAAACGCAGAAACCCCATCATAACGTCATAATAAAGTTGTGCTGCGGATTCCGCAGCACACAGTGCGGATCTAAGACACGATGCAAGCTTTTAGTTAAAAATTAAGTTCAAGCTGCAATCAATATGCATAGCTGGACAAGGTTGCTGTAATGGAGCGGTTCCGATGTCATTCCAGCTGGGGCATTCCACGTCAAATCAAACACCGAAATCCGTCATCCCCTTCGATTTTTCTGAAAATTTGTAGGCAGACTGGGCATGGTTCAAAACTGAGTTACGTATAATATTTTCGAAATTTGATAACGTATCGCTGAGATATAGGTCATCGAATATAGCGAAAAATGCCACACATCAATTTTTTAAATGGCTATAACACTGGTTCCTTTTCTGGTATCAAAATGATATTAACAGGGTCTTATAGGCAATTGATAAGGCTTTGATTTTTAATTATAAAATTAAATTGAAGTGACCTTGAAATGCATTTGACCTTGAATTAAAACAGAAAAATTTAAATAGCAAAAAACACGTCACCTTCGATTTGGATAATTTTTACATATTATGTCCGTCACAATGTTCCCAACCATCTATGAAAAAATTGGAGTGGGCCATTCATAACTTTCGCGGCAAACGCCGTTTTCATGTATCAACATCACGCAACCGCGCGTGACCTTGAAAGACAGAGTCAATACATGCTTGCTTGTGTACACTTTCTGAAATGAATGATTGCTGATTACGGAGCGAGCGAAGCGAGCGGAGTCTTTCCTTAGATTAACGGAAATTTCT